TTAAATGCTTCTATAATATCTTATAATATGAAATGCTATTAGATGGACATTTTACACGTTTGATTAATAATTACTAGCAATTAAAAGTAATTAGTGTAACTCTTTCTTTTTGTACTTACAAAAAGAAACTCTAATGGGAAAAATATGTTTTTGTTTTAGAAATATTTTTGTCGTGAAATCAGTGAAAACTAATACTCGATTGTCTCAACATATGGTTGCTAAAGGCAAACAATAGGCCCCGTTACTGGGTTAATTGGATTGGAGCTACTCGGATTTCCAGAGCACACACTTGTTGCCATTATTACCATTTCCATTTGCGGACCCATTGGCTCCAAGTCAAGCGGAAGTTGTTGTTTCTAATTTAGTTTCGCAGATATACTTCAGCTCTGCAATCGTCATCGACAATCGCGAATTCTGAGTGATCTCATCGATTCTGCCGAGCTCTATCGAAATTGCCAATCGTCAGGGTCGCGCAAAGTTTTTCCCACACACACACAGTGCAATAAACTTTGGGTCAAAAAGAAGAAAAACAACAACAAGATACATCGAACAAGAACGCCTTCTATGGGCATTATGGAAATACCGTTACCAAGATCAAAAGACCTCCGAGCAGGTGAGCCAAACTCTGCGGATCCGATAGATCGATCATTGTTGGTTACCTGTTACCTGCAGAAATCATTTGCAAGCGAATCGATCGATCTATCATTGCCAAAGCCATGCCATATAAGCAATACGATTGTGGGTAGGAAGTCATCGCCATGGGAGAACCTTGAACCCAGAGAGACAAAGCCGCCGATGGAACGGCGTTTGAAATATGATTTTGAATGGGCCGCGGACAGTTTTTGTGATTTTGATTGAGCTCCCAGATTTCGCGGTTTTTTGTGTGTGGGGCCAATCGATGGCAATCAGCGGTGAATTAAAAAAACAACAGACAAATATGAAAATAACAGTTGAAACGGCGGCAAATCCGCTTAGCAAACTGTCTTTTGCACTCTGAAGAAATCACAAAGGCGTCTGTGTAATTGCAAAAATCAACTATTGTTTTGTACAGTAAAGACTGTACATAAAGACTGTTATGGTACAGTGTTTCAAGATATAAGCATCATTTTTTATCCATTTAAGCTTGCAAATTTTCTTATCTGAAATCGCTGTACATACTTTAATAAATGTCTTTATTTAAGCTTTTTCTAGTACTAATTTTCTAATGGAGACCATTTAAGTTTCATTATAAGATTAAACATGTTTTTTAAAGGATTCATTGAAAACTGGTTAATAGAAACAATTAAAAAAAAGTTTTTTTGTTGATTTAAAAGTTATACAGTTCATTCAAATGTTTCAGGATGATTTTCATTTTTTATCTCGCAAAACTAATTAATTCAAATAAAAACTATTAATTTCAAAAGATAATTATTGATATTTCTGAGATAACATTTTGTTGCTGGTTAACTTTTATGAAAGTTCATGTTATTAAAGCTCCACAGTTTTGCGCGCTTTTATTTTTTGCGTGAGTTTTTTTGCAATGTCATTTTATTTATTATTTGGCTGCTGCTGTTATTTCTGTGCGCTTTAATTTTGTTTTATTTAATTTGCCTTTTGCGGAAGCAAAAAATGCTTTTTGCACTGGCTGCGTTGCTCTGCCTCAGTCGGCGGCGCAGTCGACGCCCGCACTTACGTCGTCGAAATGTTACGGTACAAATAATGCGACAGAGTTTCTTTCTGCTGTTGCAGTTTATTTCGCTGTTTTTCTTTCCATTTCTTTGCAATTGCTTTTAGTAGTCATGTAATGTTATTAACGCCATATTGACATACTTTTGTGCACAGGCAAAAGCGCAGAAAAAAACTAGAGAAAAATCTAAGCTAATTACGTGACGTTACGTTACGTACCTGTAATAACGCCCTCTCTTTTTTCGCACACACCATCTACAGTCGAACTTCCATTAATGAACTTCCCTAGATCAAAGTCTTCATAAGTCGAACCAGTTGTAGATAACTATTTAAACGTATAATCAATTCAATAACAAAAAGTATATGTTGGTAGAATTTTTCTTGGCACATAATGGTTTAATTACTAGAAGTTATACTGTACTTCTTCTTCTTCCGCCTCCTTTCGCCTCCTTGCTGCCTTCTTCTTCTTCATCATGTTCTTATTCCGCATCAACGTCACGTATTTGCAATATGAAGGGGGCGTGGCCAGATTGAGTGGGCGGTGGACTACAGGTCGACCCACTTTCCATCTCTTTCCGACCCAAAGTTCTATTCCCATGGAACAAAAAGAAGAATATGAAGAAGTGGGAACCCATATGGATAAGAAGAAAAGAAGAAGAAGAGTCATGTTAATTGCTTCGACACTTGACTCTGAAGAGGCTTAGGTGGATGTGACTGCGGATGCGGATGTCACTTCACTAGGTTAGATGGATAGGAAAACAAACTAATTCATATACATATGTACATATGTAAGTTGCATTAAAAAGGGAAAGACTTTAGACCATATTAAAGCCTACAAAAATTGATTATAAATTGTGTTAGAATTTTTTGTTTGCCACATACTACACCAATAAAACCAAATTACCTTAGTTAATATCTTTTAGGTCGTTATTAATAAACTTTGGAGGTAATTTTGATACTTTTTATTCCATTGAATTTGTTGGAAGAAAAACTTGCAAAAGGTACAACCGGATCTAGGATCCATTTTATTTACTAAAGTTTAGTCAGTTATCAGATCAGTTATAAATACATGATTGTGTTTTTCATTGTTTATTAGGTTCTGTAGTCCAGATAAGATAAAAATGAGCTAGTTTATTTATTTTTTCCGGTGTCCCAATATCGATTTATCAATGGCAACCTGCACTTGCACTTGCTCCACCAACGGAAGACAACAGCAACAACAAGTGGCACGTGCTCTCGCTGTTGATGCAAGAAAGTTTTGATGTCATAATAACCATTTCCACAACGGTCCACCCCCTCTTTCTTTATTTCTTTCTTTCCTTCTCCTTTGCCTCAGTCTCAACTGTCGAATTTCGAAAGTGAAAATGTGATGCTGCGATTATCAAATATGCATGTGCGTCCGTCTCTGTCGCGCGCCACTCTGCATGCATTATTCAGATTTAGACTCGGATTCAGAAGAGGAAGAAGCCAAACAAACATTGGGAGTTGAGCTGCAGTTAACACTCGCTTACACATAGATGTACATTTCTACATACCCACAGCTGCGGTCAAGAAAATAGGTCTGAAAAGGAACCTGTGAATTTTTGCTGCCACGGAACAAAATTATAATGTGCAACATGCATAGATAGTACAATGCCACTGGGTAGATCATTTTACTCTGTTACAGGCACAAAAATTGTTTTTAATTTTTATAAGAAGATATATTTAATTATTAATTATAATTTCTTATAACTATAGGATAACATATGCATTTACAATATCAAATTAGTTAAAATAGAAAAAAAAACCTTACTGTTTTTGGGTGCTATCATTTGTATCTTCACTGTATTGCGTTGAAGCTTCGGTTCTAAGCTGGCGGCCAAAGTGAAACCAAGGCCCAAACAAACTTCGTGGGTAGCCCATCACTCCATGGAGAGCGAGAGAGATGGAGATGGCGACGAAGAAAGAGATGGGGCGAGGGAGATGCATTTAACGCCGCTGGGTTGCCGAAATGGGTTGTGGGCGTCGCAGCTTTACCTTGCAAGCGGCATGATAAGAGGCCAAAGAAGAAGAAGCCAAAGAGGCGATGCCGAAAAGAGGAAGTGGCAAAGAAGGCAGGTTGAAGGGTAAATGCTCTTTCCCAATAACAGGGGAAACTTTTAGTCAATTTAAAAACATGGTATCCTAACATAAAACATTCAATTTGAATATTAGGGGGAATAGCCAAAACATCAGAACATATTATTTAAAAGTTATAAATACATATAGTCTTTAATCCACTCGACCGTCTAACAAATTGAAATTTTACAAAATAGCTTATCCAATTTTAAAAAAATGTATAACATGTATAAATATATCTTAATTATGGTTTCTGATTTGTATATGTTTTGACACCAAATTTGGGTTCTAGTTCTTACTAATAATATGCATATTCGCAATTAGTTCAAGACCTCAATTTACCCCTTTCCACAGATTTAGATTTCCTTGAGATTTGTTAAACGTCAGCGGAGCGTCATCATCGTCGCGCAGTTGTTGCAGTTTCTGATGCCCTTATTTGGGGTTAGGGTATTATGGTAAGGTGAAACAATAAACACCAAATAAAGCATTTGTCAGATATCCATAAAAGAGGAGAGGCGGTAGAAAGAAGAAGAAGCTGAAATAATAATATTGTTTAAATATTAAATTATTACAACAAAGTGTGCATAAATGAATATGGAATGATGCAAATGGGAATGCATGACACGTCGAGACACGACTGCAGTTGCTTTTCGCCCCGAATGGGATTGGAGCTTAAGTTTTTTTTTTTTTTTTGGGCCCAGCGAACTCGGATTGCGGATGACATAACCCCCAACGTCAAATGTGCCGATGGCAAATTATATAGGAGCGGGGAATATGTGGGAAGTAGTGATACACATTTATTTCAAAATATTAAAGGTTTCCCAATAAATATATAAATCTCAAATGAAACAGATTAACTTATTAGAATAAGCCCAATTCCTCCAGAAAAATCTTTAAAATTCACTGCCCTAAAATGCCGTTCACCCCAAAAAAAAAAAGAACACAACAGCGAGAAGAAAAGAAATAAAGTATTGTCGCGACGTTGATCGTTCAACGCCCATTGCAGGTTGCAATCTGGCAAGATCGAGGGAAATCCGGGGGGACGGCCCAAAAATGCCGTGCTAAATTCTTTAGGAGCTTAAAAATAAACCGTTTTCTAGTTTTGTATTTTTGACTTTCACTCGTTTGGCACTCTGCGAAATATTTGCCGTGCTCATTGGGAATTTCTGCATCATCTCATGCTAATGCTTATGCTAATGCTAATGCTAATGCTCTTCGTTCTGTTCCTCTCCTTGCAGCACGCAAATTATGTGAGGCAGGCGGCGGAGGATTATTTGGCCCGGCGACAGGCCCGCAACAAATCGATGACCCGCTCGATGACCTCGGGTCTAGCAGGTCCAATTCTGGCCCTGGGCAACGTCCACTACCTTCCGGCCGCCAAGAGTGGCACCTTCTTCGCCCGCGACAATGTGTCCAACTTTATAACCTGGTGCAGGTGAGTCCTCAACCTTCGATTTCCAACTCAAATTCAAAAAGATAATCAATGAAATAAGTTGAGCACTTAAAATATTACGGAATATTTTTCAAAGATCAGTATTACAATTTTATTAAAAAGTTCTGATCTTATTATGGCTTTATATTGATCTTAAAGATTATAATTTTCACAAGTTGTTATAAACTAAACTCAAAAGTTATACTTAAATATTAAATGGTTAAGTGAATTATTTGAATGAGAAATAATATATGACATATGTAATCATTTAATCCCCGCAGGAAAAGCCTGAAGATCATCGAGTGCCTGCTGTTCGAAACGGACGATTTGATCATGCGCAAAAACGAAAAGCACGTTATCCTCTGTCTTCTGGAGGTGGCACGTCGGGGCGCTAAATTTGGTAAGATTCCCTCAGAATTCCCTTAAACCTCAGGAAATAAAAGAAGTTTGTGTATCAAGATTGGTATGCAAACCAATATAGGCCAACCAATCACTAACTTAAAAAGTTACTTCATTCAAATGTTAATTAAATATAAAATTAATAATATTTGAAAACTGTAAATTCCCATAATCCCTTCTAGGAATGCTGGCTCCCATGCTGGTGCAGATGGAGCGACAAATCGATCGGGAGATCGCCGCTGATAACAAGGCCAATGGTGTTGGCTCCTCGGAGAGCGGTACCCAAACGGAGGCCATTAACTCTGGACATAGTATGGCCACAACGACGACAATAACGACCACCACTGTGGAGACGGATCTGTACGATGACAGCGATGATTCAGAGACCGAGGATGATGGCGATGAGAATCCCGTGCTGATGTACGGCCCCCAGCCCCAGATAATCACCAACGATCTGAAGAGCCTCGATGAGATGGTAAGTGAAACATGATATAAGTAAATAAAATACTCTATCTTATGAACTAAAGTCAGTTCAAAATTCCGCAAATATTCTTTAAAATATATCTAAAAATTGGAGAGACCAAATAATAAGCGTAACTTCTTTCCTTAAATTGCAATGGAGTTAGCAAACTTGGTTTCCGATATCGGATCTTTCCGCTTTTGGTTTTCCATTTTCCCGCAGGGCTTTCCGTCCAAGTTTTGCGTTCCTTCGATGGCCCAGTCCCACTCCCAATGTCCACTTTGGGTTTTCTCTTTTATATTTTGTTTTTTTTTCTGTTTCTGATTTTCCTGCGCTGGCTCAACTCACGATTTGGTTTGTTATTGTTTTGCTTGGGCTGCTGTTGTTGCTAGTTTTCTCATGTCCATTTTTAGCCATGGCTAAGTTTCCAGTTACGAAAAAAAAAGCGGGACCGAAAACAATACCAAAACAAATCAGAAGCAATTGAAACTGGGACTTTGGTTTTTTTATTTATTTATTTATTTTTTTTTGTGGGTTGTTATGAGGGTTTCCCTGAGATTTGCCTGCTGCCATGTTGAGATGTCAAATTAATTTGACAAGATGACGATGTGCCAACAACAATTACAACAATTGCAATTGTCAATGTAATTGCAAGTGTGACGACAACAGCAGCAGCAACAAAGGATGAGGATTGGTCAGGCGCAATGGAAAATCATTGACGGCCAAACTAATGAAAGCCATGCAAACATTTCCTCACGCCGCCAGCAACATTGACAACAGCAGCAACATGAGCAGCAGCAACAGCAGCAACAATGTTCGACAGCTGGGGGATGGATGGTCGCTGGATGGATGGGACATGGACCTGGACATGGACATGGACCTCTCCTCGTCCTCCACCTCCAAAAAATCCACTCCGAGGCAGCCAATCAATTTGTGCAGCAGCCGCAGCAGCAGCAACAGCAGCAGCCAAATCAGCAAATAGCCTCAACAACTTGTCGAAAATCAAATGATGTGCCACCAACAGCAGAAACGAAACAAAAAGAAATGAAAAGAAAAAGCCACGATCATTTGTCGTCTCCAAAAGTCTGGAGCTGTGGAGCTGTAGAGCTGTAGAGCTGAGGAGCTTTGGAGCTGCTGGCACGTCCGCATCGCCGCTGTCTGTCTTTTCGGTCTCCAGTCTCCGGTCTCTGGTCTCCAGTTGCTGTTGGTTAGTTGGTGGCATGCGATTTATGGTTAGGCCAGGATCACATCGCTATCCCCATCGCAATCCATGGCCAGCTAATCTCGTATGCGTCAGAGTCACGCCGATCCCCGATCTTTGGCAGATCGCTGGCTGGATCGCTGGCTGGATCGCTGGCGGATTGTTCAACCCCCCTCCCGCCTCATACACACACACACACACACACACACAGCCGAAAGATTTATTGTCATGTCGGTTTCAGCTTGGAGCCACCATGGAGTTGGAGTAGTAGCTCCATCTCCAGCTCCACCTAAGCACGCATCCCATCCCATCCCATCCCATCCCAAACAGCCGGCGAGAAGGAGTTGCAAAAGTTCAAAGGTGCCAATGCGTTGCTCCTCAGCTCCAAGCTGCCACAAACTACAGTAGCAATGGGTTCGACTCACAGTCGGGGAGACCGCGTTGCTGGCGGAGAACTGCAGCTGGAGGTGGGGGTGGAGTTGGAGCCAGGGCCAGAGACAGAATCACACTGGGCAAAAAAATGTTAAGACCCCAAAGCTTAATATCCGGAATTTAATTTAATTTACTAAGTATAGTACTAAGCTTTAAGAGTTTTAGGCAATTTTTGATCACCTTTCTGCAAAGCATTAGAAAAAGCCAACATAGAAATGTGTCAAAAACAAGGCCTTCCAAAGGCATTCATTTACATTCCATAAACTTTTACAGATATTCCACTTTGAATTCGGTTTTGGAAGTTATGGCTTCTAGAAGTGCAGTTATGGAAATTTTAAACCAAACTGTTAATGCAAATTGATATTGATAATTAAGCCACAAACTCTTAGAGGTCACTTTTAAATCATATTATATTTAAATCAGTCAAAGAAGGTAAGGATGAACAAGTTTGTTTGCTAAATCGGGTTCGAGTTTTTGCAAGTGGAGAATCAGACCCAAAGGCAGGCCAGGCCAAGTCGTCATTTGTTTGTCTGCCGCCGCCCGCTGGGACGGACTGCTGATGGTGGAGCCGATGGTGACTGGTCTTGCCATGGATCCCATGGCTCCCTAGGGCAAGGGTAGCCCCCCCTCGAGGCCCCTCGGTCCTCTCCATTCGCCGCCCCTGCGGATCATTTGTTTGTTGGACAATGGCAGCGCGTGAATTTATGCAGTGAAAAACTATTTGGTGACCCCGATGCTCGTCGCTCAGCTCCTTCGACTTCTGCTTCTCCCCCCCACCCACCTCAACCCTCTTTTTTTTTGGGCAAACTGCAGCTACAAACTGCCACTGCAGAAGTCAGGGAGTTAGGAAGTCGGGGAACTGATCAGGTCAGACTTATGCAATGCTGAGGGTCAATCAAGGGGGAAGGAAATGGAGGATTGGACACTTGGAGTCAAGAGTTTTTGGCTGCAGATCTCTGCGAGTTAGTACAGTGCCACTGAGAACATTTGCTGCTCGAGATGATCGTGTTAAAGGCCCACACAATATTCCCTATCACTCACTGCTCTTAATTAGCCATCGTTAAATGCTAATTAAATCTATATATTTCACTTTAATAACTGTCATCATTGCACGTTTATATGGTCATTTGTTGAAATGTATTTAGCTTGCAATCGACTGTTATGGCAGAGAGCTCTGTAATCACATGTGTTTATAAAATAATTTTACCATATCATCTTAATTGATTCAATCATTAATCATTTGGTACCATAATAATTTATTCTCAATTGCTGTATTTAGGTTTTATCTTTAAAAATAATGTTTTGAATGCAGGGTATCTTAATAATTGAAGAATAATTATGTTATATTAAGTATTTTGTTGACAACAGCAACATAGGGAAATACATTGTATTCCAATTTATTCAAACCATTTTTATTCCTTTACAGGTCAGGGATCTGGTCGAGAAGTGCACATGTCCCTCGCAGTTTCCCATGGTCCGAGTGTCCGAGGGCAAATACCGCATCGGCGACACCAAAGTTCTCATCTTTGTGCGGGTGAGTATTGCAACAACCAAGTAAAATTGGCGTTATCGATCAGTTTTAATGGGTCCTGTCCCACTTGCAGATCCTCCGTTCTCACGTAATGGTTCGTGTGGGTGGCGGCTGGGACACACTGTCCCATTATCTGGACAAGCACGATCCGTGCCGCTGCCGGGCTCAACATCGCAGCTCCGTGGCCGCCCGTCTCGTTCCCCGCCAGTCCCCGAACCACAATCCCAGCAATGGAATCGAGCTCCATAAGGCCCAGGTGATATTCGAGAGGTGAGTCCTTATCAAATCTTCAAGTTATTTAATCGAATCAATCGAAGATCGTTTATCGTTAATATCATTGTGAATTTATCGATGATTTTGCAACGATTTCATCATTATGTACAATATATGTAATGCTATCTATTAATCCAGGTCACCGCCAGCAGCTCGTCGCGTATTCAACAGTCCCAATTGCAATGGGGGATCGGGAACGGTGTCGGGCATGGGAGGAGGATCCACCGCAGCCGGAGCAGGAGTGGTGGGCGTGGCCCCGCCTCCACCGCTCCAGAACGGTCACAGTCTGTCGCCCAATTCGGGAAAATACCGCAGTCGCAGTCCGACGCCACAGCGCAAGTTTCTTAATCAGCAGACGAACGGAGGCGGAGGCGGAATCGGAGGAAGTGCATCATCCGCAACGGGATCCAGCCAGACGGCAGTCAGCACAGAAGCCTCCAGTGGCCAGCTGCTCGGATCGTCCAGTCTGGCCAGGCGCTCCATGTCGCCAAGTCCGCGCCGGCTGATCGATATGCGCAAGAAACAGAGCTCCCTGGACTCGTACAGCAGTGGTCCCAAATCGCTGCCCGGCTACAGTTGCTCCCTGGAGGAGGCGAACGGAGGAGGAGGAGCTGCGGTCGGATCGGCAATAGGCTCTACAGGATCGGGGACGGGGGCGGAGCAGGGTGGCGCCAACAAGTTCGAGAATATCAGCGACAATGGCAGCGAGATCAGCGACGAGGGATACCGCAGCCTGGGCGTCATCCAATCGGGTGCCCAGAAACGCGAGTCCCTGCACAGTCAGGCCTCCATCGAGGACGCTGAAAGCAATGGTGAGTGGCTATCCTAATGGGAATACCAACCCGCATGGCTCATAATTCAACAATAATGCCTATGGTCTGAGTTTCTTTTATAAAAACAAACATTAAGTATCACATAATCATATAATTAAAATAATGAGGATAAAAATCCAATAGCATTTGTTATAATAATATTTATATAGTTTACGTATTTTCTTGAATGTCCAAAAGTATGCCGTACTTTTTACTTTATAGTTATCTAATAAAAAATTTGAATATTTCCAAGAGACTAGAGAATAAGAACAACATTAAATTCAAATTCTTTATTTAAAATACAAATTTTCAGAATATTTAAAAAAATTAAAATTGTACAGTTTCAGATAATTATCAAAAACAATTGCTAAAGGCATCCAGTTGAATTTTAACAAAACAATGAAATGAGTTTGATCCTTCTAAGCCAATAAATTAAAATGGAAATTAAATAATTTAATCAATTTCATTTAACTTATCCCCTTTTCAATCCGCAGCGCGTCTGGATCAGACCTCCAGTGACTCGCAGATCTCGCCCTCCGATGAGCCGGCGGAGAAGACAGCCGTGGATATTCTGGAAGAGGAGGACCTTGGCAGCCAGGACCGTGAGGAGGAGCACGAGGACTACTCCGTGTGCGATGGCCCCCAATCCCTGCCAGCGATTCTCAGCGGGGCCCACAAGCTGAACGATAAATTCGAGCAATCCGGGATCTTCATCACCGACGACGAGATCACCGTGGACATGGTGCCCAAGGCCGAAGATCAATCAGTGACCCCAGCTCCCGGAATTCCGACTCCCAATCTCAGCAAGATTCCACGCTCGCCACTGGCACAACGTCGTCGCCGGAGCATCGATAATAGTACATGCGGCGGTGCCGGCGGAAGCCTGCAGGATTTGAGCAGCCGCTCGGGACTACCAGCTCCGGCTGCCTTTAGCCGAAAACAGCCCGTCTATCGATCCGTGCGAACACGCCATTCAACGGGTGCCACGCCCACTCCGGTGGCGCCGCCCCGATCGCGTCAAGCCACCCAGTTGCCCATGGTGCGGGATGTCACGAACACATGGAGTGGACGAGCCACTGGGGCACCGAAGCGACGACCTCCCTGCACCGCCGACACCTTTGTGGCACCCACAAATGGACAGGCAGCAGGATCGGGATCGGGATCGGGATCGGGACCCTTTGAGCGGAACGGCAAGGGACGCTCCTCGCAAATCCTCTACGACAGCAATGGCCGGCGGGTGAGGAGTGGGGCACCGGGATGCACCAGTTCGCTGACCACGTCGCCAGTCAAGAATCACGCCTCCTCACCGCTGGCCCAACAACTCCTGGAGGCGGCCAGCAGCGCGAAGAACGATGCCCAGATTCTGGAGAAGATGAAGTCCCTACTTTCACGCTATGCGGCTGGTAACCAAGCGAAAGCGGGAACAGCAGCAGCAGGATCAGGAGCAGGACCAGCAGCGAACAAGATCAACAGTAATGGCAAGAAGACGCCGGTCTACGAGGACTTCACCACGGCCTGGGTGCACAGCAATGGGAATCTGGAGCGATCGGAGAGCTGTTCGCCGCCAGCGAAGGCCCGATCCAAGCGAAGTTCCGCCGCCAGTTCCTGCGAGAGCAATAACTCCAATGCGGGAACGGGTGGAGCGGGGGCAGGAGGAGCAGGATCGTCCAGTGTGGTGTCGCCCAGGCGGGAGAGGGGCATGTCCAAGATCCCGGCGCCAGTGCGCCACCATACAGAGCTTTACTAGCAGCGCCGGAGGACGCCAAGCGTCCAGGTCCGTTTCCAAGCCAAGTCGAGGGTTTTTTGAAAAGCCTCCAAGCGAGCAGAGGAGCAAAGCGATGAAGTGGAGTCGAGTGACTGGGGATTGGGGGTAGTACATACATCTATGTATAAGATAGGGTTAAAGCCAAGCTGGAATTGTCTGCTGCTGCTACGGCGTGTGTGTGTGCGTGGAGAGCAGAGGAAGGATGAAGAATCAGAAGGGGATCCATTGAAGGAAGTAGAAGAACCATTACAAAATGGGCGATCGAAAGGTAACCCTTTAAAAGATTTAAACCCAGAAGACAGTCTATTAAATGATGGTGCATCGCAAGATGAGCCATAGAACCTTTTCCAAAATGGAAAGTCATAAGGAAAACCATCTCAAAAGACAAAGAATCGGAGGTGACCCCACTCCAAAATAAAGCCAGGGGAAAGCCATAGCTATAGGATACCCAAATCAGAATCAGGATCGAAAAATGTTGAGTGAAGAGTGCGAAAACTGAAACTGCCTCAAAGACAGACAGGTCAGAATCCCTAGCAGCCAGAGACCCCAAGCATATCCCCCTTATAAACAGCTCTCTATCTAAGTAACTTTTTTTCCTTAACTCAACTATAATGAACCCCCTATACTCGTCGTTATATAAGCTCCCTACGTTATGAACTCTCTTTCCGTGTAACCACTAGGCGCAAGCTCCACTTTCCTTAAGCTTCATATTTCCAAACAAGTCAGTTACAACTTTTGTGACTTTATAGAATAACTGCATTTTCGTAATTAAAATCAAAAGCATTTGATTTGTATTTAAAGCTAGCGTATTAACGAAGTTATATATGAATTTCGGGACACCCCCAGTTGGCTTTGATCTGTGCTGATCTAGGGTAATGAATTAACCATATATACAATCCAAATTTGAGACTCGAGTAAAAATTTTAAATCAATTTTTTGTCTAGAACCTAGAACAGGAATTTTAAATCTACACAAAAGCCTCATGCAAAACAATATTGAATATATCTATTAAAAAAGCATACACACACACATAAACACACACACAATCGCATATACATAGACGAAGCATAAATAGTTTTCTAGAAATTTTTAAAGTAAAGCCAACAAAATTCTTCAGATTCGATTTGTAGCGAAGCCGAATACATTTATTTTTGTACGCTTGATCAGAGGAACCGGCGGAGATCGTGGGATCGGGAAAGAAGAATAGCTTTTAGACAACTCGACTTTTACAGTATAGCTATATATATATACAAGGAAGATTGGATTCGGTTAGAGGGATATATAGCATGCATAGCTAGGAAATGAGGCGACCGCCCCCGCAAAACACCTCCGAAAAGTGGGTGCTCCTTGGTCTGGAACTCCAAAATCACGCTCTTCAAACACACAAGCCTGCACCACCAAAAACACACACACACACCCACACCACACAAGGAATACAGTGCGTTTCGGAACTGTAAGGCAGATCCAAGAGTTTAGTTCGAATTTAATGACCGTTTAATCACACTACACTAAAATAGACAACTGTATCGAATTACCTTAGTAACTTATAATCAAAGCGATTCGATAACAGCCCCAAAACGCATTGTTATTACCAAGCATACTTTATCAAACACATAAAATATAAACACAAAACAAGTAAAAAACGGTCACAAAAAAAGGAAAATAACTGAGAAACTATAGCTTTTAATGGATATCGTAGAGCGAACGAACGAACCATAGCATAATTTTCAGAACCCTTCAAATTTATACAACTAAAAACACACATACATATACTGTATGAATATTATTATTTTTTTTTTATTTAGCTTTAGCAATGTTAACATATAGTTTAGTACATCGTACCTATGATCATAACTATATAGATTGTAAATTGTGTTTGTCTAATTGCCCCCATGTTGTATAGTTCTTATGTACTCGTAAAATCGGCCTTAATGTTCAGTCTGTCGATACCTTATATCAGTTTTATATTGAATTTTTTTTTTCTTTTTTATAATTTCTATTTGAATTAAGTTGCGTTTTTTTAGCTTTTTATTGTACACCAAATGATACCAATTTATGTATAGAATCGAAGTGGCGAAAGAGATCGCAACCAAAATAATTAATGATTAATTGTTTAACAATTAAATTGTTCCAATACACACACACACATATAGACAAAAAACAATACACATACACACCTGATCCGTGGTGTAATTATAATTATAGAGAATTAAGCAATTTGACCGATTTGCATGCCAAAAGGTTGATAACAAATCGAATGAAGAGAGGAGGAGATTGCACCACGGGTTCTCGAGCGCTGGCCATGATGAGCATTGCATCGCATCGCATATAATATATATATATTTGGATATATATCGCAAAACATATAAAGTGTATTTTAAATACAGCTAAAGTGTAATTATCAATTCATTTCAAAAGCAAACTAACTATTACAAATGGAATAGATTAGACCGCAAGGGTGTACTCTAAGCGAACCAGCAGCATAATTGATTTTAATCACAAGAATTTAATTAATAAAAGCCTATATACAATTATATAAAATCCAAAACAACTAATGGTTTTAACTTAATGCCCTCGTAGGGCTTTTATTTATCCACAAATACACATTGTGCTGGAATCAAAGCAGTGCCTAAGTATTTAGCAATACATGAAGTCGGTTGGGCGGTGGGTTATATTATCTAGAGATCGCCGAGAGAATCCAAGCCGCCACCCGTCTCCTTACCAAACTTGGCCTTATCCTGACTCTCGGTCCAGGCCTTGGCAATCATTTGCTTCGTTTTCGAGTCACCATCATTGTACATCTTCTTCATGATGTTTACAAGCGCCGATTCAGGATTATCGCTATCCTTGCTCATCTCGGTGTCCTGTTTTTGCTTCAATCGTTTCTGGATGGCTGTCAACACGTCCCAGTTCTCGCCCTCCTTGGCCTTCTTCAGATAGATAGCCACCATGTCCGTTTTGATCTTGCGATAGCTCTTCTCCACATCAATTTCATGCAGCAGATTGTTCACGCTGAGCCCAAAGTCCTTACCTTGCAGATTGCGCACATGCAGCTGGAGTGAGGTTGTCGTGTAGTTGACGGTCACATCCTCCTCCGAACAGCCCTGCACGCCGTTCAGCGTGATGAAGAGCTTTACAAACTTGGCGCTCTGGTCCCAGCCGTAGTCGGTCAGCTCGTGCAGATATCTGGGGGATGCAGATGGGAGGATTATAGTGCAGGCTTAAGCAATGGATACTACAGTTTTATAAACTTGTAGTAAATTAAAAGTTTATAAACTTTTGCAGTTATAAAAATAAAGGTTTTCCTTAAGATGTATTATTCTCAGGAAGGCTAAAACGTTGAACTTACTAAATATATCAAGCAGTATATGGTGAATGGGTTTACCTTATGCATTCGGTGTGCTCAGGAATAAAACATATGCTTAATCACACACACAATGAACGGACATAATAAAACTACTACAATGCACAAGAATATATACATATTCTTTAGAAAGTACACAATTATAGAACCCTGTAAATCCTTGTGAGCAACGTGACTATCGAGATACATATGAGTTCAAGACCCTCGTGGGTATGGGAATCCCTGGATTGCCCAGACTTGAAGCACCCCGGCGCTCACCTCTTGGCATCGCTAGATCCCGCTGCCTTTCGCTCCGCCGCAATGCGCGCCTTCATCTCCAGGTTGACGATCTCCCGTTCCGCCTCCGCTTTTGCCGTGGTCAGCACGCCTTTTACGCGGGCGCCTTTGGCCTGCTCCAAAAAGGCCGCAAACTCAGCCACATCGCTTTTAAGCTGTTTTACAAGGGGGTGCATCGTTAGTCAAGTAATAACACATCTGGTTACCAGTCAGACTTACCTGTTCCAGGGCCATATTGTCTAGATTACCAATAGCACTGACTTATTTCGTAAATCCGCAGAAATTTCGAGCAACTCAATGACGCCGGCCGCCGCACTAAATGTTCTAGAAGACGAATAACGCGTGGATGAGATGGGCACATTGCGGAAAATACTTCTTATGTATTTTTTGGTATTTTTTGTAGGCAGACTTATAACATAAATTAACTACAACCAGACGGGAACACAAAATATCCTAAATTACAAGGTTAAGATAAAAAAAATGAATAAAAAATGTAATAAAGAAGTTATTCGTCCCTAAAATATACAGGATTCCTTGCAAAAAAAAAAACCGGCAGATTATCGATACCAGATTTTTTAATTGATTTAGAAGTACCTTCTCAAACCACTGCTGATTCTTGGCGCACTTTTGTGCGTTATTTTTTGTTTTTTATTCAATGGTATTTAACTTTCAGTAAAACAATAACAAAACATTAAGAATAGGAAATTCATAAAAAACTTTGATTTGCTATATGGAAACCGAACAGGGTCCACAAAAGTATTTATGTATTTAATGAAAGTGGACATGATATTAGTTTTAAATCGAGCTGGATTGAGAGGATTCAATAGTTAAATTTCACACGCAAGTGAAACCAAGGACAATAAATTTTACAGCGCATATGCCGAACTTTCCCACACCTTTCACTTCCGCTGTAATGGCGATTTCCCGCCAAGCGAGTGTGACCAGTTGGGGATCGCATGACGTTTCGGTATTCTACTCGCAAAAACGGCAAGCACACTTATAATTAATGGCCTCCGTCGCAGTCGAAAAAAAACCATCGATGGTACCGGCTGGACTGAAATTGAACCATCGATATTATCAATAGTGCCATCGATGGTTTTATACCAAATATCTCGCCGAGACAATACGACCCAGTTAACGTGCTTTATCCAGGGAATCCACTTCTCACCAGCGGACGCTGCGCCACAGCCAGAGTTCCGGGATTAAAGGGCGGCGCAGCAGGTTCCGCTATTTGGGATTCCGGATAGAGAGAAGGCATCCAAGTGAGTAGGCCTTGCCGGATAGGGCAATGCCATCAATCACAATCAATCCACAAAACAATCCCAACTGTTCGACACCCCTTTGGCTCTATTTAAAACCCAAAATTGCATTAAATTTAAATTATCCGTGTACTTTTCAGGCCAACAGTCCCCGCAGTAAAACAACTGAGACACAAGCCGATGCCCAGGAGTAGTCTGCTTCTAAGATATCCAGTTAAAGCGCCGGATAATGGCCGATCGCGTCTTGTACCAGGAGTTGGCAACGACAGGCAATCACTATCGCCGCCCCAGGTCGGGAGTGGGGAGTCCCAACATGGTCTATGCCAATGGGGGAGGATCCTGGCGAGCAGCTCCAAGGCAACAGCAAAGGCAGCAGCAGCAGCTTCACCAGAAACCAAACCCTCAGCCGTTGTTCAACAGTCCAGCAGCTGGAGGAAGATGTCTGGTGAAACAGGAAGAGCAGCCTATGGACCCCACAGGAGCTGAAATGGTGGGTTTACCGGCCACTCCGAGAACCACTAAGCAAGCGCGCAATAAAAGCGAAGGTGAGCTTAATAATCTAAAATGTTATAAACTCCAGTAATCCCTGTACTCTGTCCCCGTAGAAGCCATCAATGATCTCCTTGTGCGAATACCGGACATTGGCCAACTGTTCGATGTGCACAGCCGGATTGGTAATGGAACCTTTAGCACGGTTTTACTGGGAACTTTACGGCGGGAGTCGCATCTGCCGGACAGTCTGCGCCGCAAGTTTGCCATCAAACATCATATACCCACCAGCCATCCGGATAGGATAATGAAGGAGCTGCAGTGCATGACCAAAATGGGGTAGGTCCTCAAGTTACATATCCCCTATTCCCGATTATCCTTAGAATCCCCTGAAATGTATACACCCACGCTCTTTCGTCCTCGCCTGCGTCAAACGCCGTTAAACGACGTCAGCCGGTAGCCGCTCCATCTACGTCATTGCAATTTATTTCGCCGCACGAACGAGCGAGATGGGGAGACTATAGCGTTCGTTTATTGCACTTTCACACGCCATTCACGTGCCCATTTACAGTTACATTGAAGCCCTCTCGCTCTCTCCCTGCACAGAAAAAAATTCACTTCTATTTATATATGTATATATGTGTATATATATTTACATTTTTTAAATGTTTATATGCGAATAATTTCAAATCTAGATAAATTCCACATTTGTTTACGTGAAATGGCATCTGCCTCTGCACAACGAAAAAAACCCACTTGTTATGCTTAGGACAAATATATATTTATATTTTTACCCCATTTCTTTGTGGTGAATAATTAGTCATAATAAATTATACATTTATTTTATGTTAAATTGTATAATAAGCTAGAGCCGTAGAGCATCTAAAAAACCATCGAAATCGTTTTTAACATTTTTAACAAAGGCCAAAAACTCCATGTGGTAAAACCACCCAGCTCAAAACCACCACTGTCCAGTAAATTTTTATATATTACTGAGCTTTAACTATTTTGATATAAATATATCAATATCAATATCAATGATATAAATATATCAACCTAATAATATTAATATGCTGATAAAATCATTAAATTAATTACATTTACCCAACTTTTTTTTTCTGTGTGGCAGATGTAATGTTTGTTTATATCACACATGCGTGGTTTCGAGTACAGACACTCGCATATCCTGCAATCCCAGCCGTCTGTTATCGATTGCCTTTCCCGGCACGTCGATTAGATTAGGCCGAATTCGAATCCAAATCGGTTTAATACCGCCTCGAACCGGAGGAGTTAGGGTATCGTCGTCATTGGTCAGCTCATCAGCCGGCTGTATAATTCACCCTCTCCCAAAAAAAGAGAGGGAAAGTAAGTGGGCAGTTTGTGTAGGCGGCGTTGCGTGTTTGACATTAGCCGGCTGCCCGGCTGCCCCCTGATTACCCATCTTTTGCCCCTCGAAGACCCATTCGCCTGCTGCGATTTTGTGTCTATTCAAGCAATTTGCGCAAATTCCGCAGACCCAATTGCGTCACAGTCGATGATAATTATGACTGGGCCATGCCGAGTGCTCCCTCACGTATTCACGTATGCCGTATACCATTTTTCGTATGCCCATCGCCCAGTTCGCAAATCGCATCTTCCATATCGCCCATCGCTCACCCATCGTGTGTGCTGTGCAGTTAACTAGAAGATATGCTGAACAAAATATTTTTCAGAAATATTATTGTACGAATACTAGTGCTTTTCTCAATCAATAACTAATTATTTTATAGTTGAATAAACATTTTTTTACAATAGTAAAGAAAATACTACAAATTGCAAAAAAATTAGAATTGTGGATTTTGACCGAAGGAAACTTACAAAAGGGGCTTTTACCAAAATATTTATATATATAAAAATGATCAGAATTTCAGAATTTAAAGTTTTCGTTGTCAACACCTTAATACAAAAAATAGTAATTTTTTTATTTTAAGAAACATTGTCTTGAAAATAGCTAAAAATATGGGCTTCACTGGTTCTGAGTGTGACGTCGAAGCGCCTCTCTCTCATTATCTCTCTGTAACAAACAGACATGGTGGGCGAAAATGTGTAGGCGAAGAAGGGAAAGCTGGCTTGAAATAATCCGGCTGTCCAATTAAATCAATCCTAACCCAGGATTTTGATATATAAATTGTTTTTTTTTTTATTTTAGAATATAACGTTTGGGCGTATAAACTAACTATTATATCAAACAAAAGCCATATGCCTTTAAGACTAGTAAAAAACAAACAATAGAAACAGATTCGTTAATTTAACCTTATTTAAATCAGAAATACGTCACTGCTTTGAAACACAGTATTACAATTTCCAGAACTAATTTAAAAAACAAAAATCTTATGTATAATCGTATGAATTCCCAGATTGAATTGTATGTAAAATCGTCAAACTGGTCATCAAATTTTTCTCTTATCTATGGAATCCAAAACAATCTATCTAATCTACTGTTTTTCCGCTCTATTTCGATTTCCAGGGGAACGGATAACGTGGTGGGCATCCACTGCTGCCTACGATGTGACGCCTCTGCCGCTTTTGTGATGCCCTATATGGCTCATGACCGATTCCATGATTTTTACACGCGGATGGACGTGCCCGAGATCCGGCTATATATGCGAAATCTACTCGTGGCCCTGCGCCATGTCCACAAGTTCGATGTCATCCATCGTGACGTGAAGCCAAGTAACTTTCTCTATAATCGTCGCCGCCGTGAGTTTCTCCTGGTCGACTTCGGCCTGGCCCAGCATGTAAATCCTCCGGTTATGGGCTCTGCTGGAACTGGTGCCTCCTCCGCTGCCAACAACAACAACAATAACAGTAAGCGACCACGCGAGCGGGAAACAACGGAGGCAGTGCAGCAAAGTGCATCTGCGGATGCAGGTTTGGGTGGAGCTGTTAAGCGTATGCGTTTGCACGAGGAATCCAGCAAGATGCCCCTGAAACCGGTAAACGATATTGCTCAAAGCGAAATGCAGCCGCCGGCCCTAGATGGCTCCAATCCCGTCCAGCAACAGCCAGTGCAGCAGCAGCAGACACAAGCGCAGATGGATCAAACAGCCTCCACTGCATCCGGGAGCAAGTACAATACAAATCGGAATGCCTCCGGAGCGGCCAACAACGCCAAATGCTTTTGCTTCGCAAATCCATCGGTTTGCCTCAATTGCCTAATGAAAAAGGAGATACATGCCTCTAGGGCAGGAACACCTGGCTATCGACCGCCTGAAGTTTTGCTCAAATATCCGGATCAGACCACCGCCGTGGATGTTTGGGCGGCAGGTGTGATTTTCCTCTCGATCATGTCGTCGGTGTATCCGTTTTTTAAGGCACCCAACGATTTTATTGCCCTGGCCGAGATTGTCACCATATTCGGGGATCAGGCCATTAGGAAAACGGCTTTGGCCTTGGAGCGCATGATTACATTGAGTCAGAGGTCCAGGCCACTTAATCTCCGCAAGCTGTGCCTGCGTTTTCGCCATCGTTCCGTTTTCAGTGATGCCAAGCTTCTAAAGAGCCATGAATCTGTGGATGGAAGGTGCGAGGTGTGCAGGAACTGTGATCAGTACTTCTTCAACTGCCTCTGTGAGGATAGTGAATATTTGACGGAGCCACTGGATGCCTACGAATGTTTTCCGGCCAGCGCCTATGATTTGTTGCACCGCCTGCTGGAGATAAATCCTCATAAGCGGATCACCGCCGATGAGGCACTGCAGCATCCGTTTTTCACAGCCGCCGAGGAAGCAGAGCAGGCGACGGATCATGATCAAGTGGCAAATGGAACACCGCGAAAGGTGCGACGGCAAAGGTATCACAACCACAAAACGGTGCCCGCCACTCCAGAGCAACTGAAGCAACAGGTGGCCCTTGACCTGCAGCAAACGGCCATTAACAAACTGTGAAACTAGTCCTCATACATTACATACACCACACAGTCTCGTCATTTGTATATAGAGTATACCCGTATCACATATCACGATTGTACATACATATATAAACAACACCCATCCGAGCACATCTCATATGCACCCAAAGAACTCGTCCAGTGTACAGTGTCCAAGTGCCCAGCTCGGCCGCATCTACTTACCTCAAGCTGCAGGAAGAAAAACCAAATGAAGCACTCAACCCACATATATTTATAGAAAACGTTTCAATCATGAACAAATAGAAAGGAATACAAAAAAAAAGAAGAGAATGATTATGAATTATGGCCGAATGGCTTGAAAAGATTGTATAGATTAGATCCGCAAAGGCAACCCAAGTGCATGACCACCGACCAGTGGCAGGAATTCCGCACTATCCATCATGTTGAATAGTTCGAATAGTTTAAGCTAACCTAAGTATTGCATTGTATATCAGAAAACCATGTGAAGGGGGATATATAAAGAAGCAAAAATATATTTATACCATGAAGTATGAGAACTGGTTTTTTTTGTGGGGCTCCTAAAGAAATTCAATTATTATTAGAAGTGTGCCACTTTTAATTTGGATATCTGTAAGAATAGTTACGGTCTTAGAGCAATTTTTGGTGCTTTTCTGCAAAGCCATTATTCGAAATTTTTGTATCGAAATGTCGAAAAAATCGACCCAAAAATAAAAACCAAGATTTGAACAACGAATTTTAGGAAATTAAACCAGAATCATTTAAAAATATATCGGATTTCTGTACGAAAAATTATGGGCTTAAAAGTGCACATTTTGGTAACATGTTTGCAAACCCATTTTTGGAAAATTTGGAAAGTGACGAAAAATTGACTAAAAAAGTAAGAAAAGTTATGTGTTTAGAAGAGCAGGTTTTAGGTGACTTTTCAGCAAAGCCATTTTTCGAAAATTTTGAAAGGGGTAACAACATTAAAATGACGAAAGATCGACCCCAAAATACAAATCAAGCTGAGAACACAGATTTTTGGAAAATTAAGCCACGATCATTTAGAAGTATGCCACTTTAAAATCGGATGTCTGTAAGAAAAGTTATGGGTTTAAAAGTGCAGGTTTTAGGTGACTTTTCAGCAAAGCCATTTTTCGAAAATTTTGAAAGGGGTAACATCATTAAAATGACGAAAAATCGACCTCAAAATACAAACCAAGCTGAGAACACAGATTTTTGGAGAATTAGGCCACGATCATTTAGAAGTACGCCACTTTGTAATCGGATGTCTGTAAGAAAAGTTATGGGCTTAGAAGGGCAGGATTTTGGTGACTTTTTAGCAAAGCCATTTTTCGAAAATTTTGAAAGGGGTAACATCATTAAAATGACGAAAAATCGACCCCAAAATACAAACCAAGCTGAGAACACAGATTTTTGGAAAATTAAGCCACGATCATTTAGAAGTATGCCACTTTAAAATCGGATGTCTGTAAGAAAAGTTATGGGTTTAAAAGTGCAGGTTTTAGGTGACATTTCAGCAAAGCCATTTTTCGAAAATTTTGAAAGGGGTAACATCATTAAAATGACGAAAAATCGACCCCAAAATACAAACCAAGCTGAGAACACAGATTTTTGGAAAATTAGGCCACGATCATTTAGAAGTATGCCACTTTAAAATCGGATGTCTATAAGAAAAGTTATTGGTTTAAAAGTGCAGGTTTTAGGTGACTTTTCAGCAAAGCCATTTTTCGAAAATTTTGAAAGGGGTAACATCATTAAAATGACGAAAAATCGACCCCAAAATACAAACCAAGCTGAGGACACCGATTTTTATAGAATTTAACCACAATTATTTAAAAGTATGCCACTTTAAAATCGGATGTCTGTAAGAAAAGTTATGGGTTTAAAAGTGCAGGTTTTAGGTGACTTTCCGCAAAGCCATTTTTCGGAAATTTTGAAAGGGGTAACATCATTAAAATGACGAAAAATCGACCCCAAAATACAAACCAAGCTGAGAACACAGATTTTTGGAAAATTAGGCCACGATCATTTAGAAGTATGCCACTTTAAAATCGGATGTCTGTAAGAAAAGTTATGGGTTTAAAAGTGCAGGTTTTAGGTGACTTTCCGCAAAGCCATTTTTCGAAAATTTTGAAAGGGGTAACATCATTAAAATGACGAAAAATCGACCTCAAAATACAAACCAAGCTGAGAACACAGGTTTTTGGAGAATTAGGCCACGATCATTTAGAAGTATGCCACTTTGTAATCGGATGTCTGTAAGAAAAGTTATGGGCTTAGAAGGGCAGGTTTTTGGTGACTTTTTAGCAAAGCCATTTTTCGAAAATTTTGAAAGGGGTAACATCATTAAAATGACGAAAAATCGACCTCAAAATACAAACCAAGCTGAGAACACAGATTTTTGGAGAATTAGGCCACCATCATTTAGAAGTACGCCACTTTGTAATCGGATGTCTGTAAGAAAAGTTATGGGCTTAGAAGGGCAGGATTTTGGTGACTTTTCAGCAAAGCCATTTTTCGAAAATTTTGGAAGGGGTAACATCATTAAAATGACGAAAAATCGACCCCAAAATACAAACCAAGCTGAGAACACAGATTTTTGGAGAATTAGGCCACGATCATTTAGAAGTATGCCACTTTGTAATCGGATGTCCGAAAGAAAAGTTATGGGCTTAGAAGGGCAGGATTTTGGTGACTTTTTAGCAAAGCCATTGTTCGAAAATTTTGAAAGGGGTAACATCATTAAAATGACGAAAAATCGACCTCAAAATACAAACCAAGCTGAGAACACAGATTTTTGGAGAATTAGGCCACGATCATTTAGAAGTATGCCACTTTGTAATCGGATGTCCGAAAGAAAAGTTATGGGCTTAGAAGGGCAGGATTTTGGTGACTTTTTAGCAAAGCCATTGTTCGAAAATTTTGAAAGGGGTAACATCATTAAAATGACGAAAATCGACCCCAAAATACAAACCAAGCTGAGAACACAGATTTTTGGAAAATTAAGCCACGATCATTTAGAAGTATGCCACTTTAAAATCGGATGTCTGTAAGAAAAGTTATGGGTTTAAAAGTGCAGGTTTTAGGTGACTTTTCAGCAAAGCCATTTTTCGAAAATTTTGAAAGGGGTAACATCATTAAAATGACGAAAAATCGACCCCAAAATACAAACCAAGCTGAGGACACCGATTTTTATAGAATTTAACCACAATTATTTAAAAGTATGCCACTTTGTAATCGGATGTCTGTAAGAAAAGTTATGGGCTTAGAAGGGCAGGATTTTGGTGACTTTTTAGCAAAGCCATTTTTCGAAAATTTTGAAAGGGGTAACATCATTAAAATGACGAAAAATCGACCCCAAAATACAAACCAAGCTGAGAACACAGATTTTTGGAAAATTAAGCCACGATCATTTAGAAGTATGCCACTTTAAAATCGGATGTCTGTAAGAAAAGTTATGGGTTTAAAAGTGCAGGTTTTAGGTGACATTTCAGCAAAGCCATTTTTCGAAAATTTTGAAAGGGGTAACATCATTAAAATGACGAAAAATCGACCCCAAAATACAAACCAAGCTGAGGACACCGATTTTTATAGAATTTAACCACAATTATTTAAAAGTATGCCACTTTAAAATCGGATGTCTGTAAGAAAAGTTATGGGTTTAAAAGTGCAGGTTTTAGGTGACTTTCCGCAAAGCCATTTTTCGGAAATTTTGAAAGGGGTAACATCATTAAAATGACGAAAAATCGACCCCAAAATACAAACCAAGCTGAGAACACAGATTTTTGGAAAATTAGGCCACGATCATTTAGAAGTATGCCACTTTAAAATCGGATGTCTATAAGAAAAGTTATTGGTTTAAAAGTGCAGGTTTTAGGTGACTTTTCAGCAAAGCCATTTTTCGAAAATTTTGAAAGGGGTAACATCATTAAAATGACGAAAAATCGACCTCAAAATACAAACCAAGCTGAGAACACAGATTTTTGGAGAATTAGGACACCATCATTTAGAAGTACGCCACTTTGTAATCGGATGTCTGTAAGAAAAGTTATGGGCTTAGAAGGGCAGGATTTTGGTGACTTTTTAGCAAAGCCATTTTTCGAAAATTTTGAAAGGGGTAACATCATTAAAATGCCGAAAAATCGACCCCAAAATACAAACCAAGCTGAGGACACCGATTTTTATAGAATTTAACCACAAATATTTAAAAGTATGCCACTTTGTAATCGGATGTCTGCAAGGAAAGTTATGGGCTTAGAAGGGCAGGTTTTTGGTGACTTTTTAGCAAAGCCAATTTTCGAAAATTTTGAAAGGGGTAACATCATTAAAATGCCGAAAAATCGACCTCAAAATACAAACCAAGCTGAGGACACCGATTTTTATAGAATTTAACCACAATTATTTAAAAGTATGCCACTTTGTAATCGGATGTCTGTAAGAAAAGTTATGGGCTTAGAAGGGCAGGATTTTGGTGACTTTTTAGCAAAGCCATTTTTCGAAAATTTTGAAAGGGGTAACATCATTAAAATGACGAAAAATCGACCCCAAAATACAAACCAAGCTGAGAACACAGATTTTTGGAAAATTAGGCCACGATCATTTAGAAGTATGCCACTTTAAAATCGGATGTCTGTAAGAAAAGTTATGGGTTTAAAAGTGCAGGTTTTAGGTGACTTTTCAGCAAAGCCATTTTTCGAAAATTTTGAAAGGGGTAACATCATTAAAATGACGAAAAATCGACCCCAAAATACAAACCAAGCTGAGGACACCGATTTTTATAGAATTTAACCACAATTATTTAAAAGTATGCCACTTTAAAATCGGATGTCTGTAAGAAAAGTTATGGGTTTAAAAGTGCAGGTTTTAGGTGACTTTCCGCAAAGCCATTTTTCGGAAATTTTGAAAGGGGTAACATCATTAAAATGACGAAAAATCGACCCCAAAATACAAACCAAGCTGAGAACACAGATTTTTGGAAAATTAGGCCACGATCATTTAGAAGTATGCCACTTTAAAATCGGATGTCTGTAAGAAAAGTTATGGGTTTAAAAGTGCAGGTTTTAGGTGACTTTTCAGCAAAGCCATTTTTCGAAAATTTTGAAAGGGGTAACATCATTAAAATGACGAAAAATCGACCTCAAAATACAAACCAAGCTGAGAACACAGATTTTTGGAGAATTAGGACACCATCATTTAGAAGTACGCCACTTTGTAATCGGATGTCTGTAAGAAAAGTTATGGGCTTAGAAGGGCAGGATTTTGGTGACTTTTCAGCAAAGCCATTTTTCGAAAATTTTGAAAGGGGTAACATCATTAAAATGACGAAAAATCGACCCCAAAATACAAACCAAGCTGAGAACACAGATTTTTGGAGAATTAGGCCACGATCATTTAGAAGTATGCCACTTTGTAATCGGATGTCCGAAAGAAAAGTTATGGGCTTAGAAGGGCAGGATTTTGGTGACTTTTTAGCAAAGCCATTGTTCGAAAATTTTGAAAGGGGTAACATCATTAAAATGACGAAAAATCGACCCCAAAATACAAACCAAGCTGAGAACACAGATTTTTAGAGAATTTAACCACAATCATTTAAAAGTATGCCTTTTTGTAATCGGATGTCTATAAGAAAAGTTATGGGCTTAGAAGGGCAGGTTTTTGGTGCCTTTTTAGCAAAGCCATTTTTCGAAATCTTTGAAAGGTGTAACATCATTAAAATGACGAAAAATCGACCCCAAAATACAAACCAAGCTGAGAACACAGATTTTTGGAGAATTAAGCCACGATAATTTAGAAGTATGCCACTTTAAAATCGGATGTCGGAAAGAAAAGTTATGGGCTTAGAAGTGCAGGTTTTAGGTGACTTTTCAGGAAAGCCATTTTTCGATGATAGAAATGACGAAAAATCGGCCTACATTCTTTTGAAATGTATACAGATTTTAAGCAGGTTTTTATATTAAAAACATATAAACAGATTTATATATGAAACAATAGTTATATTTATAGTAAGCAATTGAAAGAAAACATAGTTTTAAAGGGGAAGGAAAGAGTCCATTCCCCGGAGGACTTAACACTAAGCTAGATCAGAGCACAGGGTTACTATTCCATTTAGGTTTCCATCTTCTCGGCTTTCTTGCGCTTCGTTTTGGATGTGGATGGGGATTCAGCGGCATCTGTACCTTCCGGGACCTCCTCCACACGAATCCTCTTGCCGGCAACCACATCCTCCTTGGAGGGCTGTGTTTCCATGGCCCTCTTCTTGGGCTTCACGAAGCTGCCACGTCCCGCGGCGCGTTCCGCCTCCTCGATGCTGTAGGGCTCGACTTCCAGGGCCTTGAGCCGCCTTTTGTGCACCTTGGTGCGGAAATGGGCCTGCATGGCGGTGTCGTCTATGAAGTACTTGGCGCAGTGGACACAATAGAACTGGGCGAATCCCGGCTTGTCCAGATCCACATTCTGATTTATGAGCTCACCGCTCTTGGTGCGCAGATCATCATCAATCTGGTCCAGATCACGACGACGATTACGCACACGCCATCTTCTTTGCAAATGGGTATCCCCATAGTGCATCTTCTTACGCTTCGTTACCATTCCCATTTTGCTGTTTTTTTTAAATTATTACTTGAGCAAAAAAAAAAAAAAACGTTTGTTTTGGCACGTGTTTTGGTTGCAAGTGTCTATTTAGCTGAAGTAAGTTGTATAGAGTTTTTCTATATCCTGTAACTAATCAAATCAATAAAATGGTATTTAAAACAATTAACTGTACTGAAAATTATACCTTTTTAAACTAACTAAACAAGATTCTTTAATTTTAAGAAATTTAATGCGCACAAAACAATGGCAATCTAGCGATAACTCAAAAATATCGATAGACACAATACCAAAGGTGTGTACACACTGGCTCGCAGCTGTTAGGATTTTTATTAAATAAATACTAGAAAGTTAAAATGAAATAACAAAAATGTATTTACTCATAAGTTTTAATTCCAATTAATTTACTTGTTTATCAACTTTAGCTGCTTTAAGCATACACATTTAAACTAATGTATATGTCATTTTTTAGTGCCTTTTTGTATCCAGTGCACTTTTAAATTAAAATAACATATGTTCGCTAATAGTTCATCAACAATCGTGCGAACAAGTTGTCTGCGGGCGGACGTGGTGCGCATTTTGTTTTGTTTTTATTTATTTCCGCAGGAAGTATAGTAAGCCTGGCCTGCAGTTTTATATCCCTGCAAAAGTTTAATAGATAAAGTGCAATTGATTAAAAAACGAGTGGGGGAAACAAACGCACACCCATAAACTCGCGCACACACATGTGCGATTGGATAACACTGTGAAATGGATCGGGTCTTACACTTGCAAAAAACGATTGAAGCAATTATAGCAATTGTTTTTGTTGTTTGAGATGCTGCAGCCGGCTATTGCTATCTCTTTTGTTCGCAAAGCTTAGCATTTGTATATCATGTATGTGCGTTCGGCTGGGATTTTGTGCAAAAAGCCAGAACAACAACAAAGTAATAAACAGAAACTCTGATTGCGGATAAAAGGGCGGTGGGGAGCGGAATAAGTAGGGGGGTTAAAAGGGAGAGGGACAGCTGCTGCAACCATTGTACTAAACAATTGTTGGTTTATTGGCATTTATTGTTGACTCTCTGTTTTAAGCTAGACATTCCGTTGAATTCACTACTTAAACCGGCACTATTACAACATTATTACATCTAGAGCAGCAGCAACGACTTGCCCCGCCAATTACTGTAAGTAACGTAAAACAAAAGAAAGAACAAATAATAATAATACCTTTTAACAGAACAAGAACAAGAAGAGCCTAACAACTCTTATCGATAATCAGCGATTGCATTCCGATTGTGATTATCAGTTGAAATTGCTTATCAGTCAATTACAAGCATAATTAACCGACTATCTGTGTGTGTGTGTGCTTTGATTGATATACGAATTTAGATCAACAAACTCTCTCTTCCTCTCTTTGTCTCTCTTTTCACTATGATATAACAGCTCCCCATCCCCGCCCTCAAAAAAAAAACGTACGCACTAAACGAAAATAAATGCTCTCGCTCTCTTATTTGTTTTTGTAATATATGCCAGTCACGATTTGACATTTCGCAAAGGTGAGAATGTGAAGTAAAAAGGATTGAGATTTCTTGCACTAACATCGTTCAAAAAGATCAGCTGATAAACCATATGTCCATGCAATTACACAGAAAAAAAATGTAAATCGATATATAATTCATTTCAATCTGATGAGTTGAAAGATATTCCAATAAAAATTATATATTTTTTTTAATATAAATGTAATAAAAAATGTTAAAGCTTAACTTTCTTTTATTAAAAAAAAATTGTAAGTTTTTTTTTGATATTGTACACTTAAATTTAACCTGTGTAAAATGTTTGTCTGTATAATTAAATCCAACTTGCAATTCTTATTCGAATCGGGCTAATTTTTTTTCTACGTAGCGGGATGGAATTGCTAATGCAAGCGACTAAAAGCGAGAGTGTTAGAGAGAGGGAGGGAGATAAAAAGAGAGAGACGTCCAACCGGTTTAGTCTTTCGTTAGTTTTAGATATTTAGTTATCAGAGGCGCATTAAAGGGGGATTCAGCTCACACCCCCAGAAACTCTCATAATAATAGACTATGCAAAGGAATAGCCTATTATTTTGGGGGGTTACACAGAAACCACAAACTTTTAGACCAAACAAACTCTAGCTTTAAAATAAATATTTTCTTAAAGATAAGGAAACTTAAATTAAAATATTGTTGAGTTGACTGTAGATGAATAGATCAAAAAATTACAACAAAAAGCTAATTAAATGAATTCCAAAACCCTTTGACCACTTTTATTAAGTTTAATTTATTTAAAGATTATCAAGTCTAAAAGTATCTATATTTTTATCATAATGAGCATTTACATTTTAGTTTAGATCTAAATAATTTGATGTACATTTTCTTTTATGATATAAATTTAACATTATTAACTTTTTATTTGTAAGATGTTTGATTAAAAAATACCCCTGAAAATGTTTTAAGTAGCCACCACTGTTCAATAGATATTGCAAAATCGAAAAACCATTGCTGCATCCAAGAGTAGTAATTATGTTTTGTATGTTCTCTTTTGACGTGTTATTTTGAAAGTCTCTGGTTTCCGTATCAATCTTTGACTGCCTAGAAATACCGTAACAAAGCTAATTTTCCTTTCGTTTGGGCCAAAAAAAAAACCAACCAACCAGTTGACCAGTTGTGCCAGTCCAGTTCAGTTGGATCACTATTGAGTCCATCGCTCCAAGGCTAAACCATTCCATTCCCCACCAGATCACATAAAGAGGTTTTAAACGTGAAATTAAGCTCGGCACTGCACTCGACTACTTATTTGTATAAAGATTTCGCCGCTCAGAATAAGAAGAATTCCAGAGAAACGGGTTTTACATCGGGTATTCTAGACACGAGTGTTTCTAACGCTTCGTTGTGGTTTTGCTATTTATTTTTTATAAATGAGATTAATTTCAAAAAAAGAGGGGAGGAGTACGTGTTTTAACGTTTCAATACAATCTGCGAGTGTGTTCGTTTGCGTTTTTCCCGCAGCTTCATTATAATTCAATATTACTGAATATTAACTTGTGAAATAATTAGTTGAACTTTGGGTTTTTTTTAACGGTGTGTGAACTAAATCTGTTTTATTTCAAATAATAAGAGGTTAGAGGTTTCTTAGTGTCCCTGACCTCGTATCAGTTGGCATTTTTGTGCCCCAACCGCACTTCCTGCATATCAGAACTTTTTTGCCTTGCATGCCACAAGTGGCTCGAACATATTTTCCTGATTACTTTTGTAAAGCGGTCGCAGCACCTTATCACTAAACTACGATATGAACTAAACACTCGATTGCGGTGAACCACAGAGACAAACAAAAGTTCAACAAAAAAATACAAAACAGGCAGAAGTCACTGAAGTACCCAGCTTGATTCGTCTGTTTTAATTCAGGTTCGTAGTGTTCCCAATTGCAGAAGTGGAACAGCAGTTGGAGGAGTAGCAGGCGCCCCATTATAATCCAGGTTAATCCAAGGTCAGGCGTGAGTCGGGGGAAAGTGGGCGGTACGGTTTCCTCTTTATCCGGTGGGTGGGGCACGTGGAGTTATGTCTGGTATTTTCATTTCACTCGCACTTCATTCCCTCATTTCGCATTTAGCATTCCTTTCAAAGATGTGAAAGGGAAAGAGCGGAGGTTGGACTGTTCGGAGATTGACTTTCTAATTGAAATAATGGTTTGAATGGGACTTAGGTTGGGCAGCTGACCCAAAACACACTCTCAAAGCAACCTTTCGATATATGTATGTCGAAATTTTATCTTATGTCTAAGATTATGGCTATATGGATGGCTATATGAAAATATTTTATGCATTAATAAAAACATTTTAAAAAGATCGCAATAACCATGAGCTTTAGTGATAACTTTATAATATATTTATTTGTTTAAGTTTTGTGCCTTTCATTTGGCAATATTGATCTTTAAAACAAGATAGAGTTTTGGAAACACATATTTGGTATTGCAAAGTTTTGATCTCAATCTTAAATTCTTTAAAATTCTATATCAACGAATGTCAAATATTAAGCTACGTACCTAATAGAGGTACGAAATTACTAAAGCATCACAACGTATGGTAAACATTATTTTCCTGATCTATTATTTTGCCCGCAGTTATACGTACATTGTTTATTGTTCACTTACGAGCGGCAATCATTTAATGCGACTTTCACTTCATTCTCCTCCGCAGTCATTAATCGCAGATCCACAGAAGAATCGAGCGCAGTAAGAAGACAAACCTCCAGCAGCAGCTATGGACCACGCCCATCACAGTGCAGCCGGTGTTGGTGGGTTTGGGTTTGGATACATCCGTTTGATCCGTTTCTGAGCACTCCTTGATAATTCACAGATCACTCGATGATGCATCACGACCATGCGGGTATGCATCACGATCACAGCGGAATGGGAGCTGCAACTGTTACACCTGATCCTGCATCCATGTTTGACCTGATTCCCGACACCAACGATTTGCATGCGGCCCACGCGGGTCACGCAGTTCACAACCACGGCGGTGGGTCTGGCACGGGAATGGAGCACATGATGCCCATGGCGGTAGGAGAACATATTCCAATGGGAAACACCCTCTCATTACCCATTTAACATCCACAGTTCCACTTTGGATACGACGAGACAATCCTGTTCTCCTGGTGGCACATCGAAACGGTGGCCGGTTTGGTGGGCTCCATGATTGCCATTTTCCTGCTGGCGCTGATGTACGAAGGTCTGAAGTACTACCGGGAGTATCTGTTCTGGAAGACGTACAATCTGCTGGAATATCGTCCGGTTACGGGGCCGCAGCGAAATCCGGAGGCGCCGCGTATACCATCGCCAGCGGCCGCAGCTCCCTCGCCCGTGCAGTGAGTTCCGGAGCTTTGCTTTTGATTACCCATTATCCATTATCCAAAGGGGCGGATTTTCTTCCCCTTTAGAGTTACAGCATGCTTTTTGCCCTCACCCCTGGCCTTAGCTTTGTATCTACTGTATCCGTACTTGTTGTATATATTAATCTTAATGCTTTCTTCTTTCTTCTCGTTTCGTTTTCGTTGCCGTTACCCGTTAAATCGTTTAAATCCGTACCGCTACTGCCCCATCCTGCTCCATCAATATATATCTACATATCATCAATGGGCGCCGCTCTTCATTTGTAAATTGATCCATCACAAATACTCAATATCAAAAACCAAATTCATACCGTTCTGCCTCGCTTCGCCTCGCCTCGATTCGTTAATTTTTGTATAATTGATTATGTGATTCACGCGACCGTAATTGAAATAATTGTAACTCAAATCTGATTCTGTATCTGCATCTGCATCCGCGAATCGCATCCGCAATCGTGTGGTGTCCCCCCCGGCACGCTTCGATCGATCCTTTTTAGATACGTGGGCGAAGTTGTGCACAAGCAACCGTAAGTATCGCTCCATATCCCCCCATTTGCCCACCCCAAACAACCAATATGTATTCCCACCAGTCCCTGTATAATCTGTATGCCTCACTTAAGTTTGCGTTAATTTCCAATTTCGTTGGCTATCTGATATGTCCGTCCATCCGGCAATTAATGGGAAAAAACTCATAGCAGCTGTTGCTCGGTACTCCATTTCCCCTTATCGGTTTTCAAATTGCCGTTTAATTTGTACAGATATCTGGAAGAAAATATATAATATTACACTTGGTTACACACCTGTAAACAACACACAGTAGTTCAAGTTGAAAATTAGTTTAGAACCTAACCCTAATTTATTGGTAGCTTAATCTAACAATGCAACTTTAGAGCAGGACAACCCCAATGACCAACACGAAGCCCCGAAGGATCAGCGCTATACATATAGTCTATTTTGTATTGTTTTATACCGTTTTGTTCTGTTCTGATTTTTGTGACGTTCAGTTATGTACTTTCTGTTGTCCTGCTAATTTTCTATAAATATCTGGATGGTTTCGCTGAAACTTAACGTAAATCTTTCAATTGCTGTATAGACCTTCGATGCTGTCGGTTAACCACCTGCTCCAGACACTGCTGCATGTGATCCAGGTGACTTTATCCTTCCTGCTCATGCTGATCTTCATGACCTACAACGTGTGGCTCTGCCTGATGGTTGTCCTCGGCGCCGCCGTTGGATACTTCCTGTTCTGCTGGAAAAAGTCGGTAATCGTTGACGTCACCGAGCACTGTCACTAACAGAGGACCACCGAAAGCCTCAGTCGCCGATGTCTCACGGAGGCGGACGCGGAGGAGGAGCAGCTGTCCATCTAAACGGAAGGCGGAGGCGTTGGTGCTAAGCTGGAATTCCCGGAAGCTCTCATCCCCACAGAAAACACACTTCTATACCCCTGCCACTTGCTACTCTCTGGGTATTAGCCCCATAACTAACTTTTAAGCTAGTTAAAACGATGCGGCGGCAGTCTGCACAGAATATCAAAACCATTCAAACTCCGTCAGTCGCTGCATCGTTTACAAATAACTTTAAATCCCGACATCAAGATCAACTGTGTAAAAGGCCCGTTCGCAGGGATTTGAGGGCATTCGTTTTAAGTCGAAAGTGTATAGTATAAAAAAGAACAAATTGAGCGACAGGCGAGCGAATTGTATAAAGTTAAGCAATGCAAATATAATTGTTTTCTGTTGGTACTCAATCTATGTTCGCAGGATTCCTCCAAAAGCATATATTTTTTTTACATTATTATTATATACCATTTTGTATCCTTATTAAAAGATTATGATTATTATTATTTGGTAATAAAATCCATTCTTTTTTATATTTCACTTCTGTTTGTTAGCCCCCACAAAAGACATTTTTGTTAACATTGGCTTCCTTATGAAATGTTGTACGGTTTGCGAATGTGCTCCAGTGCGTTTCAAAAGAGTAATTTGGTTGCGGAAAAATGGGCATATCCCCGAAAATCCCAATTAAGATGGTTGACATTGATGTTAAACTTGCATTTACGTGTTTCAAAAACAACTGACATTACTTTGGGCTTGATAATTGTTACAGCTTTTTAAACACTATCATCTAATTAATTTTAATGTGTTCCATTATTTTCACAACGTATATTTAATAGTTGTCTGGACTCGAAAATTACGGATTGCAAAAACAGGCGTTAGGCTCATTAATTGTTTGCTCAACTCGAAAACGGCTGCTGTAAATTGCTTTCCTAAATGAACGCAATAGACTTTCAAACCATGTCTTAAAATGAGTTACTTTCCCGAAACGCACTGTATCCAGCATAGCGTACATAAATAGATATTGTAGATATTAAACTAAATGCAAATACATACAGTAAACGGAAACAAATTTATAAATATTATTATTAAATCTACTTATACATTAATAAATATACAAGCAGAATATTGTTATAACCGAAATGGAACCAGTCTTTGAAATATAAAGTTTTGGGAAGGGAAACATGGGTTATTATTTTAAAGCGAAATTTAACAAAAATTATATAGTTTTTAGTTTTGATTACCTTAATACCATGTGCAACATATTGACAGGATAAATATAAATATATTTTTTTAAAGCGAAATTTAACAAAAATTATATAGTTTTTAGTTTTGATTACCTTAATACCATGTGCAACATATTGACAGGATAAATATAAAGTAATGTGTTGTTAAAAAAAAACATACTTTAAAAAATTTAATACCGTTTACCTTGCTTGATCTTATTTATGATCTTTAATTATTTATTTACCTAGGAAAGGTAAAAATAATGATTATAAAGAAAACAACAGATTTGATCTTATATTGTGGATTTACTTTGATCTTTATTAGAAAATTATTGCGAGTCTCTCGATAGAATGTTGTATCCTTACTCATATCGTAATTCATAATTAAAAACATCTTTACATGACTACAGGCGATTGATCAAATTTTATTGATTGGTTACACTATACTTAATTTCGTAATTTTTTTAAACTCTTACTTGCCCGATGGGAATTCAATTCAATTGATTAATTTGCTAGTTGATCGTTGTAACAAAAAACGGGGTTGATGGATTAGTGGATGGGATCAAGGTTTTTTTGTGTTGAGGTCCTTGCAGGAAAGGGGATAAGGAGCTCATTTTGTGGGAACACTAAACTTAAGCGGCCCATACATTAATTTATGTACGGTTCAAATGATTCAATATTTAACTGACAACTCGCGCGTCTTCGATTACGATATTAAGATCGAAGGATGGGTGGAGTAATGGATAGTGGAGTTATAATATAATATAGTTATAAGTAGATGAGAGAAATTGAAATTCACCTCGTTTGTATCATGCCTAATACAGTTCTACACGAGTGTCTCTTTCTGCCTTCTCTTTCACTCTTCTCTCTCTTTCTCTGATCACTGATCGTTCGTTGATCGCCGATTGATGATCGTTGATTTTGGATTACGGATTACGGATTACGGATTACGGCCGCCTTGTCTGTCGTGAAGAAACATTTATGTGGGGAGGTGTGGCATAGAAGTTACCTGGTTGGTTCTTCTTTCTATATATACATATATATATCTCTCTCTCTCCCTCTCTTTATATATATCTCTCTCATTCATTTCTACATTTTAGGGTTACGTTCTTCAGTTGGCGGCTCCTGGAATATGTTTGCAGAGAAAAAAATGTGAGTTAAGTGAGCCAGATTAAAAGTTTGGGGGCGGTAGAAATTGGGTAGCGTAGCTTAGACTAATTTCGAGCTGATCGTGTAAATAGATTTATAGATTCAGAGTTCATTTAAGTGTGTTTTTTATTATTTAGCGTGGCACGAACAGTACAGAACATACATCTACGATGGGTTCGTCTTTTGGCTCTGGACAGCGATTCAACCTACGGCTGATCGGGCCACATCAAAAAAATAGTCTTAACATATCATAATTTGGGAGGGTCGGGGGTCAGTCACAATTTACCTGTTGGTGAAGAGGAGGGGAACATGAACATACACTTGTGTATGGGTATAGGAACTCTCGCCCTCTCTGTCTGTGCTCTGTTTGCTGTCTCCCTCTGCTCTGCCTATCCTTGTGTTTTTATTGATTATAATTTAATTCGATTTAGCAATTCAATTACCTCGTGGTTTTTCGTAGGTGTCTTGGAATCTTGGCTTGAAGATTTCGCTGGGGTTAGTTTTTTTATCTTAAGAAATACGATAGTGCAGGGTGAAGGGAGGATGGGAGGGGCAGTACACCACAACAATGAAATAAGGATCCAAAAAAAGGGAACATTGAGATACGACGGCAAGCCGACGCCTTAAGATCCCTCTTCAAATTAGGCACTTTTTAACTACTTTAAACTTGGTATTTTTTAATTTGGGAAACATAAACAATATGTCATGATAATAAGGTTTCTTAAACTCCTGACAGTTATCAATTATTTTTTAAAATGTGATACAAAATACATAGATACAATAAAGATCTTGAAGTTCTGGCAAACAATAATTAAAGCAAATACTATTCATTAATGATTTCTATAATAATTATGTAACTTATTTAGCTCAAAAATCTTTGGAAAGGGATCATCGGTTGGTTGGGTTCATCGATTGATCAAATGTACCTGCAATCTGTCACTCAGTAGTAGCTCCTTTCACTTTCTTACTTTCACAGTCCGTCACTTTTTATTTTTTGGATTCTGGCCAAGGTACTACGACTACGTACCTCCACTTGGGAGCTCGAACCCATCCCATCGCACACAAATGACCCAGCAACCCAGTCGCCAAGTCAAGCCAAAGGAACATGCAGTACCAGTCGCTCTCTCTAAGTCACTCTATATAGTACTATATATACATTTATGGATTATGGTATATGGTTTATGGCGTGTGTACTCGTGTTTTCGGGGGTGTGTGGGTGTGCCGGGGGGATTGCATGGAATGCGTGTATCTGTTTCTGTTGGGTTAATTAAGCGCAAAGAGATAACAGTAAGGCTTGGTAAATACCTGTTTCAGTCACTGTCCCACTCACAATTTCAAGGAAAACGTCCAAAGAACGCTCCGTATCGCCCTAATCCTCTGCCTATCTCTTGCTCGTAACGATATCATATGTGCATATATATGTAGGTATAAACCGGATGGTGGAACGCTTTGCAAAATCTCTCTTAGAAATTCATTGATCTGTATAACAAATTAAACCTAAACCTGACTTAAACTGCGTAATGGAAACAGTCTAAAACACTATGTTATTTAACAATAATTATTATAAGTACACTATAGAAGCACTCAAAAATTAACCATAGCCTAAGATATTGTGTATTGTATTCAAACGGCATTCTTTTGATATTTTCCATAGGCACAAGAATTAAAAACAAAAAAAGGTTAAATGACGTTTTTTTTTCAAATAAATTGCGCTTTTATCAAATATCATAGGTTAATACTTTGAAAAAATATATATACAGAAACAAATGAAAGCAGATGAATTCATAAATTTTGTATCCTTTGCGAAGGTAAAAACTTCAATTTTATTTATTATTGTAGCATTTAAAAATATTAAATTTTAAAGAGGTTGTATTTCTTTAATCAAAGAAACAAATTGGTTTTAGTGTTTTAAGAACTGAAGCAGCATTATATACCATAAACAATAATATAAAATTAATTTTAAAATACCAATTCCCATCTACAGCTTAAAGGGTCACTTCGTAGGTCCGTCTGTTTATTTAAAAAGGACCTGGCCTTCGTGAAATCCTTGAAAAGATGTTAGCCCAACTGGGTACACACATTGAGGGGGGCGTGTGTGTACACGGATATAGATCGATTTATAGTCGAGTTATGGTACGAAACGAGTATGTCTACAGAATGTGGAGTGGCACAATGGCGCCGGAGTGTTACTTTTTACTGGTTTATCAAGTGTTCGACTCACCTCAGCGCACTCGTTCTTGCCAGCTCAGATACTGTTTCTTTTTTACTGTTTTTTATACATATTACTTTGAAAATTGTGTTAATGATTTTTGTTTTTTTTTTGGGGTACCTCGATGCTGCCGTCTTTCGCCACGGCAGCTGCAGCTTACGGATTATGGATTTGCGAACACATAAGACTGAAGACTGCAGATGGACGAGAGATTGTGTTCTGTTGGTCTTGATCATATTTAGTTGTGTAGTTTCGTTTTCGGGCTTTGGGAACAGCTCCTGACTTTCTGCTTATGATTCTATGCGTCATTTACTTGTAGTGTTTGCTTTTCACTTGGTATATTTCTGTTTTTGGTCTCTAGTAGCGGCTGCGACTCCGACTGCGGCAATGTCGCTCGCGACTGTCGTGGCGGTAGTGATTATGGTTGTGATTGTGGTGGCTCCGGTTGCTTCGGTTGCCACCACCGCCGCCTCCTCCACCTCCGCCTCCTCCTCCGCCGCCACTGCGCGAGTATGAGTGATGAGAGCTGTGGTGCGACTTATGGTGATCTGGAACAATAAAGTTATGGTTTAGAAAAGCTGGTGTGCCGTGTGCAAGTGCAAGCGCGACCCTGGTCTCCAAAAACGAATCGGAGAGCTGGTGTCGTGGGGACTTACGGTGACGCCGATCCGAGGGCTGACGATTCTGGACATAGTCGCGACTCCGTTCCCGGTATTCGTTGCGTGGCTCGCTAAAGAATCCAAAAAGAGGAAAATTAGTGATAAGCGAGGATAAAATATGCTGAATTCATAAATACTTGAGGTACAGCCAAGTCGTAATTAACAAAAATATCTCTTAGCATTATTACTATAGGTATAGAGAACACTGAAATTCATATCCAATATTTTATGCACCTATGTTTAAAAACAATAAAATAAAGGATCCTTAATGAGAAATGGATGTGATTTAATAAAAACAAACTGGTACAAAACTATACGAATTATTAATTATACTTAGCAGGTTTACATAAAGGTAGGATTCCCAAAAGTTTACTACACTAGGCAGGACTGTTTATATTCGTATATAAAAACTATTATTTTATGTATGGGATTCTATGACATCATATCGTATTAAAAAGCATCTAGTCAATTTGCATTCAGTAGCCATGTGATATAATAATCCCAAAGTAAACAAACTTAGCAGCATTACTCATAGTCACATTGAACGGCAATCTGCCAAGTTTGTTGTAATTAACTAGGAAAAGATCAAATGAATTCTTGTTTTCGATTGTTTCTATAGGATATAGGGTCTGACATGTCTGGATTAGCTGAATAACATGCACAATCTTTTTTTTTAATATTTGACTTTCAAATACTTCCATGCTGAAGTACTCGCGATTTGTTATGCATACAAAATAAGCACTATTGGTCCAGTCTATAAAAGATGAAATTGTTTTTAATGTAATATAAACCTGATGGTCAAAGCTTTTAATGAACCAAATTTATTTACTATAAGCTAATAAGTGATTTGTTATCATTAATGGACTCTGCTTCTAAAACTTGACATTAAAAGTCCAATGGCTAAAAAATATATTTGAATCCCAATTATATACTTACCGCCTGTTGTCGTAGGAGTGGAAACGCTGCACTCGGCACTCCCGCCGCCGTCGATCTTCTTGCTCGCGCTCCTTTTGCCGCGCATCGTTGATCTCGGCCACCGCGTTACGCAGCTTGGAGTACCCCAAATGCTGTTTGCCCATCAAATGGTCCTCGATCCGCTGCTGTGCATCCCCAACGATCAGGAAGGCCCCGCAGATCTCGCAGACCTTCATCTGTTTTTCGGGCAGAGCATCGTGCGTCCAGCCAGCCGCCTTGCTTTCGGTCTTCTCCGCTTTGTCATCACTGGCTGTTCCAGTTGATTCTCCCTCCTCCGCAGGAGTACCTCCTGCTGCTGCTGCCGAACTTGGAGCAGCCTCTGGAGCTTCATCACTAGTAATGGCGGCCGCAGGAAGTGTGTTTGTGGTTTCCTCGCTGGGATTTGAGACAGGACTGCTAAGCGCCGGCTGCAGCTCATCATCCGGTGGCCTGGTCAAGCTAATGCTGCTGATAGCCTTGTGATTGGCCTCGTGCTGCTGAACCAGTTGCTCCTTCTCCTCCTTGAGCTCCTCGCACAGGGTCATCAGATCCTGCGCCTGGTCCACGTCTCCACGAATGCCCGCTTCTTCTGCTTCGGAGAGAAGCTTATTGATTCTGGCATTAAGGTTGGCCAGTTGCTCCTGGTGCCTGCTCAAAGGAGCCGGAGCATTGGGCTGATCCCTTTGCATTAGGAGCAAGCGCTGCTTGCCCTTTTGAATCTTTCGATCGACATCGTGCAGCATGACGTTGCAAAACCGGAGGAACTCATCTTCATATTGGCGTTTCCTTTGCGAAGGACGAGCATCTTCATAGAGGTGACGGGCCTCCTCGTCGTGGATGCGGGCGCAGGGTCCCAGATCCGCGCGGGTATTTATAAACAGATCATGTGGGCAAAACTTTACGTTGTAGAATTGGCAGAACTGAGGGCAAAATATACATTATTAGGTGGTTCCCCAGGATGTAAACTCGAAAACCTCACCTCTGGATCCTCCCAGTTGACCTTGGCGCCCGCCTCCGAGGGATGAAGGTTCCGATTCCTGCCCATCAGCTCATCGAGCATTTGCCTGGCGGCGTCCACCATTTTCCGAGACTTCCTTGTCTTTGGGTTCCTCAATTCAAGGGGTAAACTGTAGAGGGGGTGGTGGAGCAAAGCGGTGCAAGTAGTCCAATCCAAGTGATGCTTCCGATTCCAGTGGTGCCGCACCCACTTTTATGGCCTGGATGGTGCCTGCGGACAGGTGCAGGCACTTAGAACACGTGTAGAAAGCTCTTTTACCGACAATTTCGCCAAAAAGAATCAATAAAATTCACGAAATAAAATTCGTGTGGTATTGAATTTGTGCAGCGCAGTGTGACCGTCGCGGTACTTCGCGAAAATCAACGGTACAAAGACATCGCGAACCGCAAATGCGCCATTTGAAGAGTTTTTGAAAAAAGTTTAACTGTAAGCTCATCTTAAAATTTTTTTAAAATCGCTAATTATATGGCTGTGAGAGAGTTTATGAAAACATATAATTAGTTCTTTAGATTTTCTGCAAATTCCCATCGCTTTCCACTTGTATCAAAGTCTTGTATGAGGACTTAAATTATAAAAGAATTCTTAAGCTTCTTGTTGTTTGACGATATGTTTGTATATCATTTGGTGAACGGAAAAATGTCAGAAATTTGATAATTTTGACAAATGCTTAAGTGACCAGAAATTTTAATGTTTTGTCTTGCTAAAACTTCCCTAATTTAAACGTATTTTATTGTCAAATCAAAACATTAAATTTTTTATAATTTGTAGCAACAGATAAATTCAAAATATTATATCATGAAGTGATTACATATATATAAGACCTAATCCGTCCTGGAATTCTTGGAGACATTAAACATTCAAAAATCTCAAAAATTGTTTATTATATTATATACATATTTATATTTAAATTACTATCTGTACAAAAGAAACCAGGGCTTAAATAAATAAATTAACTATACCACAAAATAAATTAAATTGTCAACTAATGTGACCTTATAAGAAAACTAAGGAATAACGATGTGGCAGCGCTTTGCCTGCTGGCGCTGCCACCCTATCTCAACTGTCAGAAAAAGGCGCCAAAAATTGGCAAAGCACGCAGCTGTAAACAATTGCAAACGCAAAATTTACCGCGTCACCTTTGCGTTTATTTATCAGTTTCAATCAAACAGTGAACCAAAATGGATGTGGCAGATGCTCAGGTTGGCCAGCTGCGCGTCAAGGATGAGGTGGGCATTCGTGCCCAGAAGTTATTCCAGGATTTCCTCGAGGAATTCAAGGAGGACGGCGAGATCAAATACACGCGTCCGGCGGCCAGCTTGGAATCCCCGGATCGCTGCACCCTGGAGGTCAGTTTCGAGGATGTGGAGAAGTACGATCAGAACCTGGCCACCGCCATCATCGAGGAGTACTACCATGTCTATCCGTTCCTCTGCCAATCCGTTTCCAATTACGTGAAGGACAGGATTGGCCTGAAGACCCAGAAGGATTGCTATGTGGCCTTCACGGAGGTGCCCACGCGGCACAAGGTCCGGGATCTGACCACCTCCAAAATCGGCACCCTCATCCGCATCTCCGGCCAGGTGGTGCGCACGCATCCTGTTCATCCGGAACTCGTATCCGGCGTCTTCATGTGCCTCGATTGCCAGACGGAGATCCGGAATGTGGAGCAGCAGTTTAAGTTCACCAATCCCACCATTTGTCGTAATCCCGTCTGCTCCAATCGCCGGCGCTTCATGCTGGATGTGGAGAAGAGTCTGTTCCTGGATTTCCAAAAGATTCGCATACAGGAAACCCAAGCAGAGCTGCCCCGTGGATGTATTCCCAGGGCCGTGGAGATCATCCTGCGTTCGGAACTGGTGGAAACTGTTCAAGCTGGCGATCGGTATGATTTCACAGGCACTTTAATCGTGGTTCCGGATGTGAGTGTCCTGGCGAACGTGGGCACCCGGGCGGAGACCAGTTCCCGCCATAAGCCAGGCGAGGGAATGGAAGGCGTGACTGGTTTGAAGGCTCTGGGCATGCGGGAACTGAACTACCGGATGGCCTTCCTCGCCTGCAGCGTTCAGGCCACCACAGCCCGCTTTGGCGGCACGGATCTGCCCATGTCGGAGGTCACTGCCGAAGATATGAAGAAACAAATGACGGATGCAGAGTGGCACAAAATCTATGAGATGTCCAAAGACCGTAATCTGTACCAGAACCTGATTAGCAGCCTGTTTCCGTCAGTCTATGGCAATGATGAGGTAAAGAGGGGCATTCTCCTTCAGCAATTTGGTGGCGTTGCCAAGACCACAACCGAAAAGACCTCGCTGCGTGGGGATGTCAATGTTTGCATCGTGGGAGATCCCAGCACGGCCAAGTCGCAGTTCCTCAAGCAGGTCTCGGACTTCTCACCCAGGGCCATCTATACTTCAGGCAAGGCTTCCTCTGCCGCGGGCTTAACTGCAGCTGTGGTCCGCGATGAGGAGTCCTTTGACTTCGTCATCGAGGCGGGAGCTCTCATGTTGGCTGACAATGGCATTTGCTGCATTGACGAATTCGACAAGATGGATCAGCGCGATCAGGTGGCCATTCACGAGGCCATGGAGCAGCAGACCATCTCGATAGCTCGCGCTGGAGTTCGAGCCACTCTAAATGCCCGCACGTCCATTCTTGCCGCCGCCAATCCCATAAATGGACGTTATGATCGCTCCAAGAGTCTGCAGCAGAACATCCAGCTCTCCGCACCCATTATGTCACGTTTCGATCTGTTCTTCATCCTCGTGGACGAATGCAATGAGGTAGTGGACTATGCCATTGCCCGGAAGATCGTTGACCTGCACTCGAACATCGAGGAGTCCGTGGAGCGTGCTTACACACGCGAAGAGGTCCTCCGCTATGTGACTTTTGCGCGGCAATTTAAGCCGATAATTGGTCAGGAGGCCGGTCGCATGCTGGTGGAGAACTATGGCCATCTGAGGCAGCGGGATACAGGCACGTCGGGGAGGAGCACCTGGAGGATCACCGTGCGACAGCTGGAGTCCATGATTCGGCTGAGCGAGGCCATGGCCAAGCTGGAGTGCTCCAATCGCGTGCTGGAGCGACATGTCAAGGAGGCCTTCCGCCTGCTAAACAAGTCCATTATACGTGTGGAGCAGCCCGACATTCACTTGGACGACGACGAGGGCCTGGATATGGACGATGGCATTCAGCACGACATCGACATGGAGAACAATGGATCAGCGGCCAATATTGATGAAAACCTGGACACCTCTGGCAGCGGTGCTGTGCAAAAGAAGAAGTTCACGTTGTCCTTCGAGGACTACAAGAATCTGTCCACCATGCTGGTGCTTCACATGCGTGGCGAGGAGGCGCGCTGCGAGGTGGAGGGCAGCGATACAGGCATCAAGCGCAGCGACGTCGTTACCTGGTATCTGGAGCAGGTGGCCGAGCAAATCGAATCCGAAGATGAGCTGATCTCGCGGAAGAACCTCATCGAGAAGCTGATCGATCGCCTCATCTACCACGACCAGGTGATCATTCCGCTCAAGACATCCACGCTGAAGCCGAGGATCAAGGGTGTGGGCCAGGATGATGAGACGGAGGACGATCCCCTGCTGGTGGTGCACCCCAACTACATTGTGGAGTGAGCACAGCCAGACACCAGTTTATTATACCCTAATTTACCTAGTTAAGTTTCTGTTTCCACTTCTTTGATTTTTTTTGGTCATCTAATTAATCATTGCATTTAGATGTAAGTTTAGAATTTAAAGACTACCAAGCCAATTAAGCATTATTTGACCCGTCTGTGGTCAAGTTACTTTGAAAATCATTCATGTTTTCGCCGAAATAAACGTTCATCTAAAGTTTAGCTTGGCTTATTTTTATTTTTGGGCGCCCTCATTGAGCTGAGTTTATAGGTAATAAGCATTGATTAATCAGTGTTAAACTCTTATCTCAAGTTTAAGTTGGTTTCTTTTCATTTTAAATGGTGCAGGGCACTCCTTTGCTAATCTGGGTCTCAAATCTTTCCATTAAAATCATAAAGCATTGATCTGCGGTCAAAAGTTTAGTTTCCAAGTCTTTCATGTGTTCACCGAAATAAACGCTCAACTTAAACTCAGCTTGGTTTCTTTTCATTTTAATTGTACAGATGCGTTGATAAATTGCCTATGAAATAAAAACGAGGCCCGCAGAGGGATCCAGAGGAGGTTGCCTTCTACTTATCGAAGGTGTAGTGCTTGACGCCATCGCCAGGATATTGCTTGGCGGCCACGGGGCGGTACATCTTCTTGTCCTCCAGCCAGTAGTAGAGGGCCAGGCAACCGGACATCACGCTCAAGAAGACGATAAAGTAGTACGAATTCTTGTAGCGCGGCTGTTCCGCCTGCGACCAGCGATCTTCGCTGTACAGATCGTGATCCGCCGAGATCTGCGGGTGGAAAAAGTATGTATCTTTGGATATCTATGGGACAGAGATGTGAGTGATCCTCTTACGGGCTCGTGCTGATTACGCTTGTGCTCCGGATAATCCCAGGGATAGTAGCTATCCTTGGCCTCCACGCCCAGTCCACCGCCTACTTTGGGATAGTCTCCATAGCCCAGGCCATCGTCCGCATATGGTTTGTACTCCTCCGGCAGAAGGTAATACTTCTTGGCAGCGGCCAAGCGCTCCTTCTCCGTCTGTGGAAAGGGTGCCGGCTTATAGTCCTTGTTCCAGCCAGCCACTAAACGGGAAAAACTAGTTTTAGACAGAGAACAAAAGTTACGTAAACAAAACAGAGGCGCAGGTTGTCGGGATTCCTGCTCTTCCGGATTTTCACTTACTGCCGCGTACCGCCTGGCGAATCATGGCGGGATTGGCGGCGCATAGCTTTTGGGCCAAGCACACGGATTTCAAAAACGCCGACATTGCAGGCTCCTCGTTTCAAAAAAAAAGTTTGCAATTTTATTTCCAAAGTCAAACAGCTGTTTGCCTGCGGATGGCCCTCAGGCGATAAGCAGTCACGGACTATCGATATTTAACAATCAAAAGTTCGGGTGGCCAATACAAATTTTTTGAAAAAGTTTAATGCTTTCAAATTTTGAATTTTCTTACAGTAATATCTTAGTTCTCTATTAGGTATTTTGCATTCAAATATAGCTGCATTTAAATATTTACAGTTTAAAAATAAATTATGTCATATTGCTAAAAAGTAAAAAAAAATGAATTAATAAGCGGCCAAGACTTAACTATGTATTTCTTAACACAATTTACAATCTGTTTTATTTCCCTTATTTGTTTATTATATTTAAAAATTACCTTTAGTTATAAAGATTAAGGCCCATTTAAAAGCTTTTTAACAATCATGAACATTTTATCAATAAATTTTGAAACTTTAACTTTTAAACTTAAATACACCATTAAAAAAAACCTATATTTTATACTTAGACCAGTTCCGCAATTAATCATAGTATTAACTTTTCTTTTAAGAGTTTTAAGATCTTGGAAAATTTGTTTACAAATCGTTTTATAAATGTATTATAAATATTATTTTATTTTTCACATTCTGTTAATAATGGTGAAAGATCTTTTTTCCTATGATAAAACTTGAGCAACCATCGATAATACTTATCGATAGGCCATAGAGTGCACCCGCGCATCGTTGTTTTTGTTGTGGTGGGCTCGTCCGTAAAAACTGATCGGCAAACTTATTTATTAATTACTAATTAAGAAATAAGCATAAAGATGGTGCTACCGTTATTGCAGCGTTCCAGTCTTCGTGGCGTTCAACAAATAACGAAACCCTGGGCGGCTTCCATTGGAAGCTTGCGTCTGGTAAGGATTTATACAGTTTATATCCATTTCCCTCGGATATGCCAAATATTGCGCCTTATGTAATGCTTCTTTTGCTTATGAACCACATAATAACATCAAAAAGTGTCGACACAATAAGAAATAAACAAAAGGAAATGCAAAATAAAAGTTTATTGAATACCGGCGTTTCGTAATCATTATACAATGCAAATGGAAGTACTGCCTTCCAGCCCCTGGAATACTAGTTCCAATTCGCACACAACTTCGACCACTTGTGGACGAACTCCAATTCGATTTTCGAATGACACTCCAATTGGAACTACTGCATTGATTTTTTCACTCAAAATTCTCACAAATCACATGGTAAAAAAAAACAAAACAAACACACCGCGAAAAAAAACTCGCGGAACGAGTTGTAATTCAAGAAACTGCCATTCCCCGATTCTTGTTTTTGGCAATTGAATTTTAAACCGGTATTGTATGGTTTTATCTACATGCCGACCACTGTTATACACTCTCAGGTACTTCTGATTGCTCAGATAAATATATAGTACCAGATAGTAGCAGCAGGAGGGCATAAATTACACTCATAACTCCAGAGAAAATGCTGCATCTGCATTTATCACACATTGGTGGCCAAACAAATAAATTTATAACACTTACCATATAATTGTTATCATCGAAGATTGGGCCTTAGACTCACAATTGTTCTATAACACAGTGATGGTAAACATAATAATTTATTAGAATTTTATTTAAAGAACTGCGAATTTTTAAAAAAATAATTTTTGGATTATTCCAAAAGTTATTAATATCTAGAAAAGAGTGTTAAATATAACTCTACTCTTTTAAGAAACTCCTTTTAAATAAATTAAAATAATCAGTTAAAATATCTATAAAAAAACAACTTCGACAAAATAATTAACATAATATAACTGAGTATAGTTACATACAATTATTCTAAAAATCTCTTAACGTAGTAATTTTGTAACTTGAATTTAATTTGAATATTTTTTAACAGGATAATAAATAGAACATGTTTCTCTTAGGTAATTATTTTAAAAGAATAAAGTAAAAGTATAAATATAGTAATTTGTAAAATAATTTCAATGAAAACGATTATTGCAAAAGTCCATAGCTTTATCCGTTCACGGTGCTATTAATTCGCCCCCAACTGTTGTTTGGGTGCCAAATTAGCGAAATACCCCATGTCGGGCCGGGTCTTCAGTCCCCTCCAGAACCGCCCTCTTTTACACCTCCACAATTCCACACTTTTCGTTGAGAGCGCTCTTTCAAGAATCTGTTCGCTGTTCACTCGGGTCTTAGTTTTAAAGTCGCCCGCTTATCTGCCTCAGTTAACTTTGAGCAGCAGTCGTCGTCGAGTGCTCGTCCTCTGATTTCTGATTTCTGTTTTCTGATTTCACTCCACTTATCTTCCATCTATCTCACTCACAATGGTCAGATGGTTGCCTCTACATTCGTAATATTCCCCGCCTTTAATCTGGTAATTTTCCCTTGTAGGCCTCCCAGGATTTTCGCGTGGAAAGCGACACCTTTGGCGAACTGAAGGTTCCCGCGGATAAGTATTATGGCGCCCAGACGATGCGATCCCAGATCAATTTCCCCATCGGCGGAGCTACCGAACGGATGCCCGTAAGTATTTTCCATAGTAATTCCCATAATACATCACAATAAGTAATATAATTAACTCACACCTTTCGTATGTGTGTATAATTAAAAAGCTGTTTACAAAATATGACCAGAAGTAGTTGCAAAACCAAATGGGTTTTTTATAATGATTGAAGAAGGAATTCTTCGTGTCATTAATTTTCAAACTTAAGTTTATTGGTTGTTTCATAAGGCTTTTAAGAGTCTTTCTCATAAGGCTTTGAGGAGTCTTAACAATTCTAGTATGGAAAAAAACAAGTATCCATCATTTTGATGACTAAACATTTAGTTTACAATTAAGGTATTACTCAATTATGTTTTATTCAAGCAAAACAAATGATAATTTTAATATATTTCTGATTAAACCTCGATTTTAACATTCAAGGTTTTTAAAAGTTGCAATGTTTAAATTAAGACAAGGTAAAAAAGCGGTGATGCTTAAGATAAAGAAAACAATAGGAATACAACAATAAATTTCAGTTACATGTCTGTGTTTTTTCAAGGTTTTGAAAAGTTGCAATGCAATGTTATTACAAAGTCAGATAATACATTTACAAATACGTGTACAAACATATAAATATCATAAAACACAAAATACCCTTTAAGACGGCAAATTATTTTCTTAACAATAGACAGTTTTAGAACCGTCTTATAATCCTTCAATACGACTTAGAGTTTATGAATATAACGAAGTTGGATATCGTTTTCGATACACCTTCTCTGATGCATCTTCTTTGTCTTATAGAAACCCGTGGTGCAGGCCATGGGAATCCTGAAGAAAGCCGCCGCCGAGGTGAACAAGGAGTTTGGACTGGACAGCAAGGTGAGCGAGGCGATCTCGAAGGCGGCCGACGATGTGATCTCCGGCAAGCTGTACGCCGACCACTTCCCGCTGGTCATCTGGCAGACTGGCTCCGGCACCCAGAGCAACATGAATGTGAATGAGGTGGGTAATGGGTCATATTCCCCTCCTTTGGTTCTCCTTTGTGACCGCGTAACTCCATCGACCAGGTGATCAGCAATCGCGCCATTGAGCTGCTGGGCGGCAAGCTGGGCTCCAAGACGCCCGTGCATCCCAACGACCATGTGAACAAGTCGCAGAGCTCCAACGATACCTTCCCCACGGCCATCCACATCTCGGTGGCCCTGCAGCTGAACAACAACCTCAAGCCAGCGATCAAGACGCTGCACGACGCCTTGCGGGCCAAGTCGGAGGAGTTCAAGGACATCATCAAGATTGGACGCACCCACACAATGGACGCTGTGCCGTTGACGCTGGGCCAGGAGTTCAGTGGCTATGCCCAGCAGTTGGCCTACGCCCAGGAGCGGATCGACGCCTGCCTGCCGCGGGTCTACGAGCTGGCTCTGGGCGGTACTGCCGTGGGAACTGGTCTGAATACCCGCAAGGGATTCGCCGAGAAGTGCGCAGCCAAGATCGCCGAGCTGACCAACCTGCCATTCGTCACCGCGCCCAACAAGTTTGAGGCTCTGGCTGCTCGTGATGCCATGGTGGAGGTCCATGGCGTCCTCAATACGATCGCCGTGAGTCTGATGAAGATCGCCAACGATATCCGTTTCCTGGGCTCGGGTCCACGTTGCGGCTTGGGCGAGTTGTCGCTGCCGGAGAACGAGCCCGGGAGCTCCATCATGCCCGGCAAGGTGAATCCCACGCAGTGCGAGTCGCTGACGATGCTCTCCGCCCAGGTGATGGGCAACCAGGTGGCCGTGACCATCGGTGGCTCCAACGGACACTTCGAGCTGAACGTGTTCAAACCTTTGATTGTGTCCAATGTGCTGCGCTCCATTCGGCTGTTGTGTAAGTTTAACGAATAGTTTAAGCGATGCAGTGGCAGCGGAAAAAGCTTTTATGCATTTTTAAGAAACAGCGACTGCCGCTGCATCGCTTACAATTAGTTCCAAGTATTTATTTATTGACAGTCAAGTAATAAAACCTTTTCTTTCAGCTGATGGCAGCAGGACTTTTACTGCCAACTGCGTGAACGGAATCCAGGCTAACCGCGAGAACATTGCCAAGATCATGAACGAGTCCCTGATGCTGGTGACCGCCCTGAATCCCCACATCGGCTACGACAAGGCGGCCAAGATCGCCAAGACGGCGCACAAGAACGGAACGACCCTCAAGGAGGAGGCCATCAATCTGGGCTACCTCACGGAGCAGCAGTTCAAGGACTGGGTGCGACCGGAGGAGATGCTGGGACCCAAGTAGTAGGCCAACCGCCTGACCTCATTTCACCCATCGCTGTCATCGAAATTCCAGCTTGTCGGGTTTAAGTTCGTTTGTAAATGAATCGCTCGGGAACACAGATCAATAATAACTGAAAATGCTAAAGCAAGTCAATGGCCTAAGCCTGGCCAGACGCAATCTTTGGGTGGCTTGCGGTGGCCTGCGCGCCAGCGATGTGAGTAGAATTGGTGGAAGGTCAGCTGAGAGGGGGGTTTTCACGCATAGAAGGGATATTCTTCCAGAGCGACAGGGGAAAGGGCAAGGATAAAGGGCAGACGAAGTTTCGCACCGAGAAGGACACCTTCGGGGAGCTAAAGGTGCCAGCGGACAAGCTGTACGGAGCTCAGACTATGCGCTCCAAGCTGAACTTTCCCATTGGCGACATAAGCGAGCGCATGCCGGTAGGGCCATCTCCCCTGGAGATTTAGCACTCTACCCCCCAATAATCCTGTACTGTCTGCAGATGCCTGTGATCCAGGCCATGGGCATACTGAAAAAGGCCTGCGCCGAGGTCAACAAGGACTACGGCTTGGACAGCAAGATCTCGGAGGCAGTGTCCTGCGCCTGCGACGATGTCATTTCGGGCAAGTACTACGAAATGGGCCACTTCCCGCTGGTCATCTGGCAAACTGGTTCTGGCACCCAATCCAATATGAACACCAATGAGGTGAGCTTGAGTGCACAGTGATTAAAACTGATATGTGCATACCGACTATTCTAACATCCTTTCTTGGAACTCACCTGCAAATTATATCTGAATTTGGATTTTTTTTTAGATTATAAGTCTAATCATCCCAAAAACGTTGGGACTTTTTATAGCGTTTTACAGATTTAGAGCAGAAGACCAGCATTTTAATTTAATATAATAACAAGAAAGAAAGCAAAATTCAGCAGGCCGAAGGTTATATAACCTTCCATCTGTTTAAAAATTAAATACTCTATATTTCGATTTTGATGTGATATTTTAAATCAATAACGCTTTTTCGGTTTTCTAAAAATTATTATACTTTTCCTGTGGCAACTATATAAAAAATCGTAGTTCTGAAATTGGCTTACATAACCTTATCTCGGATATAGTTAAAAACAATATGTTTATTATTTTTTTTTTCATTAATTTTTTTTGATTTTTCCTAATCTATCGGATATAGTCGTCCGATCCGGCCCGTTCTTTCTTATGTATATATGTATATATACATACTTAAAATTAAGAGACTAGTTTTTGTAGAATCGGACAAACGGACAGAAGGACATGGCTACTTCGACGTTCCTAGATTAGGAATATGTGCTGATCAGGAATATACATATCTACTTTACAGGGCGCTACAAACTTCAGATCAAAATTATAATAATATAAATATCTATTTCCACTTTCCTGCAGGTGATCAGCAATGCGGCCATCAGGATGATGGGGGGCGAACTGGGCAGCAAGACGCCGGTGCATCCCAATGACCATGTGAACAAGTCCCAGAGCTCCAACGATACCTTCCCGACGGCCATCCACATCTCGGTGGGCATGGAGCTGAACGAGAGACTGATCCCGGCGGTGACCCACCTGAGGGATGCACTCAAATCCAAGTCGGATGAGTTCAAGGACATCATCAAGATCGGCCGCACCCATCTGATGGACGCAGTGCCTCTGACCCTGGGGCAGGAGTTCAGTGGCTACACCCAGCAGTTGACCTACGGCCTGGAGAGGATCAAGTGCTGTCTGCCGCGCGTCTATGAGCTGGCCTTGGGTGGCACTGCCGTGGGCACGGGCTTGAACACCCACAAGGGATTCGCGGAGAAGGTGGCCAAGAGGATTGCCGAGCTCACCTGCCTGCCCTTCGTCACGGCGCCCAATAAATTTGAGGCCTTGGCCGCCCGAGACGCCATGGTGGAGGTCCATGGAGTACTCAATACAGTGGCCGTGAGTCTGATGAAGATTGCCAACGACATCCGACTGCTGGGATCGGGTCCACGGTGCGGAATCGGTGAGCTCCTGCTGCCGGAGAACGAGCCCGGTAGCTCCATCATGCCCGGCAAGGTGAATCCCACGCAGTGCGAGTCGATGACCATGCTGTGTGCCCAGGTGATGGGCAACCAGGTGGCGGTGTCCATCGGTGGCTCCAACGGACACTTCGAGCTGAATGTGTTCAAGCCCCTGATAGTGTCCAATGTGCTGCGCTCCATCCGGTTGTTGGGTACGACTTTAAAGGCAGCCTTATTAGTGTCTGGTTTAAACGATGGTTTAAAGTTGGTTGTAAACGCGGTAAAGCGGTTGCAAATGCTGCATTAATGTTTTTTTTAAGGAATTACTCATCTGAATAGCTAAATAGTTTTCATATTCTAAGCGACATGGGCATTTAGGTTGCCCAGGTCCTGTTCTTTAAATGTACACATTATATTAGGCTGCTGCTGCAACGTTTACAACCAGTTTAAAGTATTTATTCCTTATTGCAGCCGATGGCAGCATGACCTTCAGTAAAAACTGCGTGGAGGGACTGCAGGCCAACAAGGACATGATCGACAAGATCATGAACGAGTCCCTGATGCTGGTGACCGCCTTGAACCCCCACATAGGCTATGATAAGTCCGCCCAGATCGCGAAGACGGCCCACAAGAACAAGACGACCTTGAAGGAGGAGGCCCTGAAAACAGGCATAACTGAGGAACAGTTCAAGGAGTGGGTCAATCCCAAGGAGATGCTGGGACCCAAGTGATCCGTCTCCTAGTTACTATCAATGTTGCCAGTTAGATGTAATAAATTTGTCATGTTTATCAAAAGTAACGAACCTTATTATTAAAAGAATGGGATTAAACTACAAAATTGTATACTAACCGCATTTTTTAAAAGCTTATATATATTAAATTTATTTTTGAATTAATAATGTTTAAGCCAACATTTTAACAAATGTTATTAAGCTGCTCTGGCGGTTATATTTTAAATGTAAGGTAAAAATACCTAGTTGGTATGCTCTATTTCTATTATTTCGCACTGAACTAAAAATATTTCTCATTTGTAATTATAACTACATAAACGTTTCAAAAACATTAAATAAAATTTAGTTTTTAAATAATTCTCAGTGGTTTAAGTCCAAGCTAAAACCGCCACCAGGTTTAAGCGACCACTAAGTCGTTATCGATTCTTAAGATTTTATAACGGTCACACTGGCTCCTTGCTGTTTTTAACTTTTTCTTTGTTTTTATCGTGAATTTTCAACTAAATTAGATATTTTCCGATTGCAGAATATAAACACAATAACCAGATAAGCAAGTGTTAATTTTCCTGGTGTGTTTCCAGGCAAATAAAAAAACGGTCAGAGCTAGAAGCGATTATCTAACGACAAAATTGAAACGAAACGAGAATTGAAGTGAAGTAAAGTAGGCGCAGATAATAAAAATAACCAGCCAGGCAAGTTGGCTAACAAATTATCCGTTCCGTCCAGTTTAAAATAGCGCAAAATCGGCCCACACAGGAATCGAAAGAGGACATATTTGGAGCAAAAAAAAAACAGCCCTTTCGATCAACGGATATTGCCTTGTAGTAAAAAACATCCCCTGCCACCCCCTGCAACACCCACGCATCTCAAAAGCCCGAGAAGAACAAAATAAATTTACGACGCAAAAACCAAACAATCGACACCCACGCACCAGCTGTTTTGTTATCGATCGGTGTTATCGATCTTCCGTATGAGCAACAGAGGAGGAGAAGAAGAAGCAGCAGCAAGACTTGAGCCCCAAAATACTTAAAAAGGTAATAGTTGAAACTGAAATTATTATTTGGGGAGTGCTTTAATGTAGATTCCAGTTACAGGCACTTAAAGCCGTGGTCTAGGCGGGCCGAAAAATGTCTGTGAGACTGCTGACCGTGCGACTGATCAAACATGGTCGCTACATTTTGCGCAGCTATTGTAAACGTGATATACACGCCAACATTTTGGACCAAAATCAATTGAAGACAAGAAGCAAGCGAGGCTTTCCCCTACCCTCCACCGCCGCCCATGTGCTGCGGGTGAGTACCGAGTATATTCCTGGTCAAGAGCTGCATTTAACACACCCCAATCCTCGCCAGACAACGCCCCAGCAGGCGGCCAAATCGGTGGTCAATGTAGTGCCCCGCACTTCCGCTCCCTCAACGGGATCGCCACTAAATGGAAGCAGCTCGTCCTCCAGTGGACTCTTCCGCGTTGGCCAACATGCCCGCAAACTCTTCATCGACAATATCCTCAGCCGGGTGACCACCACCTACTCGGAGGATCTGCGCCAGCGAGCTACCCGCAAGCTCTTCTTTGGCGACTCGGCTCCCTTCTTCGCCTTAATCGGTGTGAGCCTGGCCTCCGGTTCGGGTGTCCTCAGCAAGGAGGATGAACTGGAGGGCGTGTGCTGGGAGATTCGGGAGGCAGCTGGCCGGCTGCAGAGAGCCTGGAACCAGGATGAGATCTCCGATACGCTGGACAGCAAGTTTAGTATTGATGACTTGGAAATCGGTCCACCCATTGCCAAAGGTTGTGCCGCTGTGGTCTATGCAGCGGGCTTTAAGAATGATGGTGTTGCTGGTGCTACGGAGACACTGCCGACTGGTGCAGAACCGCCACCGGCAACGCCAGCCTTTGCTCCAAACAGCTGGAGTGCCCACGAGATGATGACGCCGCTGCAGAACATGTCGCGCTTTGTCCACAACTTTGGCGGCTCTGTGGATAATATCTTTCAGTACAGCCAGCCCTCAGCGGCCAGTGATTTTGTGGGCGCCCAGGAGAGGGTACAGGAGCAGCAGCAGGATCAGGAGCCCAGAAGCAGTGCCTTAAATGTGGTAAATTCAAAATTCAACTTCCCAATTTTCCCTTTTAACGGTAATCCCTTCATTTTCAGAATACCCTAGCGAATTCAAAGATTAACAGCTCGGTGGACAGCTATCCGCTGGCACTCAAAATGATGTTTAACTACGACATCCAGAGCAATGCCCTGTCCATCCTGCGTGCCATGTACAAGGAGACAGTGCCAGCGCGTCAGCGGGGCATGAACGAGGCCTCCGACGAATGGGAACGTTTGCTGCAGAACCAAACGGTCCACCTGCCGCCGCATCCCAACATCGTTTGCATGTTTGGTTTCTTTTGCGACGAGGTGCGCAACTTTCCCGATGGCCATTTACTGTATCCCGTAGCCCAGCCGCAAAGGATCAATCCGCAGGGCTATGGCCGTAACATGTCGCTGTATCTGCTGATGAAACGCTATGATCACAGCCTGCGGGGATTGCTGGATAACCAGGAGCTGAGCACACGTACCCGCATCCTGCTGCTGGCGCAAATGCTCGAGGCTGTCAACCATTTGAGCCGTCACGGAGTGGCCCATCGTGATCTCAAGTCAGACAATGTGCTGATTGAGCTGCAGGACGATGCCTCGCCGGTACTGGTGCTCTCGGACTTTGGCTGCTGCCTGGCGGACAAGGTGCACGGTCTGCGACTGCCGTATGTCTCCCACGATGTGGACAAGGGCGGCAATGCGGCGTTGATGGCGCCGGAGATCTTCAACACGATGCCCGGGCCATTCGCGGTGCTCAATTACGGCAAAGCGGATCTGTGGGCATGCGGTGCGCTGGCCTACGAGATCTTTGGCAGCCGGAATCCATTCTACTCGAGTAGCGGTGGGCTGGCACGCGAACGTGGAGAGCTGACGCTTTCGCTGAGGAACAGCGATTACCGGCAGGAGCAGCTGCCCCCCATGAGCGATGCCTGCCCGCCGCTATTGCAACAGCTGGTGTACAACATCCTCAATCCCAACCCGTCCAAGCGGGTCAGTCCGGATATTGCGGCGAATGTGGTGCAGCTGTTCCTGTGGGCCCCGTCCAATTGGCTTAAGGCGGGCGGCATGCCCAACAGCTCCGAAGTGGGTGTTTCTAAAGATCGTTTAACTGTATATAACATGCTAACTTTCCCTCTTACAGATCCTCCAGTGGCTGCTCTCGCTGACCACCAAGATAATGTGCGAGGGTCGCCCGCAAATGGGTTCCGGATTAATGCCAGTGGCCTCCAACGGAAGACGCGCCTACGTGGAGTACCTGCTCATCTGCAGCTTCCTGGCACGCGCCCGCCTGCGTCGCATTCGCGGCGCCCTCAACTGGATCCAGAATGTGGTGGCGGCGTAGGGCCCCGGGAAAGCCTTCCTTGGATCTCGGGATCAAGACCCTTCTACTTGTTACTCTGCGAAAATCAAATGGAAAAGCGTGTGATACCTATATTTTACATATGTATTTATAAAACAAATCAAAATTAACCGCACGCTCTCCAGCCATTTGTCTATTTGTCCTGGAATCGCTGCAGTTCCTGGTTGAGCATCTGCTCCTCACTTTGTGCCTCTTCGCAATCGCTGATCAGCTGCAGGATGCGCTCGTTAATGGTCAGGGCCACCATCTGTGCGGCCCCGGATTCGTCCTTTAGGTCAACCATCAGAGTCTGCACAAGCTGGTGCATCTCCTCGATGCTCTCCCGCGCCCGGTCAAGTACTGCCTCGTCCACATTGTGGGTTGGATTTTGTTCAGGATGCTGAGATTAGAAATGGGAGTTTATTGGATGGCTAAGTGTCAAATGTTCGCAACTACCATGACAGAAGCTGAAATCAACCAATTACATGTATTATCTGCAAATTCGAATGTTTCCTCAAGGGATGGCAACACAAAATCTTCTCTCAGCGATAACGATTGATCGCCCAGGGCTACTCCAAGGTCCAAGTGCTATCGATCCAGGGATGGATGGTTTTTCAAAAATAATTCTAGATATTAACAGGATTTTACTATTATTATTTAATTAATACAAATCGAAAAATTTATTTATTTGTGATTTTTTTAAGATCCTAATCTCAAAGTGTATTCCAGCGTTATGAAATAAGGGAGAATAAACTTTTCTTTAATTTATTTTCGATCTCTGACTTATTATCCGACAAAACAGGTATTGAATATATTTAAAATAAAATAGTAGAGGAACTTTTTATAACTTGATTTGATTAATATTTCTTATTGGTGAAAAATGCATTACAAAACATAACATTTGTAAAAATCTACACTTAAATTTAAAATACAGAAAATTTCAATTTATTTGCCAATCTCCACGCGACTGACGCACAACTTATGATCATAAAACGAGCAGGTGCCCATAATCAAGGCTCCATCGTCCTTATTAGAACCAGGACCCCAATCGGCGCCATAGCAGATGCTCTTGTGCTCCTCATAGGCTCCCAGTAAACACAGGCTAGGATCCTTGGCATCCAGCTGCACCAGGCTAAAGTTGGTGTACATGCAGGCGGCCAGGATAAGATCGGGGTAGGCGGGATGCGGCTTTAGCCGCCAGATGCCTCCGCCCAAGTCCAGTTCCGCCAGAGTTCGCTTCATGGCTCGGGTATCGAATAACCGGAGCTGCTCATCGTAGCTGCCCGTGAGCAGATGGTTTTCGTGCTTCGGATGACTGAGCAGGCAAGTGACTCCAGCCATATGGGCCCGATTCGTCCATGCTCGCTGCTCCGTGCGCAAATCGTGGGCCATGAGGAGCATATCGTCGCCACCACTATACAAGAGATGCGGTGACCAGCGATCAAAGGCACAGGTCCAGGCCTCAAAACCATGAGCAGACCAGGAACGCTCCCGGATTACCTCACCCTGTGGCGAGTACTTCAATAGATTCAGGCCTCCCTTGGAATCCGAGATGGCCAGTTGAATGTGCTGCTCTTCCTGCCGCCAATCCAGGGCCAGAGCCAATGGCGATTCCTTGTGCGCCTCCTCTTCCAGAGAAAAACACGTGCGTTTCTGTAGTTTCTTGTCATCCCTTAGAAATTGATAGATCTCCAGTTGACCCAATGAATTTACGGTGGATAGGAGTGGATTGCCATCACCAGACCAAGCTGGCAGCCACTTCATGTCCAGTATGGCCGACGTTTCGATGCACTGCAGCCGCTCCAGTGCAGAATTTGTGTTACCGAATTGGTATAAATAAACGCGACCTTTGCGGGGACGACCTTTGGGAGAAGCTTCTTCGGGGGCTTCCGCGTCATCCTGGACCAACTGGTAGGTACCGCAGGCAAAGAAGCCCGTTTCCGGATCATCCTCCGGCAGCCACTCCACGGAATCCGCCGAATACTCCGTATCCTCGCTGTGGAGCGTTGTAAACATGTTTACAATCAGCTGTCAAGAGCGGTTATCGATTGTCGATAAACACCGAGCCACCAGGGCTGCGATGGCTCTCCCCACAACTTTAGTCGACCGTTTCATTTTGATCTTATTAGATTTATTTGTTATTTTCGCTTTTTTTTTGCTAATTTAAAAAATTATTAGTTAATACATACAACTACTTAGTGCTCTGTTTACGCGCTACATATTCTGGATTAGGTTTAGTTGATCTCGTCCCTCGCTCGTAGTTTTTAGCTGCATTTTCTCGATTTTAAGTGGTTTTCGGGGCGTCACAGTGTTATTTTTTTCTCAGTGGGCTTTCGTGGCTGCCAGGCATCCGTTTATGTTATTGCACTTGATCCTTGATCTCCGCTCACTCTCACTTTTTACAATATCTCTCTGTCAAATACATCGACTCACATATTAAAAAACATATTTAAAAAAAACTCTTATTCATAACTATAGACAATCCCTACTCCTCGCAGATCACTCATCCTTTTGTGCGTCCAACGCCTGATGCTCTTGGTTTCTTGGCGGGATTGGGGGCCTGGCTATCCACATCCCCTCTAGCGATTCGCGCTGCGACTGTGACGCCTCCGCGATCCTCATTTGGTCTTCATCACGATGATTGGCTCGAGTATCTTTAGCATGTCATTGTTCTCGGGTGCTCCTGTTCCATTGCCGCCGCCAGAACCAGGAGCTCCTCCAGCGACTCCTCCTCCGCCGCCGCCGCCACCTGCTGCACTGGCGTAATCCTTAACCACCTGCAGTTTGCTGAAGCCGGGATGCGCTTGGTGCTGCTGCTGCTGGTGGATCTGCTGCTGCTGGTGCTGACTGATGGTCACCAGGCGGTGCTGCTGGTTCAACACAATCGCCTCGTGATGCGGATGCTGCACCAGCTGCTGCTGCTGCAGGCTGCCGGCAATCTGTTGCAGCTCGTGCTGCTGCAACTGCAGCGGCGGCAGCTGTTCGTGATCGTTGGAGCCATCGCCTACACCGCCGTGGTCCAGTGGTGAGTCATCTTCGTCGGCCTTGACGACGGTCACAAAACCACCATCGCTGCCCGTGCCCGTGACCGAAACCGCTTCACTTTCGTACAACTGCTGCTCGGCGCTGGTGTCCTCTTCCTCCTCATCGTCCTCCTCCTCGGTTTTGGCCCGGAACTCGGTGCTGGTGGCACTGCTGCTGCGCGGCGTGTGGCTGCGCATGCGTCGCATTCGCGCATACTCCGCCTGCTTGGACAACCGCTCCTTCCGCTCGTCCGTATTCTCGGTGGCCCGGACCTGCGCCCGCTTCAGTCGCGCCCGCTCGCTCAGCTTCTGGAGGCGCGTGGCCCGCTGCTCGGGCGTTTCATTGGCCCGCACCGCCCGCTGGTGGGCGGCCATCTTGTCCAGCCGCAGCCGCTTCTCCTCCTCCGTCTCGTATTTGTTCGCACCGCTGCGTCGCGGCGTCGTCACTGGCGTCCGACTATCGCCATCGGCTGTGGAATGTACATGAATCTGGCTGAGCTCCTGATGCTGCTGCGATGTCTGCGACAGTGGCCTGCCGCGCCGCGGAGTACTAGTGGCCAGCTGCGGGGCGGACAGCATCTGGTTGAGCTCCTGCTCCAGCAGGCTGTTGACCTTTAGCTGCTCCTCGTTGGCCAGCGGATTCTTTCGCGGCCTGCCCCTGCCCACGGTGGTGGTCACAATCTGTGGCGTCGCCGGCGGCTGCTGCTGCTGTTGCTGCTGCTCCTGCTGCTGTCCCAATCCAGTCACCGTTAGCGTCGGATTCGCCGCTAGTATGTTGTACTGGCCGCCGGTTGGACTGTTGCCGCCACTTGCGTTCGCAAAGTGAACCGGTGTGAAGGGCGGCGGCACGGGATTCGGTCCGATGCCGATCTGGAAGCCATTGTGGTACATCGGGTAGTAGGCGGTGGTGGTGGTGCCACCTGCACCTGTTGTCGTCCCCGTCGTCACCACGCCCACCTGTCCAACGTTGGTGGCACCATTGCCGCCGCTCGTGGTGTTGGGGAAGGTGGTCAGGTAGGGGAACTGGTTGTACAGCTGCTGCGCCTGGCCCGGCGTCGCCTTCAGCAGCTTCTGCTCCCCGCTGGCGGTCGTGACGATCACCTTGGTCTCGTTGTGGCCCAGACTAACAGACCCGCTGTTATCATTGCCGCCCGCTGATCCCGGAGCATCGTTGTCCGACTGTAAAAAGGGTAGAGGAGTGGAAAGCCAACGGGTAAGTCGGTTTGGTTTGGGTGGGTTATGAGTTTATTAATCTATTTTTTTGGTTTTAGATAATGGGATTAATGGCACTTTATTTTGAAACTGTATGGTGTCATTAATCCTTAATTATTTAGGAAAACAGTTTAATTTACATTTCCTAAAGGAACCACAAAGTTCTAACTAATTTAGATTCGTCTTTTCAATTTTGTAGTTATAATTAATTATTTCATTATTGCAGCAAACATTTGAATAATACAAATAGAATACTTTAATTAAGCTCAATTTAATTTATGAAAAAGTATTTAGATAAAACAAATCAAACGAAGTAGATTCTAAGATAAATTTATGTGATGCAATTTGGGTTTATAGATCAGTCTTTAAAAAGAAACGAGTGTGACAGAGTAAAAGAGATAGAAGTACAGACAATACCATTTCTAAAAAATTTTCTTCCCGCTTTCATTATTAACATTGCTACATTTGTCTACACTCTCGATGGTTAATTTAATATTAATAAAAAATAATAGAAGCAAGAAGAACGATAAAATAAATTAAAAATTCGATTCATTTTTTCGTGGGAAAGAGGTGAAATATCAGTGGCGTTTCCCAGTTAAGAAGTTAAGCCGTTTTTTCTTCCCATTTCCATCAAACTCTTCGAAAATAATGCAAATTCTATATTTTCAAATTATACTTTTCCGGTTTTTATAATTTTTATAGCCAGTTGAATTATCCAACTGTAAGAAAAAATATTTAAGTTTTAAAATATTTGCAAAAGATTAATATTTTACCAGTGTTATAAATTTTCATTCGATTCCAAATTTCTCACTTACTCTCTGCAATTGCAAAAAATCATTATTGTTATTTCTCGGATTTTGGAAAAGTTGAATTCAAACAATTTTGTCAGTTTTGAACAGATCTTTTTAGCTTTGTTATGATGTTAATACTTTCCAAACCAATCAAAACTTGGCCATTTTAAGTACTTTAAAAATTATCGAATCAATTGAATTGCATTTTTCTTAACGTAAAGGGTTTTTGCAACTGTGCCACATATAACTAGCTAATTGACAGTGCTTTCTTTTGTTTTCTGAAAAATTTTGAAATATTATTAATTTCGATGGAATACGGAAGAAAACTGAAAAGTTGCTAACTCATTGAAAACGATGCATCGGCACTTGAACGTCTAACGTTCTAAATAAACTGAATATCAACATTATTACAGGTGTTTCAAAAAGATTTAGAGGTAAGACGTTATACCGCTGCATCGTTTAGAAGCAGGATTCATTGCTTAAATGTGGACAACAGTTAGTACTTGGGCATCTTTAGTTAGACCCCTCTACCCACTCCTTGTTATTTCTGCTGCATACGCACCTGAAGTTCCTGCTTCTTGGCGGCATATTTGTGCGGGTAAAGCTCTAGTTGACCACCGGCGATGCTGAAATGGGGCACATGTGCTTGGAGCAGCTTGGTGGTGCCCTTGCCACCATCATCGCCATAGATCTGCTGCACAAAGATGCTGCCCGATTCGGTTCCCTCGAGCAGGGCAGCTGTGACCTGTTGCTGCTGCTGCCCTGTGATGGTGTACCGCTGATGTTGCTGCTGCTGCTGGAGCTGCTGCTGGGTGATCTGCTGCTGCTGCGGGGTCTGTGGTTCCTGCTTCAGCTGCATGGGTGGACGCAGCGAGCCGGGCGCCAGAAACATGCCCTGCCCCATGTACTCCACTCCAGTTAAAGCCTGATGCTGCTGATAGGCGGCTGCTGTCACTAGATGCTGCTGATCCTCAGTGGGTTGCGGGGTTCCTGCCTCATCTGTTGTCGTCGTCGTCGTCGTCGCTGTGGTGGCCGCCTGGTTTAGATTGATAGTGTGTTCGTTAGTACAATTGGCTGCCGCCGCTGCTGCGGCTGCTGCAACAGCGAGCACCTGCTGCTGCTGTTGTTGCTGCTGCTGCTGTTGTTGCTGCTGTTGCTGCTGCTGCTGCTGTTGTTGCTGGTGGTGGTGCTGCTGGTCCGTTGACGACAAGGAGGATGTCGGCGTTGAGACGACCACCGACGACGAACCACCGTGCACCACAACATGCTTCAATATCTTCTTCTTTTCTCTGACCTTTTTGGCATAGTCGTTCAGTTTTCTCAGTCTTTCCTTGCGCTCCTCCGGTGACTCATTGGCGATCCTCTGCCGCGCCCTGGCCGCCATCTCGGCCAGGCGGACCTTTCGCTGATCGTTCGTCTCGCTGGCCCGATACATGCGCATCCTTTCGGCCAGTTTGGCCAAACGCTTGGCCCTCTGATCCGGTGACTCCATGGCCCGCCGTAGCCTTTGCCTGGCCGCGTTCCTCACCAACCGCATGGCCCTTTCTATGTCGGATTCGTTCTGGCGCCTCTGGCGATTCGCCTCGGCGTTCCGGAGCAACCGCTTGCGATACTCGTCCTCGCTCTCCCGCTGGCGGCGTTCCCGCATCCTTTCAGCATTTCTGGCCAGACGACGCTGGCGTGCCTCGGGACTCTCGTTCCACCTCTGCTGGTGGCCAGTGGCAGAGGCACCAGTTATGGAAGCGGAACTGGCACTGCTCGTGGGTCCCAACGGAGTGGGGGGCTGTTGCTGCTGTTGCGTTTGCTGCTGCTGCTGCTGCAACTGCTGCTGTTTCAGTGGGGTGTGTGCATAAAGCTGGAGGTGCTGTTGCTGGAACTGCAGTTGATCCTGTTGCTGCTGGTGAAGATGTTGCTGCTGCTGGAACTGCTGTTGTTGCTGTTGCTGCTGCTGCTGTTGATGTTGCTGCTGTTGATGCTGCTGCTGCTGGTGTTGCTGCTGCTGCAATTGCAACTGGTGATGCGAGGACAAAGGTACCAACAAAGCTGAGGGATGCTCGATGAGCAGGCGGGCATTGGAGCCATTGATGGCCAGCACATGGGTGGCGTACTGCTGCTGATCAAGTGAGGGCTCTATTTTTATCCCATTGGGATCTGGTTCCATTCTTGGTCAAAAAGCCGGGGGGCGAACAACAATCGAAATTGTCGTGTCTATCGGGCTTGGGAAGTGTGAGGATCAATTGGTTATCGAAAGGATGAGCGCAGCCTTCCTTCCGATAGCTTCGATAACATCTAGGGGCCGCGCGATCGCACTCTCTCTCTCGCTCCCTCCTTGGCTTTTCCTCTTTGTGTTTATTTTGCTATTTCCCACTAGTTATATAAAGAATATGTGTGTGCTGGCGCCGTCACTCTCGCTCTCTCCCTCTCTCTCGTTCTGCGGCGATCGCTTCGCTAACTGTTATTGAAGTCCTCAATCATTCTTTTTCTTTTTTGCTATTGGTTGTTCTTACTTTTTTTGGGATTTCTTTAGCGATTACTTTAAATTTTTTGAAAAAGCGTGCTTCTTCTTTTGAGTTAGTGACAATTGGCGCCGCCGCCGCGCTGCTGCTGCGCTGCCAATCGATTTTTCACATGATTATACACACACCCATGCAGCACGCAGCTCACACACACGCAACTCACATACAACGTATGTACGTGTGTGCGAGTTTTTTTCCGCTCCTTATTTTGCTTTTCGCACAAATCTTAACCCTCTATTTTTTGGGGCCATTTAATCGTAGTGCACTTAGCTCCTCTTACGATGTTAATTAGTGGGTTAAAACACCATAAGCACTTTTATTTGAGCGCCTTTTTAACGAGTTGTCGGCATCGCCTCAATCTGCCAGTTAAATTTTTGCATTGTTTTGATTTTTGGGCAGCAACTTTGCGAATATTAAATCCCACGCACTTGCTCTCCAATCGGCGTGTTTCCTTTACACTCCATTCGCAAGCGAGAACGGCGGGCGTAAAAAACGGCGCTAAATATCCGGTAAAAAATAAAATAACGCGCAACAAACACACATTAAAAAATAACCACAAGAACGTACGTGCGTGTGTGTATGTATATGTTAGAGCTGGAACAGGAATCGAGTTTATTCGATATATCGAGAGCATGGTGTGTGCCGCAAAACTATCGACTGTTAGGGCATCCCGTGATTCAAATATGTTGTGCTCAATCTTTATTTACATCGATAATGGGGAACCTAAAAATTTACTATTAGAGAAACGAATTTGACACCTTCCTATAGCAGCTATAGGATATAGGACCTACCCGCGAAGCATTTAAAAATTTGGCACACTTAATTGCGCACAAAAAATACCATCGCAGTGTAACCATAGTATGCCTTCTAGAAAATACAGAAAACATTTTAATTTCTCTAATCAATTTAAAATAAATACGTTAGAGTTTACCCGCTTGCTTATATTTTGTAAACAAGCAGCAAGAGCCGGGCTTTTCCTATCCACAACAGTTTTCACGCGGGAAAAAAAAGCTTTGCCGACCATCAAAATACAGATGTTCTCGGGCTTTTTTAATTTTCTCCTGCCTCTATTCTTTTTTAAACAATACAATGCATCAAAAACTCGAATTCTAATAAATTAAAATCTTTTGAAGTTCAGTAAAGCTCAAAATATTGTTATATATTTTTTTTCGGTTAAAGTTTTTTTAAAATTAAACACCTACAATCAATAAAAATATAACTATTTTTTTTAGCTTTTCTTCTTTTATTGAGAATAATAAAATAAGAAATGAGAATAATAACTTTTAAGCTTATTCACACCTCTATGTTTTTCTTATTGTATAATAATATAATAGAAAGAATATATTATTTTTATTGTCCTTACTTACCAGCCCTCTAATAAACTTCCCGCCCATTTTCAAAACGCAATATTTAAAAATTGTGAATGCAACTTTATTCAAGTATATTCATTTTGTTATTCTCGTTTTTCCGCTTGTTATGGTTTTTTGTTTTTGTTTTCGTTTTGTTGGTGTTGTGTTTGTTTTGTTGTTGTTGTGTGTTGTTATTGTTAGTGTACATGAATATTACAATACACAAAAATGTATCTCAATCTTAAGTCTTAAGGCAAAAACAATTGATAAACGTATTTAGACAGGAAAAAAACAATTTGAAATTTCGACTAGAACTTAATGGTTACGTATTTATTAATAATAATTAGAATAATATATATATATATATATATATAAATATATATATCATGTGGGCCCGAGCAGAAGTGTCTTGAATCCGTCTAAGGATATGGGCGTGGGGTGGGGAAAGGAGTAGGGAAAGTAGGTGGAAGGATGAAGGATTGCGTGCTATAACAAATATTGCGTTATGTGCCTGGCAACGGATCATGTGTGTATGCATACATGGCTCCAAATATATATATATATGTCTATGTATGTGGGGCTGCCGTGTGTGTATATCCTTATGTGACTGGCGTTGTCCGTTTTGGGTTACATGCTTTTACCAACTACACACACATATGGGGGTTGATTGGCGCCAGGGTGCCTCAGTTGTTTTGGAAAAGTACGATATTTGGATGTAAAGCAAGTGGTTTTCGCCCGAGGATTTGCTGGAAAGGCACTTGTTGCCTCGTCTGGAATTTTTTTTCGAATTTCTTTTTCTTTTTATTTTTATACCCTTGCAGAGGGTATTATAATTTTGGTCAAAAGTGTGCAACGCAGTGAAGGAGACATCTCCGACCCTATAAAGTATATATATTCTTGATCAGGATCACCTCCTGAGTTGATATAGCCATGTCCGTCTGTCCGTCTGTCCGTCTGTCCGTCTGTCCGTCTGTCTGTTTCTACGCAAACTAGTCTCTCAGTTTTAAAGCTATCGAGTTGAAACTTTGCACACACCCTTCTTTCCTTTGCACGCAGTATATATGTCGGAACGGCCGGGATCGGCCGACTATATCCTATAGCTGCCATATAACTGATTGATCGGAAATGCCATAACTTTGGTGTTTGTAAAGTTAGGAAGTTGAAATTTTCTATGGGTTATATATTTGGCCATACAATCCGACCTACCAAATTTCATAAGGATCGGCCGACTATATCCTATAGCTGCCATATAACTGATTGATCGGAAATGCCATAACTTTGGTGTTTGTAAAGTTAGGAAGCTGGGATTTACTATGGGTTTTATATTTGGCCAATCAATCCGACCTACCAAATTTCATAAGGATCGGCCGACTATATCCTATAGCTGCCATATAACTGAACGATCGGAAATGCCATAACTTTGGTGTTTGTAAAGTTAGGAAGCTGGGATTTCCTATGGGTTTTATATTTGGCCAATCAATCCGATCTACCATATTTCATAAGGATCGGCCGACTATATCCTATAGCTGTCATATAACTGAACGATTGGAAATGCCATAACTTTGGTGTTTTTAAAGTTAGGAAGTTGGGATTTTTTATGAGTATTAAGAATGCATCATATCAATAATTTTGGAGAATATAATTTACAGAGTATTCTGCAAGGGTATATAAACTTCGGCTCCGCCCGAAGTTAGCTTTCCTTTCTTGTTTTTTATTGGGATTGGGGATACCTCAGTTGTTGCGATTTTCCCTCCGCTCTTTTTTTTGTATTTACAGTGAGGCACCCTGGCGTTGTAAGTTTCCCGTTCCGTTTTCCTGGGAAGTGGGGGTATTACTGCCTTTTTGGGGGCCCTATATGTGTGCTATGACTATGCTAGGTGTTCATGTGTGTGTGTGTGTGTTCTTGTGTGTCCTGCGTGTATACATAACTATGCGTATATATATTTATATATCGTACGAATATAATGCATGCATTATAAAAATACTTTACTTTACGTTTACGTTACATTACTTCATCATGTTAATTGTTAACTTAAAAAAAAAATTGCCTGGCTTTAATCCTAGAGTGCCTGCTGCCCATTCATCTGTTCTTACTCCGCATAATCCTCGTTATCCTCCTGATTTTTGACTGTTTTTGTTTTAGGCTGTATACAATATATATTATTTATAGATGTGTGTATGTTCCTCAGCCGATCCTGGCCAGCTTTTCAGCGTGGAGAGCGACAGCTCCGCCTCAATGCTTTGCTGGAGAACCAGCTCCAAAAGGTTCTGCTCCATCCTTGGGGACGCCAGATCCCCGTTAGTAACCCTTGAGCCTGTCGGCCAGCGGCGGCTTGATGACCTTGGGCGCACTGGCCCGGGCCACCCGCATCCTTTCGGCGGCCTTGGCCAGCCGCTTCTTCCGCTCATCGACGGTTTCCGAGGCGCGGCGCAGTCGCTGCCGCGCTGCGTTCTTCATCAGTCTTAGGGTTCTTTGTACTTCCGTTTCGTTCTGCCGGCGCACTCGATTCGCCTCCGCATTCTTGGCCAAACGCACCCGGTACTCCGCCTCCGACTCCTTGGACCGTTTATCCCGCATTCGAGCCGCGTTCCTCTCCAGCCGCCTTTCCCTGGCCTCGATCGATTCGTTGCTCCGCCGGCGGGCGGCTTTTTGTGCTCGCGAGGATTGACCCTGCTGTGTGCCGGCTGACTGCTGGGCGCTGAGATGCGGCACGCCGAGATTGGCAAGGCCAGGTACGCCGCCAAGAACGCCACCGGCCTCGACGACAACGCCTGCGGATAAATGATGATGCAGGGGATGCTGCTGCTGCTGCTGGAGGACCTCCTGGTGGGGATTCCCCTGCTGCTGTTGCTGCTGCTGCTGCTGTTGCTGGTGGGGATTGCCTTGCTGGGTGAAGTTCTGGCTGTCCAAACTGAGGACCGCCGTCCCACCCGCTGCTCCGCTATTCGCTGTGGCTGCCGAGGCACTGGCCGGCGCTCCAGAGGATCCTGTGCCCGATCCCGAAACCGATACCGATCCCGAAACGGAGGTGGCTACCGAGGAGGCAACGGCTGCCGCTGCGGCCGCCGAACTCGTGTAGTTGTTGTACTCTAGGAGGCCGCGGTTGCCCGGATAGAGGGCATGGTGCATGGGACTCTCATAGCTGAGGTACTCCGGCTTGATGAAGAACGGATCGCGGGCGGTAAGCGGGGCCGTCGGCGAGTTGAGGAAGTAGAGGCGACTGTGGTGCTCGGTGGTAATGCTCCCTCCGCCACCCACACCCGCGGACATCGGGGGATTTTGTGCGCTCGCCCGCGACGACTCGACTTTGGGATCCTGTTTACTAGTCTCGTTTTCTAGTTACTCCACTCCACTCCAATGTCCTGCGGATGTCCTGGTCGATTTCCCGCGCACCGCTAAGCACAATTAACTGGCTGGCCAAAAAAAATGTGGCGAGTAAACAACAAAAGCGACATAACTAATCAATATGGAAAAAAGCTGCAGATGGTCTGCTCCAAAATAGCTTTCGCGGCGCAAAGCTCTGGGCAATCGCCATTGCGCAGCACTGTATGGGCGGCATTTCACAGCACTGCAGCACTTTTTCAAATTCAAACAGAGAATCAAGAAATACCTGTGCTCATTAAAATATCACAATTTAAAATTAAACATCCCACAAGTTACCTTTAGTTTCAAAGCTACCTTTTTTCCAAGGACCGTGAGCTTATGGTATTGTTATACGATGCAACGGTATATTTTAGTCAATTTTCAAACGCTGACTTGTATATTTTAACGGTCTTAATTTAATTATTTTTGGTGTTTACAAATAAATCTGTAAAGCATAGTAAGCTAAGTAAGATAATAATGTTAGTTTATAATTTAAAAGCTTTAAAAAAAATATCTCTTAAAATTAAATCACATCAAAACTTAAACCATATTTATTATGTAACGAACACTATACTGTGAAGAGTGCTATAATACTTGTAAGTTTAAACTAGTAGAGTATAGTGGAGAATAAATATATAAGAGAATTTACTCTTAAAGTTATTTAAGTACTTATTAAAGACAAGGTATTTTTGTTATGTATCAGTAATTTACAGAAATTGTTTTGTTTTTATTTAAGACTGCAATACATTTAATAAAAAAACCGATATTTTTTGGATGTTAATCTTGGTACATTTTAAAAGACATACACAATTCGGTTATTTGATTTCCATATTTTCCGTCATAAATGTGTCTTTCCTTGAGCATAATTTCTATAAATATAGTTTAGACCTCAAGCCACCTCAAACCTCGTGGCGTCACATCGAGCATGTTGTGGTTGCATGTTCGAGAGCCATTCGATATGAGCAGAAATGCGCTCGTTCGCTAAAATCAAACCATACCATAGCACGAATAACATTTGCAATGACAGTGGCAAAATACATAACTAGTTTTTTAAGCCATTACTTGTGATAAAACATGTATTTTTAATGCCCATATTAAATAATCGTAGACGAAAAAACTTAATTTATAGTGCTGATAAAAACTATTGTCTAATTCAAATAGAATATAAAGTTGCACATTAAGATACACAAAAATAAAATAATAAATTGAATTCAATCGAACTGATAGTGCTCCTAATTATAAATAATTAAAATATATAGGTCAAAATGTGACATCAGTTTTTATTTGAAAATTCAAAAAGTAAGACAAATGCTGTAAAATGTTGGCTCACGCGCGCATCTCCAATAGTTGGGTGAATGGCTGGTGGAATGACAGCATACGCCATGTTGTACCGCATTTTTGTTTTGGTTCTCGACGTAAACGGTCGTGTGTGCTTGTGTGATGCGGCGCCAGTTGGCAGGTAGCGTAGTTTACCTTTGCCGCTCTACAAAAGTCAAATAACAATAATAATCGCAACAACAACAACGACGACAACTGCAACAATAACAATAGGCGCATTCTTAATTGTGTTTACCTTTCGATTGTCATTCGCCAACGTTACATAGACAGCCACACACATATTTGAACATACATTTTATAACTGTGTATCGTCGCGACTCCTCCTTGCCCCTTTCTTCGTCCCCTCTTTTTGTTTGTTTGTTTTTGGTTCTTGTTCTCTCGGTTTTCCTTCAATTGGAATGTGCAGCGAAAAGAAAGGCAAGAAGAAAAGCCAAGCGCAAAGTAAAGAAAAGAACAAATCAAATCAGAGCAGCGGTATTAAAATTTATATAAGCACTAAAAAGCGCACATAACATAATTTACTATTCACACACACAGACAGACACTCAAGGCAACAACTTCAAAAAAGCAGTAATAAATACAATTTTACACATTCACATTCCATTTTGATTCTGTTGTGTGTGAAAAACTTATAAGAGAAAAAAAAAAACAAAAACAACGGCAAATAACAAAAGTATCAACAACAACAACAACAACAATACAGCATAGCAAAGCAGCGAAGTCAACGTCAAAGAAGAAGAAGCAAGATAAATACATAGCAATTTCGACTAAATAAAGGTATGTGCGACGACGATTTTACTTGACTTTATTATTACTATACTCGCAAGAGCGAGATAGCCATATATACTACATACAATCAGAGGCAAACACACATGCACACACAAATTTTCATTATTAGTTTAACTCTTCAATTTATTATTGTTATTATTGCTTCGTATCCCTGTCCCGCTCGCGCGCTCCTTTTTCGCTCTTCTTTTGCGCCGCTCTCTAATTTTCTCTCATTTTTCTTGGCCCTCTCTGCTGCGCTCTCTGCTAGTTCTTATTAAAATAGTTACGTTAAATCAGTGCGTTAACTTGTATTTGTGTGTATGTCTGCTGTCTGTGTCTCTATGTGTCTAAAGATTACGTTTTTTTTTTTGAATATGCCTACGAAAATGTTTAAGAAACTAAGAATGTATGTGTGTCCGTGTTTATTGTTCTTTCGTATTTGATCACCCGCTTGATAAAATAGAGAAAAACAACAAGTCAGGTTAAAACGACGACTATGTCTGTATGTTTTGTATCTGTAAGTGCCCTTGTATATATGTGTGTGTGTGCCTTTGCATTGTACATAAATTGAATTAAGTGAAATTTTTGTTGCTGTTTTCGTTAGCGGAAATTTCTACACCGCATGTTCGTCGAGCCGATCACTAAAAAATCGAACTAAAAATCAAACACACACGCATGCATACCGTTACTCTGTGACAGTTGCGATAAGTTTTTACTTTGATGTTCGACAAATTCTGATTGGAATCTCGGCTGTTATGCAACATTTAGATGTAGAGCTCTCAAAAAGATCTCAACGTATCGAAAATTTATGAAATTCATCTCCACGTCGAGATTGCCACCTAATGTATTTCCCATTAGTTTCATTTTTTGCACCCACAAAATTAAAAGTTCTCACGGAATAAAATCCACTGGCCAGTGTTGCCTAATGTTTTATTTTACTAATTAATATTCCAATTGGATTTTAAATTCCGGGTTGAAGCAGATTTTAATAATGTGAATATCACATTATTTTTTAATGGTCCAAACCAATAATCGATTAAACATAAAACATAGTTTCAAACAACTTGTATAGGTCATTAAATAAGCTCATTTGAAAACGTATCATCAAAAGCTTTTATTAGCAATTACAATTTGTATTCTATTTAAAGTATGTAGCTGTTTTAGATAATATTAATTTCATTAAGTCATAAAAAACAAATTTATTCTGAACTCTGGCTACTCGGCGGATCTAAGATTAATTTTTTCAAACAGCCCACCAGATTCCATGCTACATCACTTGTTAGGTTTACATTAAAAGTATAACTGTGCCTTTAAAAAGCTAATACTTAAACCAGTTCTCTTGACGAAACGATTAATTTTTAATAGTTCCTATGCATTTATGGTTAAAGATTGTATTAAATTAAATTGTCATTGATGGGTATCATAATTCAAATGAGTATAATAACCCAATATAATTTAAATTACTGATTACATTCTTCCACAAAACCAGTAAAGCAGAAAACGCAATAACTTTGTTTTCTGGCGTTCCAAAGGTAAAATATTCCTGTTTTATGCGAGTGATCACCTACCCCTTTTGTGATCCTTTGCCTTGTTATGGCCCTTCCCTTTTTTTTCTATAGCTGGCATTTGCAGAAAAAGAAGACAAAAACCCACTAGACGAGTGGAGCTGCACATATTTGTTAACATTACCATTACCATATCCCATTTCCAATTTCCAAGCTTGCTTCTCTGTGACTCAGAAACAACAACAATAACCAGAGCTCAAATAAAAACAGAAACAACAATAAGGCAACACACACCTAGTTACAGCTGTGCTCAAGTTGTTAGTAGTGAGACTATGTATGCACATAAAATGTCTACAAAACCCTATTTTAAAAGTCGTATAGTTGTTTCCATATTTTGTTCCTTACAAAGATAAGTTATCCAAGTTATTATCCGATCATGTTTTGCGTATATATAATATTTTTAAAATGCTCGCACACCTCACATTTTTGTAGAATTACAAATGTTTTTAGACGTTGATTTTGATATTTAAATAATTTAAAAATTGTTCTATTTAAACAGCTTTGTAATTAAATAATTTATAGTGTTTTAACACTGTTTGATTTGCTGCCATATAACTTTCTTACCAGTGTACAGCATTATCTATAAAAAGTTGCTTTATATTCCTTCTAGACTATTTTTGTTGCATTTTTTAAGACCTGTAAATATTAGTATTATCTATAAAAAGTTGCTTTATATTCCTTCTAGACTATTTTTGTTGCATTTTTTAAGACCTGTAAATATTAGTATTTTTCCGAAGACAGCTGTATTTGGTGGCGCACACAGGTAAATTTTATGAAGAAAAAACAAAGAGTTGCCGATATGCATATGTAACTACTCGAGTATCATTAAATGCAGATCTCTATAAAAGCATAAAAAACAAAGTCGAAGCGGAGAAGTGACTTTTCAGTGCGGTTTTTTATTCGTATCGTTTCGTTTCGTTACCAAGACAAGCAGACAAGACACACAGCCAACAATCCATAATAATCTTCCCGTAATTTATAGTCCAAGACAATTTATGTAATTTACAAATACCAAAAACGAAAGAGACGGCAAAAGGTAGAAAAAAACCAAAGACGATGAGAGCGAATGCAACTGCTGCAGCCAACTAACGATAATAACAATAACGAAAAAAAATATAATAAAAAGAGAGAAAAACACACGGTGGAAAAAACAACAAGGCAACACACACGGCTATAGCAATAAACAGCTACAGCAACAGCAACAACAATGGAGCAGCGCACTAAATAAACAATTCAACAAATTTGATCCGAGGCAATCACACACACATACACACAGACACACTTAGACAATCATAGACAACTCACACGCACATAAAAATGCATATGAATAAAAAATATGTAGGTATGTTTGAATAAAAAATATACGACAAATGTAAGTGCAGTAACAGCAAATGCAACAGCAACAAATGCAGCCAAGTCAAAAAGCAAAACGCAAAGAGCTAAAGGCAAAGTCAATGCAAAGACAGTGCGCAAAGTCAAATGTCGTTTAAGCTCCAAGTTTTTACTTTGTTTGTTTTTGCTTCTCAAGTTTGGTGAACGCATAAAATAAGCAAGTAGTGTTGGGCAAAGACCTAGAACTCGACAATGTGATACCACCTCCCCCTCCAAAAAAAGGGACTATGAGAGATTCGAAAAGATTCGCGCTTCAAAGCTGGTTCTCTATATACAAAGAATAAACTATGTAAAATTACAGCTTACTAATACATTAGTGTTAATTTAGAAACATGTTATTTTCCAAGGCAAGATAATTAAAGGTTTGCGGGATTTAAAGTTCAAGATTTCTGAATGTGGATTTAGTTCAGTTCCAATATCCTGTTGCTTTTCAACTAGTTGTCTTAACTAAATGTGCCAATTATGTTCGAGATTCATAATTATATAAAATAAACATGGCAAGTAAGGATATGTATGTACACACATCTTACAGAAAACAAAATTTGGTTCAACTTAAATATAAACAAACATTTTAAATGCGCTTGAATAGAGCCTTACAAAAAATGATTGCCCAGATGAGCGGATGAACTTATCTATTATATATTAAACTAATTTCACAAATCAAAACAATTTAAGCAAATTTGTACCTTTAAATGTAGAAATGAATCTACCCTTGATACCCCTTATATCAGAATCGTCTATAAAAGTCTAGAGAAAATGTACAACTTGAACCCATAAACTCGCACACACACACACACATATATACAAATACTAGCTTGAATGTGGTAATTGCATTTATTGCACGTGCTCTAGCTATCTCCCTTGCACTTGATATCTCCCTCTGTCGCACTCAAGAGTCAAGCACAAAATGTAAGGCCATAAAAATATTTTTCAAGCTGTAAACTTTTCTATGCTGCACAGTTTCTTTTGGTTCTTTTCTCTTTCTCTTTCTGTGGTTTTCCCGACGACGACGACGACCAAACCGCACCAAACGATCTCCCCGTCCACCTTAAACACCTACCCCTCCGACCCCCCCACCCACCAGACTACAGGGTATCAATCAAGCGGGCTCTTGCGGTTGGAGGATTTCCCCTTGGGACTTACAAATGAGGTCAAAATAATAGTAACCCTGTTCTCATTGTCGATCCAATTTGCTGAATTTATATATTTAAATTCTTACAGAAGTGTCAAATGAATTCTTCTAAAAATGTTTATTAATTTCTCAAGAATTGTACCTACATTTGGGGGTTATAGTTTAGACATTACTACCATGGGGATTATTAGGGAGTATATTAAGAGACTTAAAAGAATTTACCTAATATAATTATTTTGGATCTTGAAATACTTTTATAGTATTAGATTGACTCATAAAAATATACATATCTGCATAACTTTTGGAATTTGAAATGCCTTCTGCTACTATTATTTTGGCCACACATGTGTTTTTTTTTTTTTTTTTGCAACACCGATGGAAAGATGCGGAGAGAGGGCGCTGCATCTTTGAAGCTCTTATGAGCAAGTTGCTGGATATGAAACTTGTCTATTGAGCACTCCTGGTTCTTTCTTTTAGCTGGTTTCTTCTCGTTTCTGGGTTCGTGGTTCTTTCACATCGGCGTTCTTCGCTCTTCGGTTCTCAGTTCTCTTTTCGCTCCTCGCATCTTCGGCTTATCTCTGGCCATTGCCAAGTTTTTCATCTAGTTTTTGGCCTGGCTTTTTGCCCCTCGCTCCCAGGTTTGATTCCTGTTCTTCTCCGGCTATCTTCCCAAGCTGTTTCTTTTCCTTTCGGCACTCCCACCCGCCCACACGCATCTCCTTTTGTGGAAGCGGTCGGTTGACTTGGTTTACAGCCCCCTCGCATCTCTTTTTTTTTGACTTAATATCCTCACTCCATCATCATCATTGCCGCAATCTTCATTATCAGCGCGCTTTTATTTGTTTTCTTTGAGCTTTCCTCTGTACGCATTCCTCTGCTCTTCGTCTTTTTTTGTCTCTCCAATTTTTTGTTATTTTCTTTCGAGTTCTGTAGAAATTTTAATTGCAATATTTATTTGGGTATTTCTGCGAAAAGAAAACCTCAGCTTTTATCTAGGTTTTATTTCTTCGTCTGTATGTATATAATATCGGGACACAAGTTGGGCAAATTGTTTACATAATCAGATAAACCTGATATCATTGGGCTTAGCCATCGATACCGAGCGACTATCGAAATTAATATCTCGTCAACTGTAGCAAAGAAACAAATAAGCAAGCAAACGAACAAACACATTCCAATCTTCTCTTTTTCCATTATAATAGTTGAACTTATAAATGTCTGTTAGTGTTCATTTCCTCACACAGACACAGGTCACTGTAATCACTCGTGTGTGTGTGTATCTTCTTCCGGAGCTATTGTTATTGCAAGTACACGTAAAATTATTGTTCACGTCGCACATTGTCGTGAGTTTGTAATTACCAACCTCACCTCACCTCAATCTCCCACCCTCTTTACCACCGACTATCGTTCATATGAGGTCTTAATATGCAGCACAGTGGTCGCTAGCTAAGTAAAATAACCTGATTAAGCGACTTACTGGTAGTTTAAGATTGGTTATCGACACGATAAGGTTTTCCTAAGATTTCGACAACAAAGATTTATAACATCTTCAACATGAATTAAAAAATTAACACTTATTTTAGCCCTTAGTCGTCTGTAGGTCAATTTAGCTTTCATAGTTTCTGAGATCCAGGATGATCATAAATAAATTTATAGGGTCAAAAGCAGAACCTTCTTCCTGTTTCATTCCTTTGCAAGAATACAATATACCCTTATAATCTAAAGGTGCCGGGAATAAATATTATAAATAAACACATTTGGAAATCGGGCCTTGCAATCAGTATATAATTTATTATTTATTTATGGTGTGAGTTTCATCAACAAATTTCCACTTGTAAAGTCAGAAAACGGGTTATCGTAAGCAGGCACTATCACATTTATAGGAATGTTTTAGTTGAATTGTTGGTTTTTATAACTCGTCTATCTTTAAGATGCAATTTGGGGGCGATCACTGTAGTTGCCCATGCATGTTTATACAGACATATGTCTGTGAGAGTTGTAGATACGAATAATGATATTCTTTTGGGGGCATTGCATAATCAGTGTAATCACTCTGGCTTGCACCCCTCTCATCCGCTTTCTTCTCTCACAACTCCCTCCCTCTTTCGCTCTCTTTATCTTTTTTTTTGCCCCTTAAAACTCTCGCATGCAGGAGGCTCAAATCAATTATGAACACAGCAATTGGTTATGCAAGGCCATGGAAGGTTTTCTTGCACATTTTCTCCACTGCTTCGGGTTCTTGAGCTGTGTGATCTGAAGAAAGAAAAATCAGAATGCTGGTAAGCTGACAGAAGAATTGCTCGGTTCTTGTGCTTCTTTTATTATTTGGAATACTTTCTAAGTCAACGACAGCATTTAGAATTTATCTAGTACTTGCGCACACACGGTACAAATACCGATACAAAAGTTTACTTTGTCATCGCGCGCTGTGTCTTCAATTCTTCTAGATGTGCTTCTTCTGTGTCTTCTCAGCGTTCGTTCTTGTGCTTGTATTCTATTTCATTCCATAGCCATTCCGTCGGTAAATATGCTCACAAATATTAAATTCTGTGTGGTATGTCTGTATGTATAGTAACAACCCACCTCCTACCGCCCACCGCCCACCGCCCACCGACCCCTTGTAACTTGGTCGTTCGTGTGCGGTGTATAAATTTTCTGTGGAACTGTACAATAGCTAAAATAATCATAAAAAAGAAATAACAAAGTTTTAAGTCTCACAGTGTGAGTGGAGGTAAACCAATAAGCAAAAGCAACCAACCAACACACATGTCTTTCCCTGGGATATATGGGATAGTAAGTGTAAGTAGTGTGTATTTGCTTTTCTCGACGCGACTTCTTGAATAGTTGTAGAGTAGAGTCGTTCGGTTCAGTTTGGTTCGGTTTCGGTTTCGGGTTCGTTGGGGTTTTGAGTCGTTTTGAGTAAGAGGTTCGTGTTGGGGTTCGCTTTGGTTCGTTTAGAGCTTCGACTTCGACTTCGGCTCTACGAAATCTTCTCTCTCTCTAGTTTCCTAGTCTTGTCTTTGTGCAGAAACAGAAATCTCGAGTTTCTTGACTTTTCTGCCTGCTTTTCCGCTCGACTCTACGCACTACCCACCACCACCTCCTCATCTTACCCTCTTCTCATAAGTAATAAGCATTTCGTTTGTTATAAAGTTTTTTTTCTTGCTCCGTATTCCGTATATTTCCTCATATGTGTAAAACCGCGACGTTTCCCACCACCATCATTCCGCCCCCCTTAACCACCATCACGCGCCTTTATATGGGTTCCATTTTATTTAATTTTTATTTTAAACTTTAAACAATGTCTGGCTCTGACTTGAAATGGTAATTGATGGAGAGTTGGAAAAGGAGGGGGGGCTTAGCTCCATATGCGGGCCCCTTACAGACATGGAAACTATTCATATACAGTCGAACTTCCATAATTCCAACCACTCTCATAAAAATTCAAGTTTCTTTTTAAGATTATTTATGGAACGCAAACAAGTTTTGTTTCTCGAATTGTTTGTAATTAAAAAGTGGTTCCAGTTTTATAGTATACGTACGCTTTGACTTTGACATTTTTTACTTTGAATTCGTTATAAAGTTACAGAATTAATTAATTATTCTAATTAATTGTATTATATTGTATTGTAATTTGGTTTATTTGACAAAGGTTTTAAATATTGGTTTCCTTTATATTAGCTAAGACATTAGAATAAATAGAACGCCAAACAATATGCAACAATTTTTACAAACGGATTTTTAGCTGCTGTTGGGCTTGTATAAACCTACGTCTTATTGCTACAAGGATATCTATATTAACACCTGTATATAATTATTGTAATTGTTAAAGTATCTACGTATTTATTAAGTAAAACCCATTCAAGTTCACAGCCCTATAAAATACCCTCAGGTATATATGAACCTACAATGTCTCATTGGTTTAACTTTAGAAGTTTGACTGTGTTCATACTTGGTATGCATTATGTTTTTCAAGGAGTATGAGGAGGGTGTTTGGGGGGTAGTACCCGTTGTACAAATATGTATTGCAAATTGCTTTGGTCTTTTTACCAGTTCCAGTTTCCAGGTGCTGCTCTCCCGCTCGCTCTCTGTGCATCATTATGTGAGAGCTTATTCTTGTTCTCTTTCCATGCAGATGGGAACAAAAACAGAGAGATCTTCGCGTAGAAGATCAAAACAGAATTTCAATTTGCAAACTCATGTGCCTAGGATTCTTAACCCCCCATTGCCCCACACAGTCCGCGCCTTTTTTTTTTGGATATGATATTTTGCAAAAAGTTCTCGGGAGGAGAAACTGGTTGAGAATTTTTGCATTCCGTTGCTGAACTTGAATTGCATTTGGAATTTGTTCGTAGTTCTCTGTTGTGCTGTGTTCCACGCATTTTCCATTTCCGTTCGTTCACCTTGTTCTTTCCAGTAGTTGTCTAAGTGGGAGGGGGGTGTAAGTTAAATGGAATGGAAACGTCGATAGTTCGATGACTTTTTGCCGCTGGCTTATCGATGACGCTGGTGATTTATTGATCGAGATGCTTTTATCGATGGAGCGAATGGCAAACTAAAACTTAATTGCTCAACTAAATTACAGCAATTTTCCCCATTCCATAATGAGCGAAAGAGAGCGACCATGAATTTATCGTACTTTGTATGCTTTGTCTTCCGCCCTATCTCCTCTATAACCCTCCCGAACCCCCCCCTTATTTCCAACTTTTGTAGATATAAAGTTTTATTTCATTTCGTTTCGTTACGATTTTTGCTATTATTATTTGTTCGTGTTTCTCTGTCACTGTATCTGTATCTGTGAGATACCCCTGTAACGGTGTGTGTGTATGAATGTTATTTTTTAGTTTCGACTTGTTTTCTTTTGTGTAATTTTATTTTTGTTTGTGCTTGTGTGTGTATCAAGTTCATAACTTTTGTATGGCGACTACGACAGTAAGAATTGTTTTGTTGTTACTGGTGTTGTTTTTGAAATCCACACAATAAATATATGTATGTACGGGCAAGGAGTATGTTTGTATGTGTGCCATTGTGTTGCCATCACTGTGTGTTTCTGTGTGTGTTTTTTATTTTTCACATTTATTTTCTAGTTTGCTCGCTCGTTGTTTTGTTAACTCTTATTTAGTTTTCTTTGCGTCTTCAGCGTCGCTGCCTTCGTATCATTCGTATATATGTCTATATTCTTTTTTTTATTTTTCGTACACACATTTTTCGTTTATGCCCCATTATTAATAAATAGTTTTCTTGTTCTGCTCTGCATTCCCATTTCAGTTTACCAAACGTCGTCGGTACAATCAGAACGTTCCGTTCTCCCGTTTCTGTTTCTTCGATTTTCCGTTCGTTCCGCGCGCTCCTCTCTCGCGTGAGAGAGAGATTGGCCACTTGTTGCCGGCTGAGGTACTCCCCCTCAATATTCCGTTTCCCATTCCATCGATATTGGATTGACAACCGATTGATCTGATCCACCCACTGGCGGAGATTTGTGGAACGACGACGCTCAGTGGAAGCAGAAGGACGAGGAACCAGTGGAAGGCATGCAGTTGATGGCCAGCGGTTACTTCTCCTGTTACTCCTGCAGCAGCTCCATATCCTTCAGTTCCCTCAGTTCCGGTTCCCTGTGTTACAAGCTCTCGCGATGGATAGCGATGGTCAGCAGGAGGTTGGGGGCGGAAGTGCACCACCGCTATGTCGCATCTGCGTCACCACCCACCATCAGCAGCACAACAGCACCACTGCAACAGCCACCACAGTCCTGCCCATGATACCCATCTTCGGCGAAGACGCGCTATGGCAGAAGATTACCACGCTGGCCAACGTCAAGGTGAGTAACAAAAGCTAAGATATAGAGGAGCAAATAAAAGGGGTGGTCGAAATAGGGTGAACAGAAAAAAGGGGCAGCAAAGAGGGTGACCGATTCCGAGACTAAAAAATCTGAGCAGAAGAACAAAAAGGTGACAATAATAGTGGGGTGAATCGAAGGTCAAGAATTGCAGACTTCCATAACAGTGGTCACTTGACAAATAGAACTTGAGTTTGAAAACATGATAGCTTTTCATTGTCAACGAGTAAATTCAGAATGTGCATGCTTTAGAATATGTTTTGGCTGTTTTGAAAATCTAAGATTAGTAAGATATTATCCCAATCTTGGATTTTTATATATTAATTATACTTCATAGACTGTAAAATTGAATTTTCTTACATATTCATGGTACAGTAACAGCATAAGTTTTAAAAAACGGTTTATATGAATTTAGTCCACAAGTCAAGAAACATAGTCAAGTCTATCTAGGGTTAAACCAAGTAAATTAGGTTTTTAGAACAGGTATTATAGTTTACAATTTACATAGCTCCTTATCATCTTTAGATGGTAAACTTTTTGATAAGGAATTTTTAGGGTTGGTTTCATAATGACTGATTAAAATACATTTGTTTCTTTTTATAACAAAAGCAAGCACTTACCTTAGTATAGCTATGTGTCGTAAAGGGACTTAAAAATCGTGTGAAATTTTACTTTAAAATCGCTTTATGATAAAAAAAATGTTTATATTCGTAACGTAATGGAAGATTTAGAAACAAAAAAAAGATTCCTTCTATAACCGCACAACGGGTTGGATTTCTGTGACACCTAATTTTATAGCTAGCGATCACTGTATTTATTGATTGTGAATTGCTAGTTGTCTTTTCTATCCCGTTGATTCTGAAAAGCTTTATCGAGCTGTTTGCATATAAAATCGATCCTAATTTGTATGCCATACGAACCGTTTACGATTCTAAGAGCGCTTAGAATAACATATGTATATAAAAAAAACAATTTTTGGCAGGAAGCAAATTTTTTGGTTTTATCTTATTTGGCAAACAGTTGTGTTGAACGGGAGGACCGAAGTAAAAGATCTTTTCGGAGTCTATATTTATTTTTAACGAGGTGTGTCGACTATTTGAGCCCACTGTTTGTGTGTAATCCAAGATTGTTGTTGTGTTCTTCTTCGTGGAATACTAAAACTAAAAAAAGCAAACACATGAAAGTTATTCACACCAACACAGCCACTCCACGTATTTATTATTCATATTAATTTTCATACACATTCGCCCGTACGTATTATATCTTGTATCCCATATGTGTGTGTAATTTGGAATCAGTTTTCATTGCTTTGTCTTGTTGCTCCACTCCTCTTTGGCCATTTATTCTGTTTATTTGTTCGGTGGAATGGCTTCGGCTTTGGTTAGTTTATTTTATTCATATTGTGTATACAATTTTTTCAACGAGCGTTTCATATTTTTTCCGTCGCAGCTCGATGGAATTTCTTGTGGGTCTTGGTCTTGTCTTGCCGTATTTCGAATTTTGTATTTCTTCATTTCATTTCGTTTCTCTGCTTTGGCTTTTGTAAAACAATTTACCGTTTGAATTGCTGTTTAGAAGTGTTTGTTTTTTGTCGTCTGTTTGTATGTATGACGTGGGCTTAATTCCATACATTTTTCCTTTACTTAACTTTACAATCTTGGCTCTCTTCGCTCTCTTTTCCTAGCTCCATCTAATCTCAGTTGCTCTCCTACATAAACAAAAAAAATTATGAAATTTGTATATTGGAATATTTTCAAACGACATTTTTGAACTTTTCGTAATCATACTTATTATGCTGATAGAATGTAAAAGTTCATTGGGTTGTGATAGCATTTGAACCCGCGCTTCAAAATGATATGATTATCATTTGGGTTTCATGTGGAGCTACTTTTTTCCTTCTGTGTATTCGCTCATTGCCCATTTCCCACTTTATGTTCGGCTTAGACGTTCGTTGGCCCCACGATTCTGGGCTGGTAAGGGGTAAAGTAAGGGGTGAGAGGTGGCACGTGAATGTGAATGGGGTGGCTCTGTGTGTTTTCTTGCCCGTGTGTCTTCGCCCCCTTATTCGCATTGGTGTTTTTACAATTCATGTGCATATTTCAATTTGATTTTCTCCTTATGTGTTTTTCCTCAACCGTTGAAATGCTGAAATTTTCTGGTTTATTTGTGCAATTTTCCCACTTGAGTAAATTATGTTGCCAATTCAAGGAATTTCATGTTGTCTTTTGGCATCCGTAACGTCTGCCAACAGTCTGGTAACGCTCGGAATTGGGATGCCGTAAATTGGGGGGATGCAGATACAGTGGTCCTTCGATTTTAATTACAAACAAGATTTTAAAAGTAAACATTTGGTATAAGGGTTCAAGTTATTGTGAAATACACATGAATATTTAATAGAAGAAGTAAACAAAAATTGTCCTATGAGGAGTTTATTTAAACTATTTCGTAATTAATTTTGTTCTAAAAAGATAATTGAGGCTTGGAGTCATGTGTAATCACTGTGAATCACAATAAACTTTGTTATTCGATTGGCAACATTTTTCCACCGATCTGGCCATTTTGTGCCAGCCGTTTTATTTTAGAAAGGTGAAATTGGAATTTCAAACCAATCGTATATATTTTTTTTAAACATTTTAGATCAGCAAAAACGACACCCTACCGCAACAGGTGTGCGTGGGCTGTGCGAAGACGGCCATTTCGGCCTGCGTGTTCAAAAAGAAGTGCGAGGAGGCGGATAACTTTTACCGCCAGAAATTGAGGCTCCAGAAGATCGAGGGCGCGGATCCGCTGGAGACCAGCGCTGCTGCCGACCAGGCCAAAAGCAGCGGCTGCAGCAGTGGCAGCGGGAGTGGGAGCAGCAGCGCCAGCGGAAGTGGCAGCAGTTCCACTAGCAGCAGTTCATCCTCCTCCGACGAGGACGAAGACAATGATCAGGATCGGGATAATGACAATGAGGTGGAGGCTGGCGGGACACACAAGCTTCTGCAGAATGGTCATGGCCAGGCCATCAATGGCCATCGAGATGAGGACGATGAGGTCCAGGAGGATATGGAGGACCATCACGAAGCTGGCAATGACGGGGAGCAGCAGGAAGATGATCACGACGATCACCATCGAAACGGCCTCGAGTTGAGGGAAACAAACCCTGAGGATGAGGATGATGTGGAGGAGATAAATCCACTGAGTCACCACCACAACGACGATGGGGAGATAACCGTCCATGGTGTGCATCCCAAGGAGCCGTTCGACTTCAACTCCATTCGCCTGATGCAGGAGTACATGCAACATCAGATGAACAAGTTTCCGAATGGCTCCGCCACTGGTCCACCGGGTCAGGATATGGAGCTCGATCTCGACCAGCAGCATCACGACGACGATGATGATGAGGACATGTCGCTCCCGCTGATACCCGAAATCGAGCTTATCACGCCGGGGGATGAAGCGCAAGCGGATCCCTCGAATCCAAATGATTTGGTCAATGGAGCCGGCGTTGGCGTGGTTCAGGGGATGCGGGGACCGGGATTCCAGTGTCCCCATTGCTACCAGATCTTCGAAATGAAACAGATCCTTAAGGCGCACATGCAGAGCGTCCATGGAGCACCGGGACCGGTGTATGAGTGCAGTAATTGCCGCAAGACCTATTTCTACAAACGTTTTCTGGAGAAGCACATACGCCGAGGTCGGTGCGTCAAGAAGCGTCGCAATCAAACGTGAGTTGGGGAGAGGAATTTTTAGTGAAATAAGATATTAAAATCGATTTTTTTTCTTTCAGTCGGCCCATGCAGTGTTCGGATTGCCATGTCCTCTTCCCCACGGGCCACCATTTGGGTTGGCATAAGCGCACCGGGTGTCCTTCGAAGGCGGCCAAAATGTGAGTGACTAGTATATTAATAACGTGAATTCTGAGTATATGGACCCATCCTTTCCCTCATTTCAGGCCATTGCAGCAGCTTTTCAAGCAGAATATTGTGCAGTTCAACAATTTCCCTAAGCGGATTGCCGCCGGAGGAGCTCGCAAGCCCACTGCTCCTGAATTGCATGTGAATAATCGCAAGTAAGTGAAGGGGTAACTAATTTAAATGAATTAACATTACCTTTTCTCATTTCCTGATTTGTCTTATTTTCAGACTGGGCCTGGCCAACAAAAGAAAGGGTCGCACTCGCATCAAGTTGGATGCCAAAAAGATTGCCCTAGCCAAGCAGTTGATACTGCGCGAGGCCACCACCACGGTGATTGCCAACGAGCTGAACATCTCGCGCACCTTCGCCTGGCGCCTGCGCAAAAGTCTGGTTAATGGTGTAAGTCTGCATGAGCGGGTGGTGGATCCATCGCAGGAGGAACACCACCTCCAACAGCTGCAGCAGCACCACCACCATCAGCAGCTACAATTGCAGCAGCATCAGCAGGAGGAGCAGCAGCAGGCTGCCGCTGTTGCAGCGGCACAAGCGGAACGGGAACGTGAACATCATCAGTTGAACCTTTCCTATAGCCACCTTGGCTTGGGCCTTATCAAAGAGGAGCGGCAAGACAGCGAGGATGAAGAGCAGCATCAGCACCATCCCTCACATCATCAACTGGGTCTAGTGGATGAGTGCGGAGCGGAGGAGATCGGCGCTGAGGAGACGGCTGGGTATATGGGTGATGAGGATGGCGTTTGTGACTTGCTTCGCAATGGCTATGACCCCGATCCCGATTCTGACCCCATTGAGCACGATCCCTTCGAGGGCACCGAGAACAACGACCATCATTTGAATGGAGGTCGGACCGGTTCGGTTTCGCCTGCGCCACCGCTACCGCCGCCATCGCTGGGAAGTTCCGGTGTTCCGGTGCCGGTGCAGGTTCATGCTGCCGCGCGTTCCGATGTTGAGGTCTATAAACGTCTGCTCGCGGAGTCGCAGCACTTCCCCCACATCGTGAACGCCCAGCAGTTGCAGATGCAGCAACAGCAACGCGAGAGGGAGAGGGAGCAGCGGGAACGCGAACGGGAGCAACTGCAGCACCAGAAGGCCCACAATGGCGGAATGCCGATGCTTACTCGTTATCCGCCGTCCGTCATGTAAGATTATATTCATGTTAAACCAAAAATCACTTATATAAAGCATTCGAAGACATTCAAGTAGCCAACACGTTTTAGAAATCTTTAACCTTTTCTAAATGAACAACTTATATACAGAAAAATGTATGTGTTCTATAGTATTCAAGAATCCATAAATGTATAAGTACTCTTATCTTACTATAGTCATAAATACTTCAACCTAAATAATATGATTAGCAACCGTTCCTATCGAACCAATTCTTTAATATGTTTGAAGGTAAACATGGCCATCACAAATATCGTGCTAACTAGCTCTTGATTTTATTTGTTAAGTTATTTAAACTTGAATAATATGATTAGCAACAGTTCCTATCAACAATATTTTCTTGTATAGATGAACGTTAATTAACAATTTTAAATTAAATTAAGAATGTAAGCATTCTTTTAATTGTTTCCAAATGTTTAATGACACAAAATAATTGAAAAGATATAGGTTGAATATTTTAATAATTATTTGAATAATTTAGGCATGCCCTGCCCGTCAACCTGTCCCTGCGCTCGATGCCCCACATGAACAGCAACGAGAGGTGAGTGTCAAAAGGGTATTTCACTCAGGGAACATATCCCTTAATACTTAACTATAACTAAACAGCAACGGCAGCTCCAGCAGCAACACTGCAGCCCCAGTGCCCGTTTCCGGCTCATCTGCAGCCTCGACGTCTGCGACGCCAACCGGCAAGAAGCCCCGTAAGCCGAACGTCTTCATCGATGACGAGAAGTACGCCATGGCCAAGTTGCTGGTGGCCCAAAACTCCTCCACCATGGAGATTGCACGCGCCCTCAACGTTTCCCAAATGACGGCCTGGAAGGTGCGCGATGCCATTCTCAAGGGAGTGCCGCTCTCCTACCGCAACAAGCGATCCGATGGCAGGCATTCGGACGAGTTTATCGTAAAGGAGCAGCAACAACAGCAGCACCAGCAGCACCAGCAACAGCAACAACAGGAGCAACAGCAACGCCAGCAGGAGATGCAGCGGCAGCAGCAACAGCAAATGGAGCAAATGGAGCTAATCAAACAGCAACGCCAGCAACAGGAGTTGCTCCTCCAACAGCAGCAGCAACAACAGCAACAACAACAGCAGCTGCGTCATCACACACCAGCGGAAACATCACACTATCAGCAACAGCAACAGACGCCAAAGTTGCTGCATCCTCGTCGCCGGTTAAAGGCCGCGGAACGCGAACTGCGCGACAAGGAGATCACACGCGAAATACTCGAGCTGATAAAGGAGGACAGCAACATTCAGTACTGGAAGGTGTCGGCCCGGCTGGCCGAGAAGGGTATCAATATATCGCCCTCGTCCGTCTGCCAAAAGCTCAAATCGATGGGCATCCACCGGCGCTGGAAGCCTGGGGACAAGCCACCCATGCTGGCCATCAGTCAGCTGAAAGCGGCCACCGTGGCGGCCGCAGCAGCAGCAGCTAGTTTGGCCGGTGTCGGCGGTGTTGTTGGTGGCGCCAGCGCTGGACTGGCCGGCAACAGTTTCGGCCTGGCCGACGACGGCTACGAGCAGCAGCAGTTCGACATGGGTGGGCCTCACTTTCTCAGTGCCTTTACGCGCTAGACGAACGACCACAAGTCCTCCCCATCTTAACTTAGAGTTAAATATTACACGCATTGGAGTGGATCAGAATCGTAGGGCAGCAAGCAAGCTATCGGGCAATTCTTAGGCACTTTGACTTTAAAATTGTAGGGCAAGTTATTCTTTACACTATTCAAGAAAGCATACAAGTCTGGGCAATCATTAAAAATATGTGTTTTAGCTTGGCTTTAGATAAATGGTATGATAAAGGAGTGAAAAAATTAATGGAAGATAAATAACCAAATATCTAGTATATCCTTTTTTAACTAAGTAGGCCAACTTAAATACTTATACTTGGTTATCCAAAAGGAAAGTAAACTAAATCCAATCTTGTTAGTTATTTCATGCAACATGTTTTATTTTCCAAAACTCAAAATATAAGTTCTTTTTTCATAGATAAATGTATTGAAGACCTGCACTTTTCAAGACAAAATACCTATTAATTGTCCACAACTACGATTTTTTAGTTTTTTATTTTTTTTTTTCGAGCCACCCTAATCCAAATGCATAGACCAGCACAGCAACAACAACAACTTGTATTTTTTATATAGTATTTGAAAGAGAGAGCGCGCTTGAAATGTATTTGTATTTGTAATCGATATGAGATAGCATATATTGTATGATTCTGTATTAGATTTATATATCCAATATATATGCTAAGCATTCCTAGAATGTAACACAAAAAAAAACACGCCCAAAAACACGTTCATTCCAAGCGAGGAACATTTTTCCTTTCTTTAATTTCAGCAGCTTCCTCTTCCTCCATTCACACACACACATACACTACACCAACACACACATAGCTGATAATTTTTAATTAATTAATTATTATATTTATTGATCGCACGTTCTTGTGTGTGTGTGCCTTTTAGCTGAGAAATGTATTTAAATTTTCACCATTTTTAATTTATTTATTTTACTCACGCACACACACATAAGTAGTTATTCAGTACTGAACTTTAATTTAGTTAAATTAATGCATCAATCGATAAAATAACAATCAGAACAAAGCAAACGGAAGCAGAACAAACAGCAGCTAGAGAGAGAGTTAAGAAAGCTAGCAACATAAGTGCAATTATAAATAAAACTAAACCTTAAAAAAACAGAAGAATGTTAAATAATAACATGTGACCGAGACAAAAGCTAGGAGCGTGAGAGAAGGGAGAGAAGGAAGAAAGAGAGGGAAAATTGTTTATCCAATTTAAGGCCAAAACACCACTGGAGATTTTTTTAAATTTATGTTTCCAAATGCGTTATTCGGAAGTCATTCCTAGCTTTAAATACACACTCTTTACTGAATACCAACTCTTTCATTTAAAAGCTAACTATTTTTTAAATTTCATAGGCGAATTTTCAATATTTTCATTTGAAATTATTACCATATATTCAGACGATAAATGTATATAAGTAAATTATTTTTAAATCGTCATTAATAAAACCTGTTGATTTTTGGTTAAACAAAGCCTTACACTGAAAACCTGTAATATTATTATTAATTAGGGCAATTAAAAAAACAAATTAATTTAAAAAACTTTTTTTAATACTCTTAGACACTTCCAAAGACCTACCAAAATTTTGTTAACCCATAACTAGGCTGGAAATTAAAAAAACTATCACAGAAATTCCCTCTTAAGAGTGGTAACAGTGGTGTTAAGCTATTACTTTAATAACTCACCTAAGGAAACCGATTCAATGATTAACTTGTGCCCCTTTTTCATCTTTCTTTCTCCTATTCTTGCTCCACATTAAACAGTTACTCCGAATCCATCCTCCAATCAAGCCCCATTTAAGTAAGAAAGTTATGGAAACAAGACAAACGATCAATGTTAAAAACTTCGTAGCCAATTGTTAGTTAAAAATTAGAGAAAAAACCACAAAAGAACAAAGCAAAAAAAAAGGAAAAATGAAGACAAGCTGATGACTCAGAACTGTATTTATTTACAGCCAATTTTAGGAACATATATTTTATTATTTTTTGTTGTTGTGGATAAAAAGCATTTGTCTGCAATTTATTTTTGTATAGCTTTTAAGGCCAGAAGTTAGAGAAAAAGAGATAGCAAGAAAGAGTGAGCGAGCGAGATTGCGTTAGTGAAGGTTGAGATAGTATTTTTTTTACATTTTTGTACAATTTGAAATTGTAACTGCTTTTTATCAATCAATCAATAAATGATTCCCTCCCTCCACCAACCCGCACACATACAAACACACATACACACACATACTGTGCAAAGTATTTTCTATATTCATTACTTATAAATATATCCATATAAAAAATATATAACATTTAAAGCATACGAAACTAAATTTATAAATACATTTTTTTTGTTTTTTTTTATCGTATTTATTAGCCACAGCTTATAAAATAGATTCTAAAAAATGATTACATTTTTTTGTATGAAATGCAAATAATGATGTCTATGAAATATAATTTAAAGTACATTAAAATATATATTTTAATGCGTATACTCGTAAGGATCCATTGCAAGCAGCATCAACAAATAGAACTGACGTGCCTATGTAGCGATTAAATCTGACTAAACACCCACACACGGATACACCCAAACACACACTTACACCTAGAGACAAGCCGATGTAATGCATTAAATAATCATTCCAAAATGTCATATGAAGGAAAAGAAACAAAAAACGAAAAAAAAATAAAAACAACAACATTTATATATTTTTAAATGAATAAATAATATTTCAAGAATATTCCATTTGAAAACATTGTTTGCTTTTAAAGGCTTTTTTGTAGTGGGACGTAGAAAATATAAAAACTAAATCCTGTCTTTCAAAAAACATTTCATTTACCATTTTTACCATTTTTAACTATCACACAATGTTCTTAGGTTCGACTTTTATTTATTCAAATTTTTGATTTTGTAACTTACTGTGTATTTTTCTAACTGCATATCACATAGGTTACGTACCTATGTATAATATATACCTACATAAAAAACTTATAAGCTCTATCGGAAGTGCAAGTCTGTGTTTGGAAATAGTTCCTAAAAGCAGGCAACCTTTCTGTAAGCAAATCAGCTAAAGAAAAGCTTTTACATTCTTTTTATACTCTTGCAATACACCTTTGTGGCATTCAAAATGGCATACTTCTAAATGAATATGGCTTAATTCTTCAATAATCTGCGTTTAAGTCTTGGTTTGTTTTTTTGGCTCGATTTTTCTTCATTCTTTGTAATGTACCCCTTTCCAAATTTTCGAAAAATGGCTTTGCAGAAAGTGACCGAAAACGTGCACATAACATTTTTTACAGACATCCGATTTGAAAGTGGCATATCTCTAAATGATTGTGGCTTGATTCTCTAAAAAACTGTGTTTTCAGTTTAGTTTTTATTTTTTGGTCGATTTTTCGTGATTTGCAAATCCAAATTCTCGAAAAATGGCTTTGCAGAAAAGTGACCAAAATCTGCACTTCTAAGCCCATAACTTTTTCTACAGACATCCGATTTGAAAGTGGCATATCTCTAAATGATTGTGGCTTAATTCTCTAAAAAACTTTGTTTTCAGATTAGTTTTTATTTTTTGGTCGATTTTTCGTGTTTTGCAATGATAAAACCCCTTTCCAAATTCTCGAAAAATGGCTTTGCAGAAAAGTGACCAAAAACCTGCACTTCTAAGCCCATAACTTTTCGTACAGACTTCCAAATTGAAAGTGGCTTACCTCTAAATGTTCGTGGTTTAATTCTGTAAAAAACTGTGTTTTCAGTTTAGTTTTTATTTTTTGGTCGATTTTTCGTGATTTGCAATGATAAAACCCCTTTCCAAATTCTCGAAAAATGGCTTTGCAGAAAAGAGACCAAAATCTGCACTTCTAAGCCCATAACTTTTTCTACAGACATCCGATTTGAAAGTGGCATATCTCTAAATGATTGTGGTTTAATTCTCTAAAAAACTGTGTTTTCAGTTTAGTTTTTATTTTTTGGTCGATTTTTCGTCATTTGCAATGATAAAACCCCTTTCCAAATTCTCGAAAAATGGCTTTGCAGAAAAGTGACCAAAAACCTGCACTTCTAAGCCCATAACTTTTTCTACAGACATCCGATTTGAAAGTGGCTTATCTCTAAATGATTGTGGTTTAATTCTCTAAAAAACTGTGTTTTCAGTTTAGTTTTTATTTTTTGGTCGATTTTTCGTGATTTGCAAATCCAAATTCTCGAAAAATGGCTTTGCAGAAAAGTGACCAAAATCTGCACTTCTAAGCCCATAACTTTTTCTACAGACATCCGATTTGAAAGTGGCATATCTCTAAATGATTGTGGCTTAATTCTCTAAAAAACTTTGTTTTCAGATTAGTTTTTATTTTTTGGTCGATTTTTCGTGATTTGCAATGATAAAACCCCTTTCCAAATTCTCGAAAAATGGCTTTGCAGAAAAGTGACCAAAAACCTGCACTTCTAAGCCCATAACTTTTCGTACAGACTTCCAAATTGAAAGTGGCTTACCTCTAAATGTTCGTGGTTTAATTCTGTAAAAAACTGTGTTTTCAGTTTAGTTTTTATTTTTTGGTCGATTTTTCGTGATTTGCAATGATAAAACCCCTTTCCAAATTCTCGAAAAATGGCTTTGCAGAAAAGTGACCAAAATCTGCACTTCTAAGCCCATAACTTTTCGTACAGACTTTTAAATTGAAAGTGGCTTACCTCTAAAACTGTGTTTTCAGTTTAGTTTTTATTTTTGGTCGATTTTTCGTCATTTGCAATGATAAAACCCCTTTCCAAATTCTCGAAAAATGGCTTTGCAGAAAAGTGACCAAAAATCTGCACTTCTAAGCCCATAACTTTTTCTACAGACTTCCGATTTGAAAGTGGCTTACCTATAAATGTTCGTGGTTTAATTCTCTAAAAAACTGTGTTTTCAGTTTAGTTTTTATTTTTTGGTCGATTTTTCGTAATTTGCAATAATAAAACCCCTTTCCAAGTTTTCGAAAAATGGCTTTGCAGAAAGGTTACCAAAAACTGCACTCTAACGCTCATAACTTTTCCCACAGAATATCTATTTTAACACATTTTCTGATTTTTCATCCGAAATTTGTGTGACACCATAAAGCATTTTTTATTTGCGAATTAATTTCTTTATGTTTGGCATTTTAAATTGGAATTGTTTTTCTTTTTTCTTTAATATTTCACATATATGACGCAAATCAACATTGGTAATCTATTTTTATGCTTTCTCTTTTACTAGATTTTTCCCCACTTGTCGATCTTGTGCACGTGTTGAACCGTCTCAAATCTTATGTATTATTTTATTTACACACCCCCGAGGGAAAACTTCGGTATTTGCTTGCCTATTTTTATTTGTCGGCGAATTTCTTTGAGTGCTTAACCCAGGAGACATGCACGTCCACTTCTGTTTGGTTTAGTTAGATAAATACATGGGTACTATTGTTGAATCTGTGAGTCTGCGGATCTGGGCAATGTATTTATTTAATTAACGCTAATTCTGGCCTGCTGGCCGGCTCCACGTCCTCGTCAATATTTTTCATTCATTGAGCAAATAAACATTAGCCAAGTCGCGTGTTCTATTCGAAATCCACAGACGTGCGACTGATTAAACTGATCTTGAATGGAATCGAATGAGACTTTCGAGCTAAAAATTAATTTATTGGAAATCTTTTTGAAAGTATTTAAGTAAGATGTATTAACTTTAGTTCCCCACTGCTTATACATTCCCTTGGTTCAAATAAAAAACAATGTCTTTGTGGTTTGTTCTTTTTTTATTAGGTTTTCCTTGTATATATGTAGCGTAACTTGTAATAACGTAACTAAATTTTACAAATATTCTTTCACTTCCTGTGCTTTGGTCCTACATGACGAAAAAAAAACAAAAAAAAAATTGTATATATATGTGTACTATATATGTTATAGAAAAATGGTTTTGATAAATGTTTAATATTTAGATAAAGTTATATACGTATTGGTTTTACATTGGATGCATTAATAATAGCAATAATAACAACAATAACTGACAGCAGGATGGGGGAGTACGTTAGCCTTTGACCCGATCGCATATTCTTCTTCCCCTGGGTTTCGCTTTACCGTTACTCATATCCTCTGCTGCTGCTTCAGCCGGCGCCGGCGCTTGCCAAATATATATATTACTCTCTACCGCTACTACACAAAATACATATCGTACATACAATACATATACATCGATTGCAATCGATCCTACCTGCTATATCTTCTCGCTGGCTTGGGGTTTTCTTTGTTTATCAATTGGGCAAAGGAGTGCCATCCAAAATCTTCTTCCAAATTCTGGGCCTATCATCACTTTTCTTCTCCATATGATGGCTAGATTTTTGTGTGGCTCTTCCTTTGCCCGTTTCTGATTTTTTTTGTTGGCTCGTTTAAATTCCAATAGATAGATAGATATTTGTAGGGTGGATGGGGGAGGGGGGGAGGGGTTGGCGTGTGGAAGGGGCGTTTAAAATTAGACAGACAAAGAAACTCGTTATCGCTATCGTTAAATAATTACTGACGATACAAATAATCGTGTATTGTAGCACACACACATACCATATATACACAGATAAGCCCCGATCCTCTGGCGGGATGGGGACATGGAAATTACTTGTGGGTCGGGTCGTGGTTTTAGAATTGTATTCAGTTAAATATTGCCGATTTTTGAAAGGGAAACTTAAACTAAGCCCATTAGTCTAGCGGTCAAGTTGATATTCTATTGAACGGATCTTAAAAGACAGGTATTTCTTTGAGCTCGATCCACAATTTTATCAAAATATCAACTGAACCGACGGCCCACTGGGTTATAGTTCTAGTATTGTGGTGGGTGAGGGGGGAAAGGGGGGTAAGGGGGGTCTAGTTATAGGTATTAGGTGATTAATTGAGTTCCTTGCGCGTCGTGTTGGGCAACAGCAGGCACATGAGACCGCCGCCGATGAGCAGACCCGACACAATGAACGTGGGCGATGGACAGTAGTTGTCCAGCAGCTGGGCGATCACGATGTTGCCAATGATGCCGCCCAAACGGGCGGCCACCATCGAGATGGCCACGCCGGTGGCCCTCAGTTTGGTGGGGAATACTTCGGTGATGAGGCAGTCGAGGGCCGCATTCGCGGCCGAGATGGCCCCACTAAAGATGGCCGAAACGACCAGGTTCTGAACGGAGCTGCGCACAAAGTACATCAGCGCCGAACAGATGCCGGCGGTCATGGTGCCGGCGATCAGGAAGAACTTCCTGCCCAGCATGTCCATGCCGAGGATGGCCAACAGATTGGCGGGCAGGGCGGAGGCCAGCGATATCAGTGACTCCATGAACACCGACTGGGGGATGTCCGAGGAGCAGGTGCCGTTGTTGCTCTGCTCCTTGGCCAGATTGACCACGTACTCGGTGACGGAACAGACGCTGGCCGATTGGCCCGGGAAGGCCTTGTCGTACTCCTCGAAGCGATTGAACAGCTCCGGGAACCACATCAACAGGCCGTAGTAGCCAATGTGGAATGTAAAGTTGATCGTGATCGAGACGATGGTGAAGCGCAGGATGGGCGACTTGAACAGGGCGCGACTGTGGTCCACCATGCCGCTGACCATTCGGCTGTACTTGTTCTTCACATTGCCATTGCTCTCCAGCAGCTTCTCATCGACCTCCAGGTCGTAGACCATGTACTCGTCCGGCCGGCGCCTCGTGTTCGTCACGAAAATGCCACGGAAAATGGCCAGGGCACGGTCCTTTTTGCCGCGGGTCAGCAGGAATTTGGGCGATTCGGGCAGATAGAAGAGCAGGAATCCCACGAGGAACGAGGGCAGGGAGCAGACCAGCAGGAAGATGCGCCACGAGTTGTACGTGAAGTACGTCGTGGCGAAGCCGATCGTCCGCGGGATGATCAGCCAGGCCAGGCTGGCCACGAACAGGTTGCCAAATGTCCAGAAGGCGGCCATGAAGCTCAGCATGGAGCCGCGCTTCGCCTTCGGCTGGAATTCGGCGAAGTACGACCAAATCACAGGACCACTGCCGCCCAAACTGCAAGATAAGAGAAATGAGGGAGGATTCATTAGTGAGGTTCTAGTCTATCGTTTTGTAATCGAAAATATGTAGCAGTTATCGGGCATATTGGAGTTGTTCAATGTTTTCGATAAATATATCGTTTTAAATTCTATTACATCGAACAAAACTTGTTTAAACTAACCCTTGTATTTTACTTTTACCAAAGAACTAACAAGTTTAATTAGCTTTAAAAAAAACTTGTGCGTATACGTTATTTTATATAAGATTCTTCAAATGTAAATATTACGTATACGAATTACTTCCCCTATATGCTCAAAGTTGCGTATACGTATTTTTTTTAATCCCACGACAAAATCTAAGAAAAAAACAGTAATGATTTATAATTTACGAAAATATTACGAGTCCTTTGGATAATAATAAACACAAAAGTAAAAGCAAATAAAAAAATATATACTTCGCAAAACATTGCGAAATAATTGTAGTCAGTTCGCTCAGGTAATTAGCAAACGATTGGCAAAAATATTGATAAATATGGGTGAGCATGAGGGGAAACCGGTGACTAAGCGTCAATGTAACCCAAAAGCCAGGGGGCCAAGGCCCCAACTGAGATTTTCCATTTGCTTTCTGTGTTTTTTTTTGGGTTGGCTTTGCTGTTTTTCTCTTTTTCGTTACATTTTGGGGCATTTCGATCGGACTTGGGGATTCGAGCCTTTAATTAGCATAAACAGTCACGATATTGCGGCTCAAATATTTTGTTGTTATTTATACCGGAGGTAATTGAATTAACACTTTGCCCCGGGTCCGGGCCCGTGTGTCACTCGATCCACAATCGATCGCCGAGCGATGATCCATGGCTGCATAGAGCAGTAATATCACCTCACCGATTGGGTATTTTTTTATGCCAATACAGCTCTTGTTGGCGGCATAAAGGTGACATTTTTAAAGTATTTTAAAACTTAAATTTGGAAATCTCAGTTATTAAAACTATTTCAGGTAACAGCCTTCTTTCTATCATAATTTACATATGTCTATTATTATATCTCTACGTGTTTGTTTACCTAATTCTAAAAGTCAGTAAATAAAATATTTCGATTTAATCTACACAGTTAATTTAAATGTGTGTTATATATTTTAAAAACTTTGAAAAAACTTGTGCGTATACGTTATTTTATATAAGATTCTTTAAAAAGTAAATATTGCGTATGCGTAATACTTTTCCCATATGTTTAACGTTGCGTATACGTTATTTTTTTTCAATCCTACCAAAAAATCTAAGATAAAACATTAATGATTTATTATTTACGAAAATATTTCGAAAGTAAAAACCTTTTTATTTGAAATCAAGAACTAAAGAAATCTAAAGATTATTTCGGTAACCGATAGTGCATGACTTTAATATTGCTTGAAGTTATTGTGTACAAAAATTGGTGCTCTTTTTTTTATTTCTTTTTTGTCACTTGTCTTTTCTTGTAGTTTTTTTTAGGATTATTATGAAGTGGATTAAAGTACTTACGCTGCACCATTGAGGAACCGGAACAGCATGAAGAAGGTGTAGTTCTGCGAGAAGGACGAGGCGACGATGCAGAAGGCGTTCATGAACGAGATGACGATGAGGACCTTTTTGCGGCCAAAGCTGTCGGCGATGCTGCCCCAGAAGTAGGCGCCCACCATCATGCCGATGAAGATGATCGAGTTCAGCCAGCCCTTGGTCTCCGTGTTCAGGTCCAGGTCACATTCCGCCGACGGCAGGATGAACGACATCGAGATGACGTCCATCTCCTCCGACGTGCTGACCAGTCCGCAGATGGCCAGCAGTATGTAGTGGAACTTGCCATAGCCGCACAGCTCGATGGCCCTCTCGAAGTTGGCGACTATCGGGGCGGTGGGTTCCGGCAAGGGTGCGGACTTCTTGCGACCCTTGTGCGGTTTCCCAGGGCCACCGTGACCCCCATGACCCCCATCGGGGGCATCCCGCTCTACGTCCTGCTGCTTGCCATTGGCATGGCTGTCCGGCTCGTAGCCGCGATTGTCCGCCGCAAACTGATACTCCGGCTGCTTGGCCCCGGTGTTTAGGGAGTACGGCTGGATGATCGCTCGGTTGTCGATGTGCGGATTCGCGTTTCCGGTGGCGGCGGCGTTAACCTGGCCAGTGGGATGGTTGCTTGTTGGGTTGCTTGCTGCGCTCTGGTTGTAGTTTGGTTGTAGTCCAGCTTCTACATTATAGGCTGTAAATAGGGATTAAACAGCGGTAAGTCAGGGGGTTATTACAACGTTGCATAACCAGTGTTATCACTGATAAGTCAAATTTATAATTTCTTTACTTTCGATGTTTTTGGCAAGTTTTTGAAATCATGTACCCCCTAAATAAAGAACTATTTTTCGGGGTTGTTTAAACATTGTGATATAAAACGGAGACCAAAAATATAACTATTTTAAGAATCAAATTTTGTAACTTTTATAATATCAAACATTGCTAAATAGGTTTTTGAAATGAAATTATTATATTTGAATTAACATAATCATAGTTATTCAAATGCAAATAAATAAATTAAAATTATTATTTTAATGAAGAAAATATAAACAATGTTTTCCAAGTTGGAACTTTTGAAAATTTTGTTTTCCTATATTCATTAAAACTTACAACTCAATATAATACTTACATTCGCTTTTGCCCTTTGCGGAATCACCTTCTACCATTCTATAGTTCAGGGGTTTTTTGGCTTCTTGTGCGCGTAGCAAAAAGGAAATTGGGATTACTTGTCGGGGTTTTTTGGTGGCTGTTTGCTCTAAGCTCTGCTTAGATGGGTACAGTTGTGTCTGCCTCGCTTAGCGGTCTGCAATTGAAGAGAGAAGTATCGATTAGCAAACCATCGATCGATCGATTGTTTCGACATCGGGGGAAGTGGGTTAATTTAACGCAATTGGACGGCAATTGAGCAGAATGAATGAACGATCTGTTCGTCGCGCACAAACAACATCGTAATTGATTAATAAAAAATTATGCCCGAAAAAGTCGCGAGCACAGAAATTAACCCAAAGTGCCGAGGGCGTAAAAAAAAACCCCGCATTTGGGGTGACATTTTTATTGATAAATAATTGGGTAGCTGAATTCGTTGAGTATTTGAATGTGGGGTGATAAAAGTATATAGATATTAGGAGTACATTTTGGAATTACAATGGCTTGAGACAGTTATCAATTGCAAGTCCCTTAACTCGTATGTATATTATTTAAGGGGCTTACCCTGTCTAATTCTCTAATTTTAACCCCCATTTCATATTAAATAACCCCATAATTACAGTTATATTAACACAAGATGATACTTAATGAGGCGTTTTTTTTTTGACCATAAAGCTAGCTAATCACTTTACGACACTCAATAATTCCATTTAAGTGATTTAAACAAATTGAAGAGCGAAAAAAGATTATAAATCGATGAGAGAACAGCTGCTAATTAAGAGATTTGCTATTTTCTTCTGCTCTCTCCCGCTTACAATTTCAAATTCAATTCGTGATTTATCTTTCACTTTATTCATTAGGCAGGAGCAACAACAATTACAAATGTGCATCAGATACAAACGATTCGCTTTCGTGTTTGTATTCGCATTGAACCTGAACCTGAACCTGCCGTACGCATGTGCAATGAAGGAGAACAGGAACCAAAAGCGCAACGGCAAATGCACTTGGAGAAAATATAGCTTTTTATCAAATAGAAATAAGAGACACCGACGTTAATGAATCCATTTTGAAATGGAATTTTTAAAATGTAGAACCATTATCATTGGGAAGTGTCTCAAATTATCGTGAAATACTTTATATTACTTATTAAAATTTTTATTTTCCATTAAGATCAGTAAACTAGAATCTAATACACATGATATCCTTTGGTTCAAGTTCTTTTTTGGAAATGAAACTAACAGCCCATTTTGTTTTGTGTCGGAGCGAGTTTTGCAGCACCCAGCTGTCCGTCACTCGTGGATGGCTGCGTTCCATTGCCAGTGCGTTCCGTTCCGCACTCTCTCCTTTTCTCTCTCTTTGAAAGCGATAATCGCCAGCAATTAGCCATGTTTTATTATGAATATATGCTGATTTATGCCCTGGACGACGAGTAAACGCCTACACTTCCGCAAGCCGGAGCCACATGGCCCTTCACCTGGCCTTCGTACCAGTCCCAGTTCCACTCCCGATCCCATTCCCATTCCTATTCCATTTCCCCCCAGCGATGTTCCATCCAAAGCTAATGAAAAAGTACAGTCGCACCTCAAATATGTGGAAAACAATATAGTTAATGGAGCTCTCAACTTTGTTAATCCGTCTTGAAAAAGTTCTAACCATACATAGGAGTACGACTGTAAATCGGTTAGTCTGCTATGCTACGTATTAGCGCCATAAAAAAAGCGTTTCAATCGTTTCCAGTTTGCTGTTTAACAAGTCGCATTATAACGATTGTCTTTTTCAAGCGCAAATAAAGCAGCGCAACTGGAAAAACTGCGTGTGAATGGAATACCCCGGACTTGACTTGGTCCCAGCTTTATACTCGGGGGCCCCAATGTCATCCGATTCCGATGCATGTGTCGGATTGGATGCCCAGGGGAAGGGGTTATGGGTGGACGTGGACGTGGACCGTTTATGGTGCACAGTGCATTGTTTTTGCGCCTTTGCATATATCTCAAATTAATTAGCACATAAAACCGAGAAACGCCTCTAGACTTCGGGGCACTCAGCCAGATGATATCGGAAATAGTGCGGTTCGAAGTCTGAATGAACCCATAAAACTACAGAGTTTAACAAAACATTTGTGAGAATTTTACCACTCAATCGATTACCAAGCCAGTGCGAAAAAAATGACTCAGATAAATTGTTAAGATTCTCTTTAAAATGGAAATGTAAGCAAAACATTTCCAAGCAAGGCGTTTTTAATGGGTATTATTTCAAGTTCGAGGCAGTTAAGTTACAAACACATTAATGTTCTAAACATTGGAATGGAACAATGTCTACAATTTCAGGCAATCCTAAAACCCTATTAAATACTTTATGTGACACCTTTTATTTCTATCCAAAACACCGTCTTATTATTTTTTATGGAAAGGAAAGCTTAGCAATTATCTACAGAAACTTTGTTTCCCTTAAAGGTGTGTTTACACGATGTTCTTAAAAAGTATCATTTGATTTATTGATCAATTGCAAGTCAAACAAACTTTAGTTTGTTGCCGTTTACTTTATTTGCTACTTTTGATATTATTTAAGACTTCTAAATATATGTTTGAGATTCAAAATGATGTGCTACGACATTTATTAAGAAGGGCTGTGCTTCCTGTAACTATATAATTTGGATGATGTATAATATAACTGCCAGCTTGCAGTGTAGAATATTAAGTTAGCTTATTTACAGGTCTGCTAATTTGCCCCAACTTAGTTTTTGTTGATTGGCATTCCATTACCTGTTGGCTTTAGGGGATTGTACTCGCTTTTGACCTGGAGATCTTTGAACGTGGTTTCGCCCGTGTTTCGGGGGGCTTATTGTTTGGCAATTAATTAATTTTTTATTTGAACACGGGTGAAATAAAATATGTTTTTCGCACTGTTAAATATTTGTTTTTACTGCGCTGTTACGCCCTGTATTTTGCACTTGTTTGGTGTTTGTTTATTTATTTATTTATTTCTTTTTTGAATGAGGGTGTAGTTTTTTCGCGTTGTTCAGTGGGCTAAATTTTAGAAAATTGCTTGTCAGCTGAGAGTGAACTGTTTGTGTTTCTGCTTGTAGTGGATCTTGGCGTTGGTGGTGCGCGGAGTTCTCAAAGTGGTTTGGCAATTGTTGCAAACTGGCGAAAACATTAAAACCGTTGGCTGGCACACAAAGGCTGAATAGCAAGGGGCATCGAAACCGATATAGTTACCGATAACCGAAAAAATGTATTTTCTTTTTTTTTTGTTCAGATGCGATATTACGAGCGGTAAGCGGAGCGGTACAGCGGCGGTACTTTAGGCGGTCTCTCGATCAACGTTCGTGCGATTCAAGTGGTGGAAAGTATCTGAGCGGCGCTCGACGCCCGCTTAAATACACCGAAATCGAATCCGCGGAACGGGTGGCAGTGGAACGCGGCTTATCAACCGCTCGCCATTACTGCACCACCCCCTTTTACCGTTTTCGCCGCCTGCCCGTTTCATTCCGCCGTTCCGCGTGCGCGCGCTCACTAATTGAAATTCAAATTGCGATCATCGCCAAGTGTTCGAGCCGCAATTGAAAATAAATTAAATGATAACACCAAAGAACGAAGAAAGCAAATCAAAACAAGAAAATAATGAATAATGTCCTCGATCCGATTGAATTCCCTCAGAGATCAGGTCATAGCGAGAAGAAGACTCAAAAGCCCTCTTATCATACATTAACCTCTCAATCGCCGTACATACATTATGTTCGGTGATCACGACAGTAATATTCCTCTCGAAAGCTGACAAAAAATCAAGAGTTGATCTCGCATTACAATTTGTATATCTATTTTTAAGTACATTATTAAGGTCTTAATTCTCTATTGATCTTCATTGCAATTTAAGTTTTTAATATTGGTTCGATTTTTGCGGACTGACTAAAAAAGTTAATAATAAATATACCCATATGTTATTCATACTTTTTTATGTTTCATTTAAATCTATAAATAAAATAAAACATATTACTAGTCTGGACTGAGGCCAAAAAGTCTGAAAATTGAAAATGTCCCATGAATCAAATTTATGACCTCGAAATATATGTACACCAAAAAACATATTTCCTTGTTCTTTGCCTTAGTTTTTTAAATAATATAAGCGATAAAAAAGGCATTCACAATTCTAGATGAATCAATTCTCATGAGACCCAGTTCACTACTATGAAAATACTCGGTTTTATAACGATAAAAAACCATAAAACAAGTGCATGGGGCTGTCAAATTTAGGGATATTTAATGATGCATATAGGGAATCCTACTGAGCTCTACCTTGATCCCTAAACACAGTTCAGTCGATCCGAGGTGAGTCAAGTTCATTATAATGAAACGTAACTGGCCGATCGGGTGACAAACCCGATGAGCATTCGAATTCGACTTCGGATCCCTTCTGGTGAACAATTAACGGCAACAGGCATCGGCTTAAGTGATCAAAAGAATTATACTTGAGACTTAATAGCGGCATTATCATTATTGTTGATATTGTTACATATAGCGAGCGCGTATATATATGGATTATACGTATTGTTGTCATGGCGATTACTGATACTACTACCACTCGATCGCAGCGAGCAATGATCGTGTAAGCTGGCCATGTGACTTGTGAGCCTCAAAAAACGAAATAAAAGCGCCTTTAAAAACAAATGTGAAGAAATAAATGAACGCTGATCTATTAGCGTTTCCAAAGTGATGCAATTAGAAGAGCTCATTTATCATTATATCATGCGAAATAGTGCCATAAAGTCGATCATCGCTGTCTAATTGCTTAATTGTTTGCCACATTTCGGTGGGAGTTTTTCGCTCAGTGAGTCATTCCTTTTTCTGTGAAGGGGTAGGGATTGGGGGGGGGGTGGAGTGTTTATGGGGGGTTCAAGATCGGGAACAAAGCGAAACTCGAGATGGTCGTTTTTCAAGAACCCATGGAAGAAGACGTGACTCTCTCCAGAGTCAAATGCAGATTGGGGCCTTGCATAATGGGCGATTAGTGGTCGTAGTCGTAGTCGTAACTTGACGCTAATTTCTGGTTGCTTCATTTGGCAAATTATCGCACCTCTGACCCACAGAAGACCCACACAAACTCAACAAAGATTGGATGTCAGTGGGGTGCAGTACGTGTTCTTTGTTCGATTCTCGTTTTTCGCTTAATATTTGCTAACCGTTTGTTTAAGCCGCCCACAATTAATTTAATTAGACATTGTTGTCACGAAACGAACACGGCTAATTGAAAATTATGCTAGATGAGGGACAGCTTAATTACCAACGATCGCGACAATAAAACAACCCTTACTGCACATGTAAACAGACTTTTTTGAAAGCTTGATATTCAATTAGAACAACCTCGTAACGCTAAGAAACCCATGGTTGTCAGCCTGACTAAGAGCGAGATGGTTGTTGTCCGCGCTAAGTTCAATTTGGGGCGTATGTGGCCATGTCTGAGTTTAATCGACAAACAATAACAGAGCCGATGAACACAGATGGTCCTACATATATTGCAATATACACATTGTACATTCTATATGCACATTTATCTGTTCAGACGTATATGTACTGGCTGAATGTTAATCAAACTGCGTGTGCTCGAAACTCGTTCGAATCGGTTTTTTATTTCCCCATCGAGAGCATGTCTCCACATCTTCATGCCATCTTCAATTGAATGAACCAGCATTTCTGCTCTTCTTGCGATCGCTGCACAAACATTTCAATTAATTGACCACTTCCAATTGAAGACAATGTGCGAAACGAAAACAAAAGTCGTCAAGAGAGCGTGAAAATACCGAATAACGTATAACGAATAACGAATCCAAAGAATTCGTAATTCCGAATTGGGTATTCAATAAACAACGGAACGGATGGATCACTCTATGCTTGATAATTCAAAACAAATAAACATGACTAATGCTCCACAGATCGCTGGAGATTTTGTTGCCGTAAGAGTGCGACTATGAGCCACAGTGAACCCTATCTGGAAACGATCCGCTGACCCAGCAACAACAGCCCCGAACTTATTTCTATCCATATGATTCAGAGGACACTGGTTAGGCGGATCTGATGAAATCTAACAGAATTAATCAGTGTTTTTGGACTCCGAAGAATTTCGGATAGAAGAAAAATATGTGTCTAAAAAATGGGAGACAAAAAGGGATCTTTGCGGGATCTAATGGTATGGGTTTTGTAACTAAGAATATATCTATATATATATATGTATATTATGAAACTTTAAAAATCTCACTAACAAATAAAATGAATCATGATGTTTTTAAGAAACAAATTTCCTACTCTCTTCATTTTTTTAATGAGTTAATTTTAAGTACCTCGGAAACTGGATATCTCAAAGGCTTTTAAAAAATTCCAAGAAAAAATAACTATAAAATACCCATTTAGATGAATAACTTTTATATATAAAGTCTATGCATTGTTAACTTTTTATGTGATCTTAAACAAAAAGCCTGCGAATAATTTGGGTTGCAAAGACACTTTTTCGGAGACAAAGTTTGTACTCCCATATACACACTGTGTATATGGGATCCTCAAACGAACTTTTGCCTAACGATTACTTGAAGACTCTTGAAAATTTTCAGAAGAATTTGAAGTACTTCGAAAAAGGCCTACAACCCTTTGGACACTGGAGTATTTGCAAATATATGCATAAATTGGGAACAGGTGTTGCCTGCATTCGTTTTTTCCCCTTTTTTTTTGTGGCCCGTGCGATTTTGGTATTCACTTTGGCAATAAAATTAATGATAATATTGCGCTTTCTTGTTTTGCTTATTCCACTTGTTTTGAGTTTCGCGGGCGCGCGACAATTTAGTTTGCATAATTAATTTATGCATATTTGTTATTTTCGGCTGTTACACTGTATTTTTAAGCGGCAAAAAAAAACAAAACAAAAAAATTGGAATAAAGAATGTGGAATAATGCCCCAGGGCAGTGAAAAATAATTTGTTTTGTGCCACCCTGAATTTTATTTACGAGTAACAGGAAGACTTGCGATGCCTGCTGAATCACCTTGCCCATTGTATTTTATCCTTGGTGTGGTTTCATATATATGTGTGTGTGGGGGGGGGAATTGATGATTGGGGATACGCACCTACTACTGCTGTCCTCGTCGACGATGTCGAAAGAGTGTGTGTGTTTTCTTTTAGAAGAGATTCGATGCACGGCGGTTAGACGAGAATCGGGATGTATAGATCACTGGTTGGAGGAGCTCCACGCGGCTCCAAGAGCGATTGGACAATGCGTTCCAAGTGGCGTTGGGCCGGGGCTTTTATAAGTGCCAGCCAGTCAGCCAGACCCACATCCTCCCCCTCCGAACCCTGCCACGATCCGCCGCCCCCCTTTTTCTCGGGATGCTGACTTTTCGCTCTTTCGCGATCGCACAATCTGAGTGTGTCTGCCACTCTCGGGGGCACTCGGTTCGGTTGGTTCTTAGCTTGTGTACACTCAGCTGCTTCTGCTTCTGTTTCTTTTTTGCTTTTTTTCGCTTTTTTTTTATTTCGCTCTTGACGTTATCGCCAGCGGATCGGAAGCAACAACAATGAACACACACAAAAATGAGATGGGGCAGCATCAGCAATGTCGCCATCCGATGCTTATCACCTGGCTCTCAGCCGCTCTTATCTGACTGCTCTACTCGCAGCCGTAATCGCAACAATGTTTTCGGATGGTTATACAAAAACAAGACTTGCAATCTTTATGGCTCGCTTCAAATGCAATGCTCTTCCTTAATCGTTAAAACTTGTAATTCGTTAATTCTAGGGCCTGCCAAAAATACACATGCACTTTTTGGCGAGGTCCTTCGAGGCGGATCGGGTGCGAATCGGTTAGAAGCGGGTAGGGCTTTGACTATGACGCAGCAATAAACTGATTTCAATTCACTCAGCCATGACAATTTGCAAGGTATGCCAATAATTTTTGACATGGTCTCATCAAAAGTTATGAAGAAAACAATGAAGTGGTAAAAATCTGTTATGGAATATAGCCAGAAAGTAATTTAGTGGACACTGAACCGCGTTCGTTACCCGTAAATAATTTGCGAACAGAAAAGGTTTTGAGCGGTCAATAAAATGTAATGATGAATAGGTCGAAAAAAAAGTTCAGCAAAGGGATGGCGAGGAATCGTGATTTATAATAATAGGCTTAAACCGCAAACAAAATGGTTTTTTCGTAAAACGCATAGGGATTACAATTAAATCGCTTATGAATCGGTTAAAAATTATTTTCGTACCGAGCGAATCGCTTAGTCATGGGCAGCTGGACATGAGAGTGATTTCGAAACGGGTATGAACCAGTTGAACGATCGGTATGGACCAGCTAAAGGTTG